TTTACATAGTTGGATTATCCGTATTTTGGCTAATCTATCTATTTTGTTATGATTATTTATAGTTGTATAAACGTCGAAGTGAAGAGCCCAAAATAAACGTTCCCCCACAGAGATTCAACGACGTTTTATGATCTAATTTCCTACAATATTTTAGTGGATATTCACTTAATATAAGACAAAGCCATTTGTCAAAGCTTCAACATCGTTGCAGATAATAATGGCCAAGACGAAATCATTAGTCAAAATATATACCAACATCGTTGCAAGAGATATTTTATTTGATCGAAGTTTCATACATAATTTTTCTTTAGTCATCGAATATTTACAATATAGAAAATAATGTTTACTATAGTATACTCTAGTCCATATCTATTTGTCAATGACAGGGATGTGGGTTATGTATACACACACAATCACACACACATATATATATATAGATATATGCAATATTTATATATATATATATATATATATATTTATGCAATATTTCCCATTTTTGTATGTCAATCTCAAGTGTGTCACTTCTCGTGTTATGCGAGGATCAATATATATATAGATAAATATATATATATATATATAATGCATATTCTAAATATTTCCAGGTCTAAAGAATAAAAATAATATACTTAAAAAAGAGAGTAATGTGCTCTTTGTGTCTGTGTTTGTGTTACGCATTTGATCTATGGCTGTAGTATTAAGAAACGCAAAACGACCTATGTTGTTAAGTCTATGAAGCCATGCATGATATAAAAGTTTGTATCTAGGTTGTCAATAAATGTCACACATATGATCTGACATCTTAATTCTATCTAGTCTTCTAGACCATCAGGGGACACAAAACCAATGCAGCCATAAATCCCAGCTATTTATTTTACAGTACATTCACATCTATAACATAATCAAAAACAAAATATCAGCCTTGAGAAACCTCTTTTGGTTTTTTTCATATAACACCTTATCATTTATTCTTTGACAAATTATACATTTAATATTTTGGATACTCCTTTCATTTTCTATGTTTTACCATGTTTTGTAAAGCAGATGTCCATTTGTGATACGACACGACAGAAAATAATTATTCGTCAATTGCATAGTTCATCACATAAATGAGTTTCAACTAAGTTTAATATTTCATGGTTTAGTTTTTAAATAGATTAAAAATTGGTCATCATTAGTGAAGAATATGAAAAAGGTTTACAAAGAAAAAAACATGAAATTTTATAAGAACTTATATGGGAAAATTAAAATTTCAAAAGATGTTATGCAGCTGATTACAGAAAAAAAAAATATTTTCATTTGACAAGGAAGCTCTTCATGTACAGGAGAGTATCTAGTAATACTGTTTATAAAAAGCAAAGAAAGAAGGAAAAACTTTTACGAAAGAGATTGGGTTTGAAAAATACTGACATGCATGAGACCTTTATCTTTTGTTTGGTGGTATAATCCAACAGCCAATCCAAAAATTCGTGGGAATAAAAAAGGTTAATTATTTTGCGCAATTGTTTCCAGCTTCGTTCTGACGAGATCAAGATGTTAATCATCTGTCTGACTACAGATGGTTCATGGTTCAAATGTTCGCTTGTGATATGAAGATGTTCTTATAAAGTCAGACAAATTTCAAAGAAATTGAAGGAAAAAAATGACAGGAGGCAATAATCGCGTGTCGTTGTTTCTTGGGTCTATATTAAAAAAAAATTAAGAAATATGGAAAATTTTAAAAGAAAATAGAAGAATCTCTTCTTCCGTGTTGTCATATGCGCGTGTGAGCTGACGTGTTATCGTTTATCGAAGCCGTCTGATTTGGACAATTTAGTTGTTCTAGTTAACGAACTTTGATGCTGTATTTCGCACGTGCACAGTTTTCTCAATATAAAAATGCATTCACATTTTTATGCTAACTCCAACTCCGTACAAAAAAATTGCGTTTTTTTAAAAAATGCATTTGCATGAAATTATTTACGGTTAGCATATTTTATGTGTTTCAACAAGGAGATGAATAATTTGTTTTACCTATTGGAGTTTCCTAACCTCATAAAAAAATATATGTTGCAGTTATCGCCTAACCCCAACCTTTCTTTTTTTATTAGAATCATGGCCACTAATGTTCAAAAAAAGAAGAAGAATTTGATTTTACTGCACTCTATAAGTTTTTTTTTTTTTTTTGGACACTCCGTATAGTTACATTAACATATAATTTTCCCATTTATCAATTAGGCAGCAATTTTGGAACTGTGTTACATTAAGAAAAAAAAATCAAAAAAAAAAAGCTTTCTCTTCATTTTACATTTGAACAACAAAATTGAGTTATCGATTGATATTATAATGTTTAAGAGATCAAACTTATAATTATATGTGGAATGAAGAGGAAAATTCATTTTTTTGTTCCATCAGTTTCAATCTTTTATTCGAAAACATTATTTCTACTTCCACACAGTGAGTCTACAATAAGAATTTTCGCATAGCACATATATTGGTTTCGGTATAAGTTTGCAGACACTCGATATTTCTTTCTTTTTTTGTTATATTAAAGGGTTTACACACAATGGAATTGTATAATATTGTAGTTATGCTGCTCGACTTGATTTGGATTTTAGCTCACGAAATGATATTGTTGAAACTTAATTAAATTAGAAAGTTTGGTTACAGATCACATCATTCAACATCAAATATGCCTAGAATAATAAAGACATATTTCTATTGAACTGTAATTAATTCAAATTTCATTTTCTCACGAATCACAAGGGTCAATAAGGGTGGGGCTAGAAAACACGTACGTTTACGGACTAGAATGCGCAACAATCAGATGTGTTTATCTTATTTTCACTCTTTGAAAAACGTTTATTTAATTGTAATTACGTGTACAGAAGAAATAACAACGTCTGTTTTACATGCGAAAATCATTAGAGTCCGCACTCTTTTAATTACGAGTCCATTTTGTACTGTTAGCAGAGAAATTTGGATAATTCAGACAAGATGAGATATCGTTTTCGTTCTTTCCTTATATGGATGTATATTTATTGCGAAATTGATAGGTGATGGAAGAAGTTTCCATCTTTGTGGGCTCTAGATCTAAATTAGTAATTAATAGCAATATTTATTGAGAAAAATGTTTGTCTCTATTTGAACGCTGGGTTCGATTCAGCCCTGTCAATGAGTATTTCTATAGTAGATTAGAGAAACATGATGATTGTATTCTATGTACTCACAATCTTTATATTTATACCCAGCATGGCCATAAAAAAAAAAATTATAAACCAAAAAAAAATATGAGTTTACAGGCCAATATATTTGCATTCCATTGAAGTTTAAACGAACTTTAAAATTTATAAAAATGTCACTTTAACATTGCTATCGAACTTTAAAAAAAAATTCTCGAAACAAAAATATTTAATATATTGAATGAAATACCACTTTTACATTGCTATTTCCTTTATTTTTTATTTTATTTTTGAACATCTACATTGCTATTTCCGAATCTGACATACATAAATAAAATTCCTAGCAAAAATGGGTTAACTACACATGTTATAATTGTTGTCTATCCAGTTTTCGTCTTTCCATTTAGTTTTATTCGATTCTGTCATCACTTGTCATGCAATTTTTACGTAACCCATGACGTACTCGAGTAGTTGTTTTGCGTGTTTAAAAGAATATATGTTGGCAACAACGTTAAAAGGAGGTGACTGGCATCAATAATTGTGTTGGTTCGTTAGTAGAAATCTCTCGTTTATCATGTTTTTACATACGAGAAGTGAAATTAGCTTTCATAAAAACCCAAGTGGTTTTTGGATGGGTTTAAGTGCATGTACGTCTGGTGGAAATCTTTTGGATATTTTGAATGCGACTCATTTTTTTAAGAATTAATACATAGTTCTTCATATATAACGTGTCAACTTTTTTGGTTTAATGTTTTTTTCTTTTTTTGTTTAATGTTAAGAATTAATAAGAAGTTTCAAAAAAATGGCTTGGTTTAACTTCAGCAAGCATCTTATCCTGTTTTTGTGTATTGGTACTAATACAAAAGAAGCAGATGATGGAGATGCTTGCTGAAGTGGATTTATAGTAGCTCTTATAATTGCAACAAATGGCTCCTATTGAAAATTATAGCTGAAATGACTCTTTTAAGATATTGTAGTTATTGGAATTCATATTTAAATTTGAAAATTGAAAAAAAAAATGGGTTGGAAAAGGAACAAAAAAATGGCAAAAGAATATCATTTGTTATATATTCAAAGATTGACCAACGAATGAGATAGGACTGTGTTCTAAAGATTTGAAGTCGCTAGCTACGAAGTCCGTACATGGTCGCATGAGCAGCCTTGACATTTAACTATTTAAGAGACTACCAAAGCGGCCAAATGCTCAACTAGACTGTGGAGAGGAGCCTACTATCAAAGGAAGGTCCTTCCAAAAGCTATAACTGCTTTTGTTGTTGACATAACACTTAAAAGAATATTTTTAAGATACAATTTAAAATTCAAACCTTATGCTAGTAAACCTAACAACTTAGTAACATTAAATTAATTATAAGCAAACAAGACCCAATTAGTAAATTTTGAAACTAAATTATATTTTAGTATTTAACTAAATATAGCTTTTACATCAAACATATATATATATTCATTATTATCAGAGCCAACCCAAATAAAGTTCCGTTTACCAATAGTTAACCAAAAAGTCTAAACCAAACCAAACGATAACCAAAATTCACTGCCCTGAATCCTGATGATTTCCCTAAAATATTTAACGATGTAAAACTCCATAAGAAACAAAAACACCATAAACAAGAGTTTAAAGCCTTTTACTCTTATGGCCCAAAGGTGATTAAGCTGACTCGGTAATCGGTCTAATATAAAAAAAAAATATTAAAGGATCAGTTGGATTGTTTCGGTTTATCTTTAGCAGGATCACGTGAGGCGCATGTGACATCCAACGAGTGGCCAATCGCTTAAAAGTGAAGACTTTTTATTACATCCCATAAAAAAGCATCTCATCTAATAATCTTTTTTTCTTTTTCAAAACCGACTCAGAGTCTCTCTCTCTCTCTCCCTGTCTTCTCTCCATTTGGCGATAGAAGATATGTACCAATCATCTTCCTCCACGTCATCATCATCGCAGAGATCATCGGTTCCCGGTGGCGGCGGAGGCGGAGGTCTGATCCGATACGGCTCAGCTCCGGGATCGCTTCTAAACTCTGTGGTGGACGAAGTCATCGGAACAAACGGTCGTGCAGGTGACTTCAATTATCCTCCGCCGGAAAACTTCCTCGGTCAGTTCTTCGCCGGAGCAGATTCATCCTCGCTGAGATCCGATTCGACGACTTGCGTAGTCAACTCATCCAACGGACAGAAACAGCAGCTCGGCAACATTAATAAAGATCTCCTCCTCGACAGATCCTACGGTGGATTCAACGAGATCTCGCAGCACAAGAGCAACGACCTCGGCAATAGCTCCGGATCTTACTCTCTCGCTAGGCAACGTAGCTCTCCCGCCGACCTCTTCACCTACCTCTCCGGAGACAAAAATAGTGAGTTTTTTCCTTTCTTTTTTTTTATACTACTTCTTGATTTCTTCTCAAGAAAATCAACTTGATTAGATGATATAGAGTATTCTTAGATATACTAGAAGTAGAACTTTGCATTCAAGTAACATAATTTCCTCGAATTTAGGATTTGCCAAAAATCGTAATGTAGTTATGAAATAAAGAACGAAGCATCATTCATTGCTGAATGAAAGAAAGATCCATTTGGATTTTATTACTTTTACCCACTAAAAAAAAAAAAAAAAAATCCATTTGGTGAACCCAAATCTATCTGTCAAGAGGCTGCTGAGGGTATTTTCGGGATTTTCTTATAGATTACGTAGCTTTTGTGAGCAAAACACTTTCCTGTATATACGACGCACGCTATAATAAGTTGACATTTTTGTGTGAGATTGATATAATATAAGGTGCCGTTGGTAATCTGGCTGGTTGGTAGATCACGTATTTCAAAAATGACGAAAACACCCTTGATCGATCCGAGCCACGTGCTTGGAAACATACAGCAAAAATGTGGCTCGGTTACCCTCAATCTGGATATTTTAATTAAATATCTTCGAGGAATCCTATAAACCAAGTTGCATATTTTTTTATAAGATTATGGGGTTCTTTTAGTTCGTGGCCAATAGTTGATCTGCTGATGTGGCGAAGTTTCATTGGTTGTTAATAAGATTATTTAAATGGAAAGCGATAGATCTTAGTTGGTCCTGCGGATTTCATTCATTTGTGCTTTAATTTGCATCGTTGTTATCAAATAAGTAATAATATTTTCCACTAAGTCTGGATGTGAACAAATAATAATATCCATGAAATCAGTCTTGCCTTTGGGTCGATTCCTTTTGATAGTTGACTCTTATTTGTTTCTAAACCATGATGTGCAATATGAATCATTATTTATTTAGTTTTTTTTTACTCACGTAATTAATGTGATATTTATAACATACTTTACTTTGAAAATCAGATTTCTCGTTGAACCAACCAACAAGTGATTATAATCCACAAGGAGGGTCTAATGCAGGACGAGGACAATCGAGACTCAAGTCTCAGCTAAGCTTCACGAGTCACGATCCTCTGTCCCGGATCTCTGAGGTCAATGAGACCTCTGTCCACGATGGTTCGGGCCATTCCTTTTCAGTGGCTAGCTTCGGTGCCCCCACTGATTCTTGGGATGACGGTTCCGGTTCAATAGGCTTTACTGTGACCACCCGCCCAACTAAACGATCCAAGGACATGGACTCAGGTCTTTTTTCACAGGTAACCATTTTAGTGTTTTTCTTTTGTCAAACATCATATGAGAATAGTAAACACAAACACAAGGATAAAAAAAAAAAATTGTTTTATGCTTTTGCTTTGCACTTTTCAAGGGACATACTCTTACGAACTTTCTCTTTTTATCATTGGTTTTGCAGTATAGTCTTCCTTCAGACACTTCAATGAACTACATGGATAACTATATGCAGCTTCCTGAAGATTCTGTACCTTGCAAAATTCGGGCCAAACGCGGCTGCGCCACCCACCCGAGAAGCATCGCCGAGCGGGTCAGTTCAACATATATACTCTTTTTCTTTTTTTGTAGCAACCGATCCAAAAAAACAATTTTGCTGCTAATTTGTCACAATTTAGTAATAAATAACTACTACAAATAAATGTCTTCGATAAAAAAAAAATAGAAAACGATTAGCGAGATATTTAGTTCGGTGATTATGTTAAGATAGTTTCACAAAGACATTATATGTTGAACAAAATTTTGTGTAGAATTTTTTTTTTCTAGTAGAAAGCCGTCTGTTTATAGAAACTTATGATATATATATATACAGGAGAGGAGAACGAGAATAAGTGGCAAACTAAAGAAGCTACAAGACCTTGTCCCCAACATGGATAAGGTTACTTTGAATCATATCACATTTTGTACATAGCAACATTATGATATATAAAAATTTGTTTATTAAGACATTATTACTTGTTACTGATTTTATTAGCAAACAAGCTATTCTGACATGCTGGATTTAGCTGTACAACACATCAAAGGCCTTCAACACCAACTTCAGGTTCCTTATAAAACTATCAATCATCTTATTTTTCTATTTACGTCAGCTGAATTCTTTTTTTTAGAGTTCTCCTTAATTCATTAATATATATACACACTACCTTTTCATCTACAAACGCAGAATTTGAAGAAAGAACAAGAGAACTGCACGTGCGGATGCAGTGAGAGACCAAATTAGCTGCAATCCTAACGGTAGGGATCATCCTAACTTTATCAGATGTTTTTGATATCATAAGAGAATTAGAGAAAATGTAAATAAATCGATTATCAAATGCCTAGCTAATTCTCTTATAAGCTTCTCAGTTATAGTCATATCTTATAAGATCGAAACAATGCCAAATGTCCATTATATTTTCTCCCAAGTGTTATGCTCTGAATATTTGCTTATTTTGGAAGGACTGATGATGTTAATTTTGAAACTAGTTCGGGTTATGACTTATGAGTAAAGCAACTTGTTTCCATTATTTGGTTTTCTAGTTCTCTCATTTCTTTTCCATTTTACGTTTCCATAAAATATTATCTCAAACAGAACATCAAAATAATTTTAATTAGTTGCATCTCCTTCGAAGGAGTTGCGACTAAAAGATAATTGCAGATGGTGCGTAAGGCGGAATACTCTTTTTAGTAGATGTTGGGATTGGGCTTCCTAAAGTAGCGTGTATGCACGTTACAAAGCTAGATCCAATCTTTACCAAAGATGAATTTTTTTTTTCATATATAAACAACAATAGTCTATTGAATTTGTCTTACGTATACCTATACGACAGACTTTAGGGTATTTAGTTTGTATATTACGTATGTAGTCATGATTTAGTTAATATATATATATATATGTAATATCGTGAATAATCTTGATTTCCGCATCGACACAAATTATGGATCCAAGACTTTTTTTTTCTGTAACAAGGGTTTATCCAAGACTTTGCGTCAGCTAAAGATTAACATCGTCGAAAGTAAAAAAAAATGTCTCCCTCTAACGTTTACCAATTTGCACAGCGAAGTCTTAAATTAACAAAGAAGATGAACAAACAAAGAGGGAGAGCAGAAGCAGAGAGTTTGTGACAGTATATAATTAATAAAAACTTGGATTTTTAAGTAGTAATAAAGGGAACTAATGAGACTGATAGATAAATATAAAAAAGGGTGAAGATATTAAAGAGGCCACTTAATGCGCAGTATGTCCTCTTTGCCAGCTTGTTGCACCGTCCTCTGTTCCTCTCTCTCTCTCTAAACCAAGTCTTGCCGTCTGTGAGAGAGAGAGAAGGCCAAAGGAGCGAGAAAACGATGTCATCGGACGACGAAGGAAGAGAGGAATACCTCTTCAAGATAGTGGTGATCGGCGACTCGGCGGTCGGGAAATCGAACCTTCTGTCTCGGTACGCTCGTAACGAGTTCAGTGCGCATTCCAAGGCGACGATCGGGGTCGAGTTTCAGACGCAGAGCATGGAGATTGAAGGCAAGGAGGTTAAAGCTCAGATTTGGGACACTGCCGGCCAGGAGCGCTTCCGTGCCGTTACCTCCGCCTACTATCGTGGCGCCGTCGGTGCACTCGTCGTCTACGACATTAGCCGCCGCACCACCTTCGAGAGTGTCGGTCGTTGGCTCGATGAGCTCAAGAGTACGTCTCTGTTTTGTTCCTCAATTGCCCCAAATTGAATCTGTTTCTGATTGATTTCCAAGGATGATGATACACTCGATTGATGATCGATTAGGTCGTAGGGTTGACTAGAATTGGGATTTTGAAGCTAATCTTGGTAGAAATTCTGGAATCTCAAAGTCTTATTATCAAGATTCTGTTGCTTATTGCTTCATTGGAGATAAGTCTATGTAAAGGCGATGCCTTTACATATAAAAACTATCAAAGTTTCGGCCTTGGTTTATCTTTCAGAGAGCCAAAACCAAATTCAGTTGCTTTTTTTTTGTTTTTTCAGTCCATTCTGATACAACGGTAGCGAGAATGCTGGTGGGAAACAAGTGTGACCTAGAACACATAAGAGCAGTGAGCGTGGAAGAAGGCAAAGCCTTAGCAGAAGCTCAAGGTCTTTTCTTCGTGGAAACATCTGCTCTTGATTCCACTAACGTTACAACGGCTTTCGAAAAAGTCATACTTGATATCTACAATAACGTGAGCCGTAAGCAACTAAACTCCGACACTTACAAAGATGAACTCACCGTGAATCGGGTTAGTCTCGTTAAGGACGATAACACTGGCTCTAAACAAAGCTCCGGTTTTTTATCTTGCTGCTCCACTTGACACACACACACACAAGAAAAAAACTATTTTTCATTTTCTTTTCAACTCTGTTTCATTTGTTTTTCCCTTTCTTTCTCACTGTATTTGTAACTTTGCATAATGTTGTCACTTCGTCTCATAGAAGAAAAAAAAACCGGAATCCATGAATTGTAATTTATTTTGTCTCAATTTTGGCAAATATCTAAATTATCTCCATTCATTTGTGTTTTCTACTTTTCTTTGTGATACTTCGCTATTTTAAATCATTATTAAATTAAACGGTGGAAACTAATCTGATTGGTTTTGTGAGGTTTTTTAATTATTTGGAAAATGGTGTAAAGCGAGGGAAAAAGAAAATAGATTAAAAAGGAAAAAAGATGGCTTTTCACAAAGTTTTCCCTGGATATGTAACAACAACGAAGATGAACGGAGAATAATTTCTTTCCCTCTTCTCGCTCCCTTTTTTTTTTGTTACATCATCCCTCGATTTCCTCCTCTCCCCTTCTCTTACGGTGGCGATGTCGTTACCTCCGTTTAGCTGCCGCATTCTCGCGGCGGCGGTAGCCCTCTATCTGATTGCTCTGTTGTGCGTTGGGGCTGGCCAAGTTTCTTCCAAAGATGGTGCCGCCGCTCCTAAAATTCCTGGCTGTTCCAACGAATTTCAAATGGTAATGTCTTTGGAATCCTTCATTAGATTCTTCCCCATTCGAATTTTGTTTTGGGTTTCTCATCAAAATTTTTTTTCTGGAAATTTAGGATTATGAGTGTTCATCAATTAACCGGAATCGCTGTTGTCGAAACGGAAACTTTACGTCTAATTCTCGTTGATTGATTTGAATCGATACCGGGAATGCAATCAAATTCCGCAAATACATAGTTTTTGATTCGGTGCCTGCGGTTTTCTATTTGATGTTATTTTTTCATTATGTTAGGACCTATGTGATTTCTCTGAATTTATCCATCAATATTGAGGTTTATCTGTTTCAGTATATACTCAGTCTGTCAAATCTCAAAACCATAGATTCGTGGACAAACATAACTCATGCAACTACTGTTTGTTTAATATCTAAGCCGTGTATTAATATAAGAATATTATCCAGGTCAAGGTCGAGAATTGGGTTGACGGAGAAAATGGTGAAACTTTTTCAGGCATGACTGCTGAGTTTGGCGCCATGCTTCCGTCTGATAAAGACAAAGCTGTTAAACTACCGGTTGTCCTTACCACTCCTTTGAACAGTTGCTCCAGTTTAACCTCAAAGGTTTTCCTTTTTCTTCTCCATCTTAACTACTTGTTTGAGAATTTTGGTGATTAGCTATGCTAGAGAGAAAACTCAAACAGAATAGGTCATAATGATGTTACGTAATATTGATGGATGTAGTTCTTTGAATGAATTCATCTCAAAATTTGGCAGCTATCTGGTTCTATTGCATTATCTGTACGTGGCGAATGTGCTTTCACAGCAAAGGCTGAAGTTGCACAGTCTGGAGGAGCTGCAGCTTTGGTGTTAATAAACGACAAAGAAGGTTGCGACTATTAAATTTAAACCCGGAATTGTATCCCCACGTTGCTATTTCTTGCTTTGCAGTTTTTGATTCGATGAGCCTCTGACATCTTTTTCTACTATCTTTGCTTTTTTAGAGCTGAATGAGATGGCTTGTACTGAGAAAGACACCTCCTTAAATGTTTCTATACCTGTTTTGATAATTACAACGTCATCTGGAGATGCCTTGAAGAAATCCATTATGCAAAATAAGAAAGGTATGGTCTAAGCTTTCTCTATGTGTGGCGCTATTATGGATCCTCATATCTTTTCTAGCACTACCCACTCAAACTGTAATCTTAAGCAGAAAGATCTTTCAAAAAAGTTCAAATGATGGACAGATTTGATTCAATTGTTTCCAGCAGGGAAGATGACATTGTGATTCAATAGCTTTTAGTGGGAAGGCTGAAATTGATTGTGGTCTTTATCATATGATATCTATTCTTAACTTTTGTCTGAAGTAAATTTCAAATTAGTCAATGCAAATGTTGAAACTCTCTCTCACTATTTTTTAATGATAGTCCATCTGCTCTTAATTTTTTACCATTCTTTTGATGGATATGTTGTTTCTTCTATGATTTTTTTGATGCAGTGGAGCTTTTAATGTATGCTCCAAAAAGCCCAGTTGTGGATTATGCAGTGGCATTCCTATGGTTAATGTCGGTTGGAACAGTTTTCGTTGCTGCTGTTTGGTCGCATGTCACCGGTCCTAAGAAGAGCGATGAGCAGTACAATGAATTGTCACCAAAGGTTTTTACCAGACTGCATCTGCTTTTTTTGGGTTCTACTGAAGCTTACTTAATTATTGGGCATAGATGAAATCATGAAATTTATATTTTGTTACAAGATGTGACAACAAGATAAATACAATCTATTAGCTTGTTCATTCTATCATGGAAATCACCTTACCATCCACTTGTCTTAGTTGGAGACTAATTCTTGTCCTTTTCCTAACATCTGACTTTTTTGGGTAGAAATTTTCAAATGATTCTACCAAAGGTGACGCTACTAAAGATGACGCCGAAGAGGAAACCCTTGATATCAGTGCTACAGGGGCTATTATCTTTGTCATATCAGCATCCACGTTCCTCGTTTTGCTCTTCTTCTTCATGTCATCTTGGTTTATCGTGATCCTGACCATATTTTTCTGCATTGGTGGTATGCAGGTAATGTTGGCGAATCTTGAGTATATCTTAAGTTTCATGGTTCAATAGCTAGAATTATGATCAATGTCTGGTTGCAACTTAATAGTAAACTTTTTTTTAGTATTATTTCCCCGGTAGAAATACAAAACATGATGAGCTCTTCATGTGAAATGAAACAGAGGCTAACCTAACCATTGTTATGTCAAATTATAAAGTCATATTATTAATATATTTTCATCTCAGGGAATGCATAATATTATCACTACCCTCATAACAAGGTATTTTCAGACCCCGAATATTCAACTCATGAAAGAACTCTTTATTCCAGTTAGTTAAAAAATCATGTGTTGCTTTCTCTTATTCATCTTTCATTTCTCTGCAGGAGATGCAATAAATGTGGCCAGAAGAATGTGAAAGTCCCTCTGTTTGGGAATACCTCGATCCTCTCACTAGTCGTTCTGTTATTCTGCTTTGTGGTTGCTGTTGCCTGGTTTATGAAGCGCAAAACTTCGTATGCATGGTTCGGCCAAGATATTTTGGTATGTCCTCTTAGCTTGGTAACTCTGTAATTGTTGAAAGCCAAATAATCTTCTTTTTTAAAAACTTTCGCCTTATGTCTGAACAAAATTGACGTACTAAGCATTTACTTCCACGTTTTTTGCTCAAATCCAACTCTTAGGTTTTTCTGTTTCGTTTTACACATTTATCAGTAGACCACTTATTTATAGCAATCAATTACTTTTCTGAATGTATGTTAGCATGCTTCTGGTTCGTTATTGTCCTTGGTTGTTTTTCTAAGTTTAATGTGTCACGTGACAGGGTATTTGCATGATGATAAATGTCTTGCAAGTGGCTCGGCTACCTAATATCAGGGTGAGTTTTCTGTGTGTATTTTTCAATTGTATTTCTCTAGTGATCCCTTCGTACGTTTTAATGGTGTCTCACACTTATAGGTTGCTACCATTCTTCTCTGCTGTGCATTTGTCTATGACATCTTTTGGGTATTCCTGTCACCACTAATCTTCAAGCAAAGTGTAATGATTGCGGTGAGTATTTGATAGTTTTCCTTCAATTTACCAAAAAGTGTATTATACCTTGATAGTTAATTCTGTTTCTGCAAGGAGAAAATTTTCTTTCAGTTTTAGTTCTAGACGTTCTACAAAAACGCATCATATCATATGATTCTTATAACCTTAAGCCTCATCAAACCAGAGCACGGGTATTTGCATATAGCATCATAATTGTCTTCAAATCACCCAAAGATTGAGTTCGAGTTACACTTGTTGTAATTTGATCTGAGTATATATATGAATGCACATAGTGAAGAGTTAAAAGGACCGATGATAGCTAAAAACTCAGTCACATACAAGTTGGATACTTAGCAGTCATATATTCTCCTGATGGTGTTAATCTATGACATAGGTTGCACGTGGGAGCAAAGACACTGGAGAATCTATTCCCATGCTGTTGAGAATTCCACGGCTTTCTGATCCATGGGGTGGTTACAACATGATCGGTTTTGGAGACATTCTTTTCCCAGGCCTTCTTATATGCTTTATTTTCAGGTAACCTTCTCATGCATCAGACTTGTTATGATTCCAATTCACGGTTAACTAGCTCGGCACCAATTGTATGCACATGTCATTTGCGTCACAGATATGACAAGGAAAATAACAAAGGAACCTTGAAAGGATATTTCCCGTGGTTGATATTCGGCTACGGACTTGGACTATTCTTGACATACTTGGGATTGTATGTTATGAACGGACATGGTCAACCTGCATTGCTCTACCTCGTCCCTTGCACCCTCGGTATTCTCTCTAGTCATTTTAATAAATCTGCAATGCATTTCATTTACCTTACTTCTCATTGTTAAAACTGACCAAAAAATTGCAAGGTTTTCTTACATAATGTTGTGCGGAACACTTGGGCAGGAATCACGGTCATACTCGGGTTGGTGAGGAGAGAACTCAGAGACCTGTGGAACTACGGGACTCGACAGCCTTCAGCTGCAGATGTTAACCCAACTCCAGAAGCATAAATTGCTCCGACATATATAAACTTAAAGCTCTGGAGAGACTCAAGAACATATGCAAGAAGACAATATAAAAACAACAAGACACTGACAATTTTTCTTTCTTCCACAAATGTAAGAAATCTAACACAAGGGATTTACCCTTCTGTGCATATACATGTAGTCGATCAGCACACCCCACACGTATAATGTAATGTATACATATTCACCAACCTTCTGTATCCAAATGAAAAAAAAAAAGTTTGTTGTATATCCCCTTTTGCAGTGGTTACTAGTACAAATAGTCTTAACATTATGCAAATGACTCTTCTCAATTCCTTACTTTTAGCGTATGTAAGTAAATTCCACAGCAAATCAAACAACTTCTAGTTTCAGTAATTGCTTGTGGAGAACTAAAATATACTTTCAATAAGTGAAACACCACAGCAATCTGTACCTGTAGAAGTGTTAGTATCTCAAACTCAGCATATGAAGCTTGGTATCGAAAGGGTTTTCTGGTTGACTCGCTATCAACAAAAATAGTAGTAATTAAAAATCTGAGCCCACGACCACTAAATAGTCAAGAAAATGAAGCAAATGAAGTTGTACCTTTGCAATAGTCAGGTTCTCCAGTACGAAGCTGCCAGACCAAGCATCAAACCTACCGTGGTGCTCTCATGGTCCTAAAAGACCAATGAAAGGAAGCAATCAAGGTAAATAGAGAGTAGTCAAGAATGTGTCTGAATTTATCAAATGGAAAAAATCACTTTAATATAAGAAGAATATGAAAGTTGTTCCATCTATTTGTAGATTAAAACGACTCTATATGTGATAACAAAGGCTGATAATGAAAAACGACCACATTTATCAAATGAGGCAGACATATGTCTTCATTTAGTAAAGGAGTCCAAATGTTGCATTCCTAATTTCATATCTCCACTCTAAGCCACATGTAGTCACAACTAGAGATGAGCGTGTGCTAATCCAAAAATCTAAAAACATACATTGTGAGATCATGTGTTCCAGTTTGGTGTATTCTCTTCTAGCATCTCATGATGCAAAAGTAAGATAAGCGACACTAAAACGTCCTAAAATATAAAAACACAAACCTGAAGCGGAGCCAGTCCAGCAACAGCATTATGATGAAACTCTGGCCAGGTCTCAAAATCAGCAACATCATTATCTTTGCAACCAAATACATACACAGAGATTGTTTCGCATCACACTCCTAAAGTTCTTGTTCCCAATTTTTCTTTGAAATGGAGATCGGATAGCTGAACTCAAAGACTCAAAGTACTTCTTCCATCCAAAATGAAAAAATAAGAAAGAAGAAAACTAATTGATGGTCTGAGTTTGGTTTCTCAATGGGAAGCTTAATAATGAGCTTAGCTATGGTGAACCTCTGCATATTCAAGTACTTGATAGTTATTATAATCTTTTAAAAACAGATGGACTTGAATAGCAAGTAGTTTTCAGAATCTAAAGACTTGATTAAGTCAAAAACGAAATATGCATTTCCATAATCTGATGTCAAAATGCCCAATCACATCATCAACATCTCGAGCTGTAACCTCCGAATTCATTCGATCTTTCACGACACCAAACACCAACAATTGAAAGCTTTCGAGATTACCTTATCCTTATTTGAAGGATGGAGGAATAAGGTGACGCAGCGAGCTGGAGCAATTCAGAATTGCCGGCGTTCTCTTCTCCGGCGAATCAGAGAAGCATCTCGGTGACACAATTTCTCTGCAAACCAAAACGCAACCCGATAACAAGCAAAACGCATATAACATATAATGATTTAAATAATGTTTATGTATCACTGCAGTTAATTTGACGGACGGTGACATAATATCAAATGATATTAATAATGTTGTGTATCACTGACGTTAATTTGACGGGCTGTGAAATATAGGAGACATGCTCCTAAATGCTTAAAATTACTCAAAATAAGCCCCAAAACGACAATCCAATATAAAGTAAAACGCAACCAACTCGCTCACTTTTAAATTTTGGCCAAAATAGAGCAAAATTGATGGACTATATAACCCACGAATTAGGCCTAACGCGCGCAACGCGCACTTGGTGCGAGTGGGAATGGGATATGGCTGTTTATGCGCGTGGAGTCACGCTCTCTGACTTTTGACTGAATTTTTTTTTTTTCTTCTTCTGTTAAAACCAATAAACAACGAGTATTTTATATAGTAAACGACATCAATATTGCATGTTATGCCGTTTTTAGGCAAACTAAAACGACGAGTATTTTAAGTTTCGTCAATTCAAAAGTAGAGTATTTCAAGATGAGTTTTTTCAGGTCAATATCAAACGGACGAAGAAGAAGGTGCTACTGGAGAGACAGCCTACGAATCCGAAACCAAAATTGATGACAATATCCGCTCTTTCTTCGACTCTGATCACAGCAGAAAGTTTGAGCTTTCGAGAAAGACGATGCAAAGGAACACATGGCTGCTCGGTTTGAGCAGATAAAGGCCGAGTTTGAAGGGAAACAAAGAGCTTCACGATGACAAGTGTCGTTTCTATGAGGTTGTTCGTTCGTGTTGATGCTCAAGAAAGACCAGAGATTATTGCAAATCAAATATTCAAAAGAAACATTATCAATCAGCAAGACAACAAGAGACAAGTCGAGTTCTAAAAGAGTAACTCAAAGCAGTGACGTGTCTTGTTCAACAGTATACACATATACATACACTTGATATTTGTGTATAGATGTGGAGGTTTTAAAACGTGAAGGTGATCGAGGAACGGGAACACACAGATCTGGATGAAGTTTTTTCCTTGTTAATTTTACCCGGCGGGAAACAGATAATTTTTTTTTTTTTGGGGAAAAGCTATTTTCTTCCCCAAATAAGCTCCCTTCTTCTTCTTAAAACCTAATAATTTCAATTTCAATTTCAATTTCAATTTCAGTCTCTTGTATACACTGATCTGCTAGTTCTAGTGAGCGACAACAACCTCTCTTCCTCCGAATGATTTCAATGGCGAGTGTCCCAAAACCCTTGGAGGAAGAAGATAACCAAAGCGAAATCGAACTCCACCACGACCACGACAACGTTGATATTCCTTCGAATGTTCGCTACGCTTCTCTCGAGCGCGTCTACTCCGTTTCCTCTTCCTCCTCTTCACTGTGCTGTGCTAGCACCGCCGGTTCCCACAATGTCATGTCCAAGAAGCTCAATGCCCACAAGCTCACAAGTTGTCCCGATGATTTTGAGTCGCAGCCTCAACGGCGACCGGAGATTGTTCACGTCTACACTCGCCGTAGGATGCGGCGGCGGGAGTCTTTCCTTGACGGGGAGAAGCTTAAGAGACGGAGGATTGGTTCTGGCGAGCTGATGAAATTGGGCGTTGATTCCACTACTTTAAGCGTCTCTGCCACCCCGCGTTTAAGGGGTTGTAGAATTAACGCTGCGTGTAGCGGAAACAATAAGCGAAATGGATCTTCCCAGAGGAAGGGGAAGCTAATCACACCTTCTGCTACAGCTAAGAGATGGGTCAGGTTAAGATTCAACTATGATTTACTTTTTTTGTTTTATCCACGGACTTTGAAACAGTGTCATCTTAGAGACAAGTCTCTGCTTCATCTATCTGTTGGTTTGATCTTTGTATTGCCCTGGCAGGTTAAGTTATGATGGTGTCGATCCTACAACTTTCATTGGGCTGCAATGCAAGGCAAGCCTTGAGCTATACATTTATGTGCTTTACTGGCTATGCTGTTCATGTTAACACTTGATTCTTATCTAATCTCTAGGTTTTTTGGCCACTCGATGCTGATTGGTATCCTGGTTCTATCATTGGATACAATGCCGAGAAAAGGCGTCACATTGTAAGTTCATTCTGTTTATTGTATCTGGCTCATGCAAATTATATATGGATTTTTGGTGACTTCCTAAGTGTTTTTTTTTTCTTTTCACATCTGTAACAATATTGTACAGATTAAGTATGGAGATGGAGATGGTGAGGAGTTAGCTCTTCGTCGTGAAATGATAAAATATTTCATTTCCCGTGAAGAGATGGAGCTGCTAAATCTGAAGTTTGGTTCTAATGATGTCGCTGTCGGTGGTCAAGATTACGATGAGATGGTTGTATTGGCTGCTTCTTTTGAGGGGTGCCAGGATTTTGAGCCTAGAGACATCATATGGGCGAAACTAACTGGTTAATATCTCTACTGAACCGATTTCTGTTTCTTGTACACGTATTTTCTTAACTTTTTGTAGAAGAGACTTAGGCATATATATATAACCTCCCTTTATGGTATAAGAAACTTGATGCTGTTAGGAAGCATAAACTTACCACTCCTAATTGCTGTTAGACTTTTGTGATGATTCGTAAGTGAAGATTGCCTAGCTTTCAACAGAAAGTACTTCTGAAGAAAATCAAATATACCTACTGAGAACCATACTGCTGTTTTTCTTAACTGTCCCGGACAGGTCATGCTATGTGGCCAGCAATTGTTGTGGATGAATCTGTTATTTTAAAGCGGAAAGGTCTAAGCAATAAGGCACCTGGAGGAAAATCAATCCTTGTACAGTTTTTCGGCACTCATGATTTTGCTAGGTTAGCGAATCCTCTTAAAATTAGAGATCTTGTTATATAACCGAATACCGAATTGTTGAAATGACTGTTACACATCATAATTATCAAGTGAAATTTGACATTCTGTTCTTTGGTTATATAGAATACAAGTCAAGCAAGCAGTCTCATTTCTTGAAGGGCTTCTCTCGCGGTCTCCCCTGAAGTGCAAGCAACCTCGGTTTGAACAGGCCATGGAGGAAGCAAAAATGCAAGTTCTCTTGCTTTTCAACTTTGCTAATCTAGCGAAGTTGTTACCAAATAGACTATTTTCCTATGTTTATCTTACATGAACATGATGCCTGTGCTAACTTTCTGTAATTGACCTCACCCAGGTACCTAAAAGAATTTAAGCTTCCAAGAAGGATGGATCAACTTCAAAAAGTTGCTGATACTGATTGTTCCGAAAGGACTTATAGTGGAGAAGAGGACAGCTCAAACTCTGCTGAGGATTACACTAAAGATGGAGAAGTCTGGTTGCGACCAGTGGAACTTGGAGACTGTTTGCATACAATAGGAGATCTGCAAATAATAAGTCTTGGTAATGTATGAAACTTATGAGTATATTGTATCATCCTTGATCAGAATGGATCCTGCTCATTATGCATAGGCGTATATCAAATTTTCAGGAAGGATCGTGACAGACTCTGAATTTTTCAAGGATAGTCATCATACTTGGCCTGAAGGGTATACAGCTATGCGAAAGTTCATATCACTAAAAGGTCAATTAATTACCAGTTTTCGTGCTTCTATATTGATCAGGTAGTTCCTATCTTTTAATTGATTGAATTAGTTCATCAATATGCACGATTTCTTGCTTTAAAATCAATCAGATCCTGGTGCATCTGCCATGTACAAGATGGAGGTTCTTAGAGATGCCGAGTCAAAGACTCGCCCTGTTTTTAGAGTGACAACGAATAGCGGTGAGCAGGTTAGTTTTCTAGGTGGAAGACTTGTGTGCATAGACAACTTTAATAGACATGTGTTACATTGATACTTGATTTTTTTGACAGTTCAAAGGAGACACTCCATCTGCCTGCTGGAATAAAATATATAATAGGATAAAAAAGCTTCAGAGTGCTTCAGATAGTCCCGATAAGTTGAGTGAAGGCAAACTTGAATCTGGTACAGATATGTTTGGCTTCTCCAACCCAGAAGTTGATAAACTTGTACAGGTATTTTCTTCTTGAAACTTAAATTATTTGTACTGGTTTTAAATTTGTCTCCTTTTACTACTTCAGTCACTGGACTCTCAGGAGTTTTTGCTAGGTTCTTTGTTGTACACATTTCCTGGACCCTCGCGGTGCTCTGCCTTCTGATTTGTACTTGAAACACAGAATTAGGAATCTTCTATGTTTAGTGGAGTTTTAGGATTTTCAAGCTATGTACATTAAATCTTTCTTCTTATCTCTTTGCACTTAAGTGCCTTAGTTAGATTCCCTCTTGATGCCGTATGATAAGCCTTAACCCTACTGGCAGGGGCTTTTACAATCCAGACCAACTTCCAAGGTTTCTCAGCGCAAATATAGTTCAGGAAAGTATCAAGATCATCCTACTGGTTACCGACCTGTGCGGGTTGAGTGGAAAGATCTCGACAAGTGCAATGTCTGCCACATGGATGAGGTTAACAGTGCTTCCTTCTTGATGAAAATTTTTGTATGCTTTATCTTGTAAGCTTTCATAAGTTAGTTCATCTTGTACGCTTTCATAAGTTAGTTCTTGTCTGCAGGAATATGAAAACAATCTGTTCCTGCAATGTGATAAATGTAGAATGATGGTACTACTCTTTCTCTGAAATTTTATATACTATTTTATATCGTTTTAGATCGATACTCATTAGTCTATAGTGGCTGGCATCCTTTCTTTTTTATGATGACGCTCAGTTCAAAAGTTCTGATCCTGGACTAGGTCCATACTAGATGCTACGGGCAGCTGGAACCCCGTGATGGCGTTCTGTGGTTATGCAACTTGTGTCGTCCTGGCGCTCTCGATATTCTTCCACGATGTTGTCTTTGTCCTATAGTTGGTAATTTGACAAAACCCTTTCGGTATTGAGTCTTTATATGCTTTCAATAGTGACCAACAAAAGATCTTTTAGGTGGCGCTATGAAGCCGACAACTGATGGGCGCTGGGCTCATCTGGCGTGTGCCATATGGATCCCAGGTTCAATCTTGACCATTTGTTATCTGAATGTGTCTGCTTTCTACTATGGATTTAGGAGGGTTTATTTTGATTTCCAAGATGTATGAGTGACCCTTGTGATATTATGCAGAAACATGCTTATCGGATGTCAAGAAGATGGAACCCATTGATGGGGTTAATAAAATCAATAAGGTTTGGGCTTATCTTTTTCAGTTTCCCTTACATCGGTTGTCTCGAATAGAGTAAGTGACCTTCGCAGCATAGTCCAATTTCTAGTAGCCCCATGATGTTTGATTAGTATCTTCTTTTCTGAACACTTCAAAATAGGATCGTTGGAAGTTATTGTGCAGCATCTGCGGGGTATCTTACGGAGCTTGTATCCAAGTAAGAATTCTTTTGATGACAAGAAAAAGCTGATTCATTGTGTAATTACTGGCATTCAGAAGAAAATAAAGTAATGAGCTGCATAGGAACATACAATTTCTGAGCTTTCCTGTAGATTTTGGGTGCCATTGCTTCCCATGGTTTGATTTCGATTTAAATATCAGTACTAAATAAAGTATTTAACTAGAAACAATGATGCACATTTTCAGTGTTCAAACAGTTTTTGTCGAGTGGCATATCATCCACTATGCGCACGAGCTGCTGGTCTCTGTGTTGAGGTACTTTCATATCCTACATTCATTCATACGTTTACTCGACCACTCAACTCACAATAAGATGGTTCTAAATAAGATAGCATTCTTGTACTGTTCGTGTAGCTTGCGGATGAGGATAGGCTTTTTCTTCTATCAGTGGAAGATGATGAAGCAGATCAGTGCATTCGCCTACTTTCATTTTGCAAGAGGCATCGGCAAACATCAAATGACCACCTAGAAACAAAGTACATGGTCAAACCTGCTCATAATATTGCCAAGTATCTTCCACCTCCTAATCCATCTGGCTGTGCTCGTACTGGTATGCAGTTGCATTGACCAATACCTTCTAGAAATAAAGTGAACATTTACAGCACCTCTGTGGGATGAAATTGTTTTGCTAGTTATTCTCTTACCTCACATGCGGCAATGTGTGTGTTTTGTTTATCTTTAGTGACCGTAAGTTATTCTCTTGGACTTTTACACATAGATCTCATGTATTCTTCACATTTTGCTTGCTTGTATTCATGCTCACATCTAAGAGGGCACTGTATATGTTAGTTCATAGCTTTATGTTGCAGAATTGTTAACATATTTTTCTCTATTTCTGGTAGAGCCTTATAATTACATTGGAAGAAGAGGACGAAAGGAACCCGAAGCTCTTGCTGGTGCTTCTTCAAAACGATTGTTTGTTGAAAATCAGCCCTATATTGTTGGTGGTTACTCTCGACATGAATTTTCAACCTACGAACGCATTAATGGATCAAAGGTGTCACAGATAATTACTCCAAGCAATATTCTGTCTATGGCCGAGAAATATAGATACATGAAGGAAACATACAGGAAGAGATTAGCATTCGGTAATCATTTAATCAGCAATCGTAAAAGATTTTATTACTACTTTAAAATATCTGCTATGTTGCCCCAATTTTTCGTGTCTTTTGGGTGGGGTTGGGGGGTGCTTTTGAAGACCAAATTAGTGGAATTTCTGTAAGAAGAGAAAAATGGTAGAATTTTTTTGTTTTCTTGAATTATATGAGATGCATGGTGTCATTTCTGTGATGGGTCTCTGAATATATTAATCGTTATTACTGCTTCTGGATTAGATGGAAAACTAACTTTTTCTGATCCTTTTTTCCTTCAAATTGGTTCACTTAACAGGGAAATCAGGAATTCATGGTTTTGGGATCTTTGCAAAGCTTCCTCACAGGGCAGGAGATATGGTTTGCCTTCCTACCTTGAACTGTCCATTCTTGTATGGTACTGTAATTGGTAAAGTGCCAGTCATGAGGATATTGTGAACTGGGTGGGTGCAGGTGATTGAATACACTGGCGAACTCGTTAGGCCTTCAATAGCTGACAAGAGAGAACATCTTATATACAACTCAATGGTGGTGCGTATCTGACCTTGTACATTTTATACTCTATAGAAGATTCTGTGAACAGTATTGGAACTAAATCAGCATATTGATCTGTGCTTTTTCTCCAATAGAACCATATTGATTGTGTTTTTGCTTGAGCACTGGCATCTACACATTTTTCCAGCTTCCACTCACTAATATTTGGGCTCCGATATATTTGGTTTAAGTAATGAATTGTAAGATGTCAGTTCAGTTAAGTAATATATTTTATGATATAGGGTGCCGGGACCTACATGTTTAGGATTGATAATGAACGGGTCATAGATGCTACAAGAAAAGGAAGCATTGCCCATCTGATTAATCACTCATGTGAGGTATGGTCGAGTATTTGTATTTGACGAAGTTAGTATCTGCAACAATATCACATTACTTATGAATTTGCTTTTGTACAGCCTAATTGCTATTCAAGAGTCATTAGTGTTAATGATGATGACCATATTATTATATTTGCAAAGAGGGATGTCGCAAAATGGGAAGAGCTGACCTATGATTATAGGTTTTTCTTCGTGCCCTTTATTTCTCAGGTGCTTTTGACCATTATCATTTGCTGATTTTTTGTTTTTATATATTTTCAAACTTGCAGGTTTTTTTCAATTGATGAGCGCCTTGCATGTTACTGTGGTTTCCCAAGATGCCGGGGTGTTGTAAATGACACCGAAGCCGAAGAACGACAGGCAAATATTCATGCTTCTCGCTGTGAGTTAAAAGAGTGGACAGAGACCTGAGAGGTAAGCTACATTTTTTAATATGTTAACTTGGAAAAACTTGCTCTTTGTAGCTTACGAAAGCTGGTTTCCAGGTTGGTAGTTGTCTTTTATCCATCGAAGACGAGTTCTTTTATGCGTCTTGATCTCTTCGGATGATGGTCTAATTTCATGGTGAGGGCAGCCATTTGTATTAAAAATATGGTTAACCTAGTCATAAAGTACAACATTTATATGAATAGATGTCTAATTTACAAAATCCTTTTGTTTACGATTGAATGTAAAGCTCCTAACCATTCGATTTTGTGCTTACTTGATCCAGATCTTCACATCTGCTATTTCTACACGAGATCTTTGTCAGGAAACCACACCTTTGCGAATTCTCATGATTCTGGCTAACTTTCCCCTCTAGAGTCGCCCATTAATCTCCCTGAGCACATACTGTAACTCTCAATTCTCTGACTTGAGATAGCTCGATTCTATCCCAAGGTTTTGTATAACAATCCATTTATTGTACAGATACTAATTAGTACTTAAACCACAGTAACCCTTTTTTTGTAACAAGAGGCACATTATAATCTTGGATAAGTGAAATAACCTACATTCTCTTCTTTCTCCAGACTCAAATGGGCCTGAAATCTGCTGTTTCTCTGATTTATTAGGGTTATACATGATGGTTCCATTTATGTCCATATCATGCTACAAAAGAATTGTTGCATCTGGTAAGTACTATGATTAGAGAATTTAACAAGGGATTAGGTTTTTGAGGTAAAAGTAAGAGGTGAACAGTTTTCTTCAGTCTGACACACAACATGTGAAGGAAGAAGTCCTTATCACTCCTTTAGTCCTTTGTAGTGCTAACTTTATTTTCCACCTTTTTTTGGTTCTCTGTGCATGTGACCCTTATTGGTCGTATCCCTCTTGACCCATTCTCTCTCTCTCACACACACATGCACACACGCACAAACGCGTGTCTTAATGTTTGTTTATGTGTGTGTTACAGCGTGTGTGTATATTAGTATATATACTCAGGTTTGAAGTCTAATGCTTCCATAGTTCTGTTAGCTTGTGTCCAAATGCCAATATATCTCAAGTTCCTTCTTTGGGCATCTCTTGCTCTCTTGCTTCTTCAAACGGGTAAGTTCAAACTTGTCTAACTATATTTTTATCGTGAGTGTATGTATGTATAGACATGTGAATGCGGGTTGTATGTTTAGGATTTGGAGAAAAATGTGAGAGCAAAAGCAGTGAACCTACAGTGAGGCAGGCGCAGGTGAAGTGGAGAGAAGGAAAGAAGTTCAGAGTTGAGGTAATGAACAAATGTCCAATGTGTCCAATCATCAACCTTCGTCTGAAATGTCAAGGATTTCCTCAGTCGCTTGTGGACCCCGCGCTCCTCCGTGTTCTCTCCTCTTCTGCCGGAAACTGCGTCGTTAATGACGGCTTGCCATTGAGTCCAATGCAGACTCTCTCTTTCAACTACTCCAACTCACACCAGTTGGCTCTGCGTCCTTTTTCTTGGTCTTTTCAGTGCGAATAAATCAATAAGATTGTTAAATCAATAAAAGTAGATCTCTTTGTTCATCAATCTGCTGGTATATCTTTTGTATAATCTATATTCAGACCACCTTTTTTTACCATTTGAGCACAATGTTGAATCTATGTACAAGAGAGAAACTATAAGGAGTCTCTACTACAGGTAGAAAAGAGTAATGAGAAGAAGTAACGACGGTAAAAGCAAGGAGGCATCTAAAGGATATGCAGAAGAGATATAATGTGAGCCTACAAGATGAACTGTTCCTGTTCCTTCATCTTTTACTTTTATGCTTGATGAGCCTGCAGAAACAGAGACGGGATAATTATAAATTGTTCCAGATTCAAAATCTTTCACAATCACTATGAGACATGAATCTTAATCTGACACTTACAGTTGTACTCCGTCCACCCGATGACCTGATTTTCTAGATCGTAGAGAACAAGCTTGTTTGAAAGGACCAAATCTGCAAAGGGAATGTAAGATATTGTGAGCATTGGGTTCTTGTTTTACAATGGTAGAGACAACGGGACACAACACAAGATCTAGAGCTCGCTTTTGTAGGATACGCCGTTTAAACTATAATGGAAAGCAGGATGAGATGAAGAAAGGTTCGTGAGTATTCTTAAGGTACCTCCCAAAAGTGTCATGTTTCTCCTATCTCTCGATTGCATTCCACTATTTTGCCAACCAATGCACCACATTCCTTCCTGAGAAAATTTGGTTTAATGAGTATGAGGTGAAATGGGTACCCTGATGCGAAAAATCAACCATAAAGGCTGAAGATGCTTACATAAGGGAACAGATAATCATGAGGATAAACCCTGAGGAAAACCGAGTTTTCGAAATGGAAAGTGACATTCGGAAACCCCTCATCAACTCTACAGCAAAGGCAACATGTGGTTTCTTAGGAAAACGATTGTGTGATAATAAATGCATTTCACAATTTTGCAGTATCAATGATAAATTCAAGACGTAAAACTAACCTTCCAGAGTACTGAAAGCATTTATAGTCTTTATCAACTATGTGAACTTTCAGAGCAGGCTCTTGCGAGGTTATCTAACAAAAGATCCAGGTTTATCAGAACATAATCTGCAGTAAAAAAAAAAAAAAATTGAAAACTTGAAATTTTCTTGCAGTGTACCTTCTTCACCAGTGGTTCATAGATTATCTCTGGAAGATAGGCCAAGGTTGTACCACTGTCAATTATTGCTCCTTTTCTGTCTCCCGCTTGAAATAAATCAGCTGGAATCTCTAGAAACTCCTGACCGACTTGAACTGCTGTCATATTGACATTGTAATGTGGTCTACAATTAAAAACAAAAATAGTCCGTTAACAAAAAAGACTAGAGAACGAATATATTCTCCCTCCAACGGGAAACGCAAGAAGATTCACTTTATGTCAAGTAAAACCTCTAGCTATTCCTATATACTCAGAGAGACCATTATATCTCAGCGAGCAAGCGTATAATATTAGTCTAAAGCAGGCCTATGAGAGGAATAACATGGTGGCTGCATCTACCGGTATCACATTGAGGTTTTAATCCAAGTGGAAAAAGGTATTGATGCATATGATTACACAAACGCAAGAAAAGGTAAAACAATTTCTGACATACTGATTGGGTACCAATGGTGTCATGTTTACTTTTGGTTGCACAACACGTCCAATAGCAAATATGCCACCTCCATTTCTTCCATCTAAGCAATGAGCAAATATTTTTTTCACTCGCCCTGATGAAGCCAGCTGGGAAATCATTGAGGAATTAGCTTTTCCAAATCCAAGTATTCCGTCAAGTGCTTCTTCATTAGAAGCGTCAAGATCTCCTGACTGCCTAGCACCACACCTTCAAGATCATAATAAAACATTAAGAAATGGAAAATGAAATGACGGATTAAGCTTCACTGCAAGAGGAATGATAAAAAATTGTCGTGGACAACTGGTATACAATATCACGAGATTTTTAGGGATTTGAAAAGATACATAAGAATGAAAGAAATGAAATGAGCTGTGCTCAGAAAGCTATCTAACCAAAATAAACAAATCAATCAACTATCATAATCAAAAGCACAAGATACTTCTGTAACGCATATGGTTTATCTGTGATACTCCACTCGATGAGAATATCACCAGACATGATGGAGAACTAATTCACATGTAACTTTAAAAAAAAACAAAAAAAAAAAAGATGCCAGGAAGCACTTTAACTTCTGTCAGAATCATAAGCAATCAAAATTTATCTGTTTAGCCTTTTTAAGGATTGTTTGCCAATTAATTAATCAGCTTTACAGTCTTAATCTTTTATTTGGTTCACTGTACAAACTAAAACAGTGACCATAAACAAAGAAAGCTTGTGCTCTTTTCAGCGAGAATAGAAAGAAATGCCAACAAAGATGCAATTTTTAATGTTGCAGCAGCATGCTACTTAAAAGAGAAGTGAAGTGAAGCGAGATCATAAATAGTGACGTACCCAAATATGACACTCCCATTAGCTGTTTTTGTCTTGAGATCACCAGCTACACTGTCATACTGCACAACATCTTGTACAAAATAACCCGCAGTAGAGCTCCCATCTCCATATATTTCAAGATAAGGACACGACATATTAGCTTTGCAGCCTGAGAGAGGACCGCCACTTATCTGGTAGCAAAAGTCTTCATCGCAAGAAACCAACTTTCCGCTGTTTGATTCCTTTATGTTGTAGAGCGTCAGCTCGATCTATATGGGTAAGAAAGCGTATAAGAAAACATCTGAATAGAAGCATAGAAAGGTGCCAGCGACAAGAATCTCAGAAAATGTAGATGAGATAGAAAGAAAAGGCTTACACCAAGAGTGCTTCTTCTTGGACATTGTTTGCACTGAATACAGTTAACCCACATGATATCACTCCCTGTGTCGACTTGAACATAATAGCTCTTTGCAGGAGTTCCAATCTCAATTTTTGCATAGTATAGCCTTTAGATGGATGAAAAGGAGAAAGCAATGAAAAAGAGAAAGAGAGAGAGAGAGAGAGCACACAGAGATCAATGGGACGCATAAATGCCTGAATTCCAACTGCAAGTTGTATAAAAAAAATTTCAAATTTGAAACTGCACATTACGAGATTCCTCAAAAATTTCTCTAACTCCAGTGACCAAACACTAAACAATAAGTTTGGATTTCATGTTTATAAGCATAAATCGAAGTAAGTCTCAGAGACAGAAACGAACCCGAGAATATCAGGGCGACCGGTTCCACCGAGGGGTAGATCGATTCCGGCGAGAATTGTGAGCTGGCGCCGGTCATCGTGCTCCTTGAGAGCGCTGAGAGAGCCTTGAAGCCTAGGATAACGGTACTTAACGTTGAACACTCCGGGATTGGAAGAGACGCAGGTGGAGAAAACGAGCGTAAGAAGAGTGAGAAACCAAATCAGCGTGATTCTTGGAGGATGAGAGCAGATGGAGAAATTGACGATTGATGATGTCATCTTCCTTCTCCCTCGCGCCTGATTTTTTTATATGGCGTATATCGTCTTCGACGGAGGAGTTGACAGAAATCACCGGCCCGGCGACGACGACGACGACGACGACGACGACGAGGGAGCGGAGGGAAAGGGGGAAGTTGAGAAATTTCAGAGTTTGTTGGTCACTTCTTCCACCAATACAGCCATTTCCTCCTAATTTTTATTTATTCTTTAATTTTTATTTCTTCCGTGGACTTTTCAATTTCCTTAAATCTTCCACTCATTTTATTATGACTTCAAAAAAAAAAAAAAATCTTCACCTACATATACAGTATATACAGTAAGTTGGAGAAGCCCATGAATAATTTGTTAAGAGATGTAGCACTAACATGTTATGTAGAAGTAGAACATACATTGAAAATGTGGATCAATAGCTATTAATCTCTAAGAAAAGAAAATCGTTGACAAAAAAACCTTAAACAAAACAATGGGATCCATTCACAGCCACTAGCTAGTTAGTCACATAGCCTACAATGTGAATTTACGTATATTATTTTCTCGACTTGTGAATTATGTATAATGAAAAAACTCAAAAACTCGTATACAAATTTATAATACACCTCAAACCACATTTTGTTTTCTCTATTTTACACACATTCTCCAAATACAATAATTAAATATGGTTTTACATACAGAAAAATAATAAAATTTTGTTTGCATAAGTTCTACAGGGACAAGCCCAAGACAAAAAAAGAACACTTTCTTTTTTTTTTTTTTACCACAAGCAATTTCACTTATTACGTAACACTTCTCGACTGAAGCAAGGGACTTGAAAACATGAGCGATACAGAGACTCAAGAAGAGGAAGAGGAAGGTGCAGTTGAAGGGTTGAATGCTTTCTGCTCGGCGCAACTGAGCTCCTCGTTTGGTCCTGCGTCTTCTCTTCCAATACCCAAGAGGTCGAGGAAATACAAGTAGTGTGAGACTATGTTGTTCATTGGATCAATGTCACCTTGACCACATGTGAGCTCTCCGTACAGCACATTCATGGTGCTTCCAAAAGTCGGACCACGTTTGGACAAAGTGTCGTTCTTTGTAGGTTTCCAGTTTCCAACAAATATGTCGTGAGCTGAGGGCTGATTTTTCTTGATTGGTGTCATCCATCTCCACACTGCGGCTTGGAAGGCAAGTGTCGCGTTCTGCTCGATGTACTCGGGGTGGTTCAAGAGATCAGCTTTCAGGGCTTCTCCAGCTGCGCCGTAGTTGAAGTTCCTTCATATAAACACAAGTCAAATACTTAAAAACTCTGATGATCCTTGAAATTGAGTACATAAAAATGTGAATTGTTTGCGAGAGATGCTTACCAGTAAATGGGTAAGGCACCGCGTCCGTAGTATTCAGCTCCAGGGCTGCAAGGGTACTTGAATTTCCAGGAATCGTCACAGTAAGATTGGCTTGGGCTCATTTCCCTGTTATAGCACAGACCCCAAGCTAAAGGCCCTCCTGTTGCAACTCCGTAGCCACCTATATAAGATAACACATTAAACACTCATGCTAATGCAACATATAAACCACAAATTCTATCTTGGGAATGCCCATTTTCATGAACGCGAATGTCCGCAGATTAATAAGATGAAAGAGCTATACAGCTTATAGCATCCATTCTTTCTATTCATAACAGCATCCCAATATATTTCTGTTTTTAACCGTCAATTATGTAAAAGAGGACATATGCTTTATAGATAGCTCACTTAGGCACAGAGATTCATTCGGTTAAATACGATTTCACAGAAAATAATATTAAAGCCTTAAGAGTTCTGAAGAAAACTCACAGGACGTTTTGCTGGCGACATGACCGAGGAAAGCAGCAATTTCTTTCTGTCCCATGAGCTTTCCACCAGTGGTACCAAAGCCAAGAGGCTCATAGAGTGCAGCGGCGGTAATGAAGGACTGGTAGTCCCAGAAACCAACAGCATGCGCAACAGGAGTGTTTCTTTTGGCAAAGAGTTGCTCAAACTGATAAACCTGAAAGTAATCTGATATTGTCTGGTTACAGCAGTATTCTGACCACCAGCTGCATTCCCATCCCTGCGTGCACATCTTCTTTCCCTTCACTTTCTTAACTTTGATCGTTTTGTCTTCCCCATTTGCAACTAAAGCCAGGCATGATACAGCCAGCAGAACCAGAATAACTATTGAACCACTCCGGATCGTCACCATAGCTTACAACTATGGAGCAAGTATCAGCTACAAGATCATAGAAAACAATTAGACGGGCTTCTTACTTGAATTTGTCTGAAAAATTAGAAACTTTTTCATTCTTCCTAACAGGCAAATACTACTCCCGAGTCCTCAACATACTATCAAGAAATGAATTTAAACGTGATTTTTTCCAGGAGAGATCTACACACAACAAGAAATATGACAACATGCTAAAACCAAAACACCAAATACCGACAAGTCAAAAGCTGAAAATCTAGAATTCAGCCTCGGAAAAATTGGAATCAGAATAGGAAGAATCAAATCAGCCACAAACCAAAAACATGGAAGTCTTAGTTCAAGTAAGTAAAAACTAACAACACTTGGCTGACCCCTAATAGCTGTAGATTGACCGATATCATACCAAATTGGAATAAGACTAGAAATATGAAGTATAGAATTTGTGAAGACTTCAAAATGTGAATGTAGATCAGAGATTGTGAGATCACCAAACCAAAAATGAATCAATTCCTGAGTCAATATTAGCTGTGAATCGTTACCGAAACTAGATCGAGTACTTGAAGGAAAAGCGCTAACCTGCAATGTCGAGCAGCTAGATCCAAAGAGATCGAGAAAATGACCTGAGCTTCAACGGGACAAAAAAACTGCTTTTTTTGTTGCTTCGTTGCCGAGAAAACAAGAGATTCTCAGGAAAGAAAGAGAGGAAGGACTAAACTAAAGCGGGTGACGGATCAGCGGTCTCTATCAACCGTTTGATTGGAGTGAAATCAACGGCTTAGATTGCGTTTGGTGAGATGAATGTGTCGGTATGAGAAGACAGGCTGGTGCGTGTTGTGGGCCCTAACTTAAGTGAAGTGGAGCCTTCCACCGACAGCCAAGCTCCTGCGAAATCTCCCCGGTTCAACCAACCGGTTCGATACGGTGTAATCCAATTCGAATAATTATTGGTTTATGCTGTTCAAGCGAGAGAGTATGGCCCAATGGGCTTTTAGTTTGGCCTTTTTATAAATGCTAAACAAATTTGGTCAAGTTTCAAACAAAAAAAATTCTCTCTCTCTCTCCTCCTCCAGTCTCGTCTGTCTCTCATTCTCTCTCTCTAAAAGTGTGACAATGGCGTCTGCTTCGAAGCAAAATCCTTCGTCTTCCAAACCCCCAAGGCACCCGTTTCCCATCTCCGCCACAATCCCCACAAAATCCGGTGTCTCGGAAGAATCCCAATTTCGAAACCCTAATAACCCTAGCACAAGCGTCTCACCGTCGACGTCAAATTCCCCGATTTCGATGGCAGTGGAGGATCAGATCTTCGGACGTTCCACTCACCTCACACGCCCGGAGCTTCTCCGACGCCGATCGCACAACCTGAAGCAGCTCGCAAGATGCTATAGAGACCATTACTGGGCTCTAATGGAGGATCTCAAGGCGCAACACAGAGAGTATTACTGGAAGTATGGGGTTAGTCCTTTCAAAGAGGAGAATCATCAGCAGAACAAGAGACGAAAGGTTGGGATTGATGAAAATGCCGCCGTTGAAGGTAGTGGAGACAACGATAACAACAATGGTGGCAGCAATGGCTTTAAGAATGACCTCAATCCGAACAGAAATTGTGTGGCTTGTGGTAATGGATGCAAATCCAAGGCCATGCCACTCACGAATTACTGTCAGCTTCATATTCTATCGGATAAAAAACAGAAGCTTTACACGTCTTGTACTTACGTCAACAAAAGGTTCGTTCCAATTTCCCTGTCTCCTAGTTTCTAAATTTTGATTCACAGTTATTCTCTTGCTAGTTTATAGAGTCGATGCTTGACTCCTTTTGTGTTTTTTTGCGACAAAGATAGTATTAGGATACATCTTCCTGAAGTTCTTACTGTAAGTAGAGACCAGATGTCAGATGCTATAATATTTGTTTAAACATTTGGTTTGTTATATCCCTGATCATAAAAGAGCTTAAATTTTGTATTCGGAAGTGCAACTAACTAGCATGTGGTGATTACTTTACCAGCTCTATTCTAACTTGGTGTTGTTATACTGTTGTATATGCAGAGCTCAGTCAAAAGCGATAACTTGTCCAAAACCAACACTTGCATCGACCGTTCCTGCCTTGTGTAATGTGCACTTCCAGAAAGCCCAAAAAGATGTTGCTCGGGCTTTGAAGGATGCTGGTCATAATGCTTCTTCAACAAGCAGGCCTCCCCCAAAACTCCATGACATTGTGGCCGCGTTTGTGCATCATATTCAAGCAAAAAGGAAAGATCTACGGAGAGAGGGCAAATTGAAAAGCTCAGTAAAAGAAGAAATTACAAGCTACACCGAATAGTTAGAATGCAGAGAAATAATTCGTTTCCACAATTGTGCAAAAATGGAAGGTAAGATAACTGGCGTACACAACTGGGATATAGGTAGCTGATCCTAATTTGATTCGATAGACAGAGATACAGTAATCATCTATGCCTGAGCATGAAGAAAGTTTATTTTTTTAGTGTTGATATTGGTTGATTTTTCATTTTCGTTTGTTAATCCTAGCAAAGCAGAGCTGCTCTTAGGGTGATTAGCTTCTAACTTCTGAGAGGTGTCTTTGTGGTGAATGGTGCTGACAGTCATTGCCAATAAGTTGCTTTATTTAGCATTTTGTGTTGTTGCGTAGAATATACAGCAGGTGGTGTGATTTTCGTATACATATGTTGTGTTTTGTTGAATGTTGATTAGCTGGACCTAAAACCCAATACCTTTGTTAACCTACATGGCAGTGTGTAACATATAGGTCCATAGCCTCTATTCAAGCAGTTTATGTACCTGTTTGACCGAGCGCGCTTCTTCCACGACATTGACAGATTTAGGTGGGAGTGCCTCTACAAAGTTACAACTTATAAGGAGCTTCAGCCAAAGAGAGGACACATAGGTTTAGTCTTTTTCTGTGTTTTTTTTTGGTCAAAGACACAAAGGTTTAGTTAAGCGTTTCAAATCTATTTGAAAGCGAGGTTTTCTTTGTAACCACCGTAGAATTAATTCCTAACAGTTTGTTTTGATTCTCGTCACGAGCTTGATTCCAACATATAAACACTGTCTTTTCGCAAGAGGGATGAGTCTAATTTTAAGAACTTCATTAATAAGGAGGCTGTGTAATTTGAAATCTGCCTTTGGGCCCTTCAGGACTCTGCTTTTAGATTGGAGATTGATGAAAACATGCGTCACATAACATTCATCCGAAGCTACTTTGGCTTATATATTAAAATGCACTCTCAAGATCCAGCAAATGCGTGTTACTCACCTTCACCCGCCATATTGAGCATCTAGAATCAGAAAATACACTTTTTAACCAGTTTGGACAGTTAAGTGAAGTACGAAGAAGATGAAATAAAACATCTGAAATGCATTTATCTACTTGTAAGCGTCAACACACATTCACGAAGATGGAATGAGTCAAGAGGATAGTAGTAATGCCACTACCTTCATAAAGAAGGTTATAGACCCAGTTACCAAGTTAAGATTAATTACCTCAACAAGTAGAGGTCCATAATCAGTTAGTGATAGCTTTCATAAACACAGGTCTCCCAAACCACTCCACACAATCCAGCTTTCATCTCTCTCAAGTAATCAGCTTTAGACGTGTAGCTTAACACATTCATTACACGAGACGATTTTGGGAAAGAGAATAGTCATAGTGACATCACGCTCGGGTCAGTTAGATTAGTTACCTCAGTAGGTCCATGACCAGTCAGGTAAAGTGAGTGCTCGTTAAGAAAACAGAAGGCTCTCTCATCACTGCACAAGGACAAGAATCCAGTTCTTAAGTTGTCAGATGTTAAGCTCTATATACTGAAATTAACCAGTAGGGGAAATGGGAAAGAATTTGATGTTTTTATTCATTAACTGATACCTTTATTTCCGTTCTTAAAATCATTAGACTAAATAGTAAATACTACTAGTACTACACATACATGGAATTACAGTCAAGAAATCATTATACGTGTTTCGGTTAAATTTCAGACCTTCACAATGCCTTTCCGAGATCTCTTCCTCAGCTAACAATGGCTGAGATGCTGTTCATGTAAAAAACATCTTCACTATAATTCCTAGTCTCATTCAGCTGCACAACTGGACGGTACAGGCAACTGCTTGTGCCCAGTATTTGAGTCTAGCTTTCACATCATCCGGATTATCACCTGAAAAACAACATAAACCAATACATTTCAGATATGATATCCAAATGTCCTGAAATCTCACAGCAGTCTAGATTTGTGGCCTCTGTATCAAGAACGAGATAGATATCACACAATTCCTCATGATGACTTGAACATTTGTTCACACTAGTAATAAGCAACAACCCAATTACCCAAATGAAATTAGAGAAGTTAAAGATAGATCGAGAATGAGAGACATTTATACCTGGGCTAGAAATCTTCCAATTGGCAATCGGGGTGGGCGTTGCCGGTGAATGCGACGGAGAGTCGTCCACCGACGAACTTTCCGGTGACCGGTTATCTAAGAACTTCTGGCTCATGGAATAGCATAGCTCCAAGGCAGGTAAAGTGTTGCAGAGCTCAGGGATCTCGTCGTAGCTGAAACCAAAGCCTAGATCCAGACAACCCTTGAGATCTTCGAGATCGTCATCGGTTAAGCTCTTGGATCTCGTGAGATGATCGTCTTGATTATCCAACGAGGCAAGAGTCTCTACGTAGCCTTCCAGTAACACAAGGCTCTTCTTCTTCTCCAGCTTCTTCCGATTCTCGCCGCCGCCGTCGACGACAAGTGATCCGCGGGTAGAGATCTGAGCCCACGCATCTTGGATTCCGGCTTTATCGTCAGATGTTTCGGCTTGTGGAGAAGAAGAGTATAGCCATGGATCTGATGATTTGCAGCGAACACAATCCATCACTCACTAATTGCTCTTTCTCAGTTCGAGTATCTTTCTCTTTCTCTCTATCTGACTCAGTTTCCTTATATATAACAAATGTCTGGAGAAATTTTATTAGAGTTTGATTTGGTTACTTATAAAAGCCGCAATGAGCTGTACATAACATGTTAATGATGATGATGATTTGATTGATTGATAATGATGATGTGACATCTTCTCGCGTGAATATTGTCGTGTGAAATTGGTGGGCCCCGAAAATAAATTACTATTTACTATTAGCACCGATTTAGGGAAGGAGTTACTTCTAAACGATGATTACTCGAAAATTCAAAATTTATAGACTTTTTTGTTGTGTCAACCCGAGAATTTGTGTTAATCAATCAACGGTTTTTATGTTCGTCGATTAAAAGACGCAATTCGGTTCAGGTCAATTTTTTTTAGAAAAAAACACTAATAGGAAGAAAAAAAATCTACCATCATCAATGAGTAACACAACTAACAACACTATATATAACTTATGAATTTTGAACTCTAATATCGAAATCAACTTGTATATTGGTGTGATCGGGATAGTGGACAGCATGACATGTATGATGTGTGTGAGTATTTTGTATGTGTTATGTGGAAGTATGATTGTCATTTGTCACATATAAGTATATAACACAGTGTAGATGTAAGGACTTGGTTGTGACACCCAGATATACAGTTGGTTATACTGATCGGGGGCAGGTGGCGGATAAGGAGTGGAGCGATCCTAAACTGAAGATGAAATATAGGCCAACAAACCCACGTGGCCTATCTTTGTCACTCAATAATTTAACTTGGTAGGAGAAGATTACAAAGTCACATCATTATTGTTGAGAGAGCTCCCAATTATTAATATACGGTCCAAATTTGTTCCTACATTTATGTCCATTTTCCATGCATTTTTACAAATGAGAAATGCTCCTTTTAACAATACTGTAATTCTAAATTTATCTACGATAGTTGCGAGTCTTTGGAGGAAACTAGGTTACATTTTCCTTTCGGCTCTTTTCTTCTCAAAGTCGGTCCTTGAGTTTGATTTTTCTTTTTTTCTTTATTAAGGTGCGGGTCTTAATGTTTTTTTTTTATATAAATAGGGTAATAATATGATTGTGCACACTAGCACTCGTGGTGCTAGGCTGCGAGCCGCAACGGAGACAATTGTGGGATCCACATGATCTAACGCTTTGATCCCCTGAAACGGTGAAAGGTTACACTTACACATGTTACTTTTTACAACAACAATTGCTAAGATTATATATTATATATATAAGGACACGATATGATTATCAAAGTATGGTTTTTCTTCTCTATCGTCTGACTTTTATTTGTTTTCTTGTCCTCACCACATCAAACACGGATTTAGTCTCTGGGAGACTCTTTCTTAATTAGAAGAAAATGGAGAACTAATTAAGGTGAACATATATATACTATCCCCAGTTGCATGCGTGATTAAACCTGTACGACTTTTCCAACATCTAATATATATGGTTTGTTTCTTACATAAACTTAAACTTGTTAAGATTGCTATCAAGATTAATATTAAATTATTTAGAAGGTGTAAGAATGATTTTACATTAAGTGACTACTGACTTGTGATATATGTAATGATAGTTTGATAAGACCACTGTCATTATAGAAAACTTAGACTGTATTTACTAGATTAACATTATTAGCTGTAATGTGAAAACCAGAAAACAAATCATTAAAATAAAAAGATACTGCAAGCGAACGATTTGGCATAAAAATTAACCATATTTGAAATAAGATTTAATTATATATAGCTATCTCTTATCAACCATCTCATTAATTGTTTAATGTATCCAATTGTCTTTGGTAAACTCTTTGTTTAAGGGGAAGTAGAACAAGTAGTGTGGTTTCCCATTTGAACGTATTAAAACAAATATCGGAATCTACGTACTGAAGATAGGACTTAAAAGATGAGAAACATAGATATCTTGTCATAAAAGTAAGAGAAACTGCAAACCCTTTTCATATCTATAATATACAATTATAAAAACTTGGTCTACCTTTTTCTGTTCTTGGCAAGACTTGGACTTCTTCAACTGAATCATTTAATTATAAAGGGGGTGAAAAGTCGTGAGACTTCTCTTCTCTCATTTTGCTTCTCACATGGAGGATTACCAAGTGAAAACGCTGGATGAGCTCGAAATCGAATCAGAGGAGGAGTGGTTCGACGCACCTGAAGAAAATGATCAGATTGTAACATCTATCCAACACAGTTATGTTACTGTTCTGAAAGAACAAGATATTCGAAGGCGTATGGAAAATGAGATTCAAAGTGTTTCAGTCGTTTTCTCAATCTCTAAAGCCGAAGCCATACTTGTGCTATCTCACTCTCGCTGGTAAAAAATGCATATATAACACTGTTCTTAGTTTTGTATTTTTTTCTTCTACAAGATACCCTTTTTTTGGCTATATAAAAAAAATCTCTCTGATTCTTTAAATTTATATATACTCAGGGATGTTAGTGAATTTCACAAGAAATGGTCTGATGATGCTAAAAGTGTTAGAGAAAGCGTTGGCTTATTGGTAACTGATGCACCTTCTGATGACAAAGACAAAAGAGTAATCTCGAAATAATTCCATTATTCTACTCTTTTTAGTTTGTTTTGTTTTCTCCGAGTCTAAGTTAACACCAGATCACCATCGTATAGTTCTTTTGCGGAGTCTGTTCCAAATTACACCCACTTAAGAAGTCTGCATCGGTCTCCTGTGGCCATCGTGTATGCATTAGCTGCTGGACAAGTATGATCTCGTTAGATTCGAATGTTTATTCTAATTTTTCTGTCGACCGACCTTATTATTACATCTATGTTGACCTGTAATCTTATAGGTCATATCACCAATATCATCGATAAAATGCCAGCTAGTGATGACTGGTATCAGACATTGAAATGTCCTTACGAATATTGTCCAGCTTCTGTTGGTCAAGATATGATCGAGAGATTTTCTTCCGAGAAAGAGAAGTCCAAGTATGATCGATTTCTCTTTAGATCTTACGTTGACGACAGCAAGATGGTATAAAAAGAAAAGCCATAAACAAAACCTTAGATAGATCACTATATACGAACTAGCTAGTTGCTGCTTTAAGGTCTGACTTTAGCTTTTACTTTTTCTTTTTTTTTGGCATTAGATGAAATGTTGTCCTGTCCCGGGGAGTAGTTGCACAATTGATCTGAGTAGTCCTGAATCTGGAAATTCTGATGTCTTCTGTCTCTGTTTGCTTAGTTTCTGTTGGAATGTGAGTATCTTGGCCTTGAATATTTCTTGTCTTTAATTCCACTTTATAATATTGTTATTGAATCTTAGCTTCAGTGCAGCAACGACGCTCACAGTCCTGTGGACTGTAAAACAGCTGCAAACTGGTTAGCAATGGACGACGTTTCTGATTACCAAAATCCAGACTGGTAAACACAAATAACTTAAAAGTTTCGGATATCTATAAAACCTTGAGATCTTACAAATGTTTCAATATTCTTTTGAGATTATGATTTTAGGGTACTAGCCAATACGGTGCCTTGCCCCAAGTGTAAGACAAGTATCAAAGTAAATGAAGATTGTTCACTGAAGATGACATGCTTACCTCCTTGCAACTATGATTTCTGTCGGTAATATACTTATAAATGAACTCTGATCTATCTATTAATTCATGTCATGTGGTTAACTAATTTAATTTTTAAATGAAATTTCCTCTGCAGGAACTGCCGTGGTGAGTTGACTGGACACGGGGACGAAACTGGCTGGGATTTATACACTTGTTACTTTCACGTTGCGGTACTTTCTCTGATCTTTTAAAATTCAATTTGATGGTTTGTGTTTGTGTGTAATGAGTACTGTTTGTATTGATCCTTCTTATTTTACCTTTGGTTAATGTTTTGTAGGTTGAAGAGACTGATCAATGTCGGAAAATGGCAGAATCTTCGGCAGATAGATACAATGATTGTTATGAAAACTGGACGAGTAATGAATTGGTATATACGTACTTACTTATGAGTTTCAGATTCATTTTTCACTTATGAAAGATGCATTGATTTAGCTTGAGTTGGTTTCTTGAGCAGTTGATGCAAAAAGCAAAAGCATACCTTAAGCAACTACACACTGATATTGTAAGAGAGATCTCTGTTGTCTTGCTATTGTTCTGTTTCAGTCTCTGTATATTAAAGGCTGAATCATTATTTTTTTTTTTTCGTTTTGACAGATTCCAAATCTAAGTAACATACAGTTACCAACCGTACCGCAGCTTGAGTTCATTGCAGAAGCTTGGTCTCAGGTTAGCAAAATTTTTGAACTAGTGCCAGAAATATATGTATTGTTGTTTTTTTACCAGACATAACTTAGGTGATGCATAAATGCTATATACAGATCATGGAATGTAGAAGGGTCCGGAAATGGACTTATGCATATGAATATTACCTTAGAGAGGATGAGGTCGAAAAGCGAGCTTTCTTGAAGCATAAGCAAGGTCTGTAACTCCAGTAAGCAAATGCTTGTTCACTAGTAAGACCGAGAGATTAGGCTAACAGTTCTATGTTGAAACAGAGGATGCAGAGATTCCTTTAAAGAAGCTGTATGACTATGCAGAGAATAATCTGCAGACGTTTCTTCATGCGGATGGTCCATCAGAGGATTTTGATAAATTCAGCATCAATTTAACCTCACTAACTAGGTTTTACTCTCTCTCTCCCTCTCTCTCTCTCTCTTTCTTTTGTATATATTTTTTTTCTTGTATTCCAAGCAAGATCCAGCAGAAAAACCCTAAACTTAAATAATTTGTTATGTTTCATTACAGCATAACGCGAAATCACTACAAGGGTCTGATAAGAGATCTTGAAGAGGGCTTAACTAATGTTGTCCCTGTTTCAAGGTCTCAAAGGGCACAGAGCGAGGATGCTAGTGGTTCGGGCCGTAATCATGACGATTGATCGGGCTAATTGTTGATTACTAAAAAAATTATTTGATAATTGCGGACTTCGTGAATTAGTTAAACAAAAAACAATAAAAGAATGAACTCTGTTTTATTTGTCAACGAGTTATGAATTCTGTTTTATACACGTAAAGAATAAAAGAGTGTGGAAATCGTAGTAGGGCCGTGCCTATGTAAGAAGATTGGAAATCTTGGTATACGGGCCCTTTTTTTTTTTTTAAATTATGCTTAAATTTTTGTGATTATAATAATATTAAGGTCACATGTATCAAGATAATATTTTAGTCTTTAAAATAAATTATAATTCATTATAAAAAAACTAAAATATAGTGAAAATAAAATAATTAACTCGCATATATCATACTCACAATCATTTTATTATTAATATGTTTAACTTTTTAATAAAACAAAATATTACACTTGCACTAATTTATTTTTTAGCCACAAACTTATACTAAATTTTTGTATATTGCTTCGGATCTCCATAATCTTAGACACGGCTTAATTGTAAAACTCTTTTATACTATTACACACTTGGACCAAAATGCGAAGAAGGGCTAATTTATTTTACACAGGTCGATGTCAAAGAAATAAGCATTTGATACTTTACTTCCTAACTTTTTTTACGAGGATCTTGGGCTCAACTGGAAATATTAAATATTCAAACTGAGAAAGTCAAGAGTCTTCAACGTGTAAATGTTGGGGGATGTGTATCATGGTTTATGAATAACAGATTTTGAGAAAAGGAATCTGTCACATCAAAGAAAAAAACCAATTCGTTAACTAAGACGCAAAACACCAAAAATGCAACACGTCTTGTTTGAGAAAGAAACTGAGAATCGATTTAGTAGCGAAGAAATTTATGGAGAGGCAAAATTTATTTTGGCTTCAATGGTGCTATATACGTTTCGTTCTTAGATTGCTATTTATTTTTGATAAGAGATTCGAGCAAGACGGTTCGTTCCCACAAGTTTCTTACATTACTCCAGATCTTAATACAAGTAGTTAAAAACAAAGAAGAAATTACTGTATGCATAATAAAGGATATTAACTAAGCCATCTGTTGTTGACAACAACAAAACAAAGCTAAGCCATCTGATATTATTTTCCAGATTCAGAAACAAGTGGACAAGACAGGTGAACTTTTCGGACACTAATAATCTATTACTAGTAATTTAGAGTTAAATATCTGTCTCTACTAAAATCAACTCAAGCCGATAGTGCCAGAAGTCCGTATCTAATCTCAACATAATCGCGAGCCCAGCGATCCGGAATCTTACCCACAATTTCTCGATCAAAGCTCACGTTTCATTTTCTGATAAAGTTGTTTACTTTCCCCTGGTGATTCTCTTTCTCCTATAAAGCAGGACACTTTTTTTTTTTTGCTATTGAAACCCAAACCCTACTTTGCAAAGCGCCATCGGAAGAGTCGGTTCCGTCTCATTCCTCTGAATCCCAAACCTTTAAAGAGGGAGGAGAGGAGAAGTTTCTCTTGGGATTTCGCCGATCATGGATTCCGATGATGGCATGCTCGATGCCCACGATTTGGAATCGGGAGAGGATGATTTCTACAGCGGCGGCACCGATGATTACAACGATAGTGATGCTGATGAGCCCGATTACGGGTTCGTTGAGGAAGACGTGGACGACTCCGCGATGGTCGCATCGCATCGCTCTCAGGTGAGTTTTAATGAGGAAGACATTGTGCCTTGTTTGGCTTTTCTTGTCTTTGGAACTCGTTATGTATTATCTTGGAAGCTGTTTTCTTTTTTCGTGGGGGTTTTGTTTTCATTTAGGATAATTAGTAGCCTAAGGGCTCTTTCTTGATTACTTCATTTGATAGTAAGCAATTGAAAGTTTGGAATTTGTTGCTGTTTTGAGCTTACTCGACCCTTCAGCAGTTTAGTTTTCCCGCGTGTTCTGGCTTTTAACGGGAATTGCTTTGCTGAGAGAACGGTTTTTTGCTAGACTTTTCCTTCGTTCATGCAATGCCTAGTCTTCCAAGTGATGGAAAGGTAGATTCATGGCAACTTAGTTTTGTTGATGGAAATGGAATTGCGTCGCTATTGATTCTTGTCTCTGTGTATTAGCTTGATGGAATTGCAGTGACTGTTTGACTCTTTATGTTTGATCCAAGCTCAATGTTTAATCCTTCGTGTTTCCAGTAACATAAAAGGAATTTTGAAAAGTCACTGCTGCCAGTAACTTTAAACTCGAATTATAATGGCCTACTGTGTTTATTGTTCTTTATTCCACTCTTTAGTTATAGCTGATATGTCTTTTCCCAAACAACTCCCATAACTACTTTTTTTGCTGACTTACTTATATCTACTATAATGGCATTGCTGATAGTTCTCTATCTGTTTATTTCGCATATGGTCTTATTTTACTGTGACTATTGATGCATTGTTGTTGTATTGATGCATGTTTCCAGATAAATTATGTTGTTCTCAAGGAAGAAGATATCCGCAGGCATCAGCAGGATGATATTGGACGAGTCGCCATGGTCCTCTCCATAAGCGAGGTCGAAGCGAGCATTTTGCTTCTTCACTATCACTGGTAAATTTCCTTGACATGTACTGTGTGATTTTCTTATCAGTACCCTATGTTTTCGGTTTTATATATATTTCTGCAATATTGTTCAATCCTCAAAATAATTTTTTCATAACCACATTAAATGGACTATATATGTTCTTGGAGAACATATATTGATGTTCATACTTGTGGGCTTTCTCTAGTTTCCTAATGCCTGAGAAATGCGTCATTTTAGGAGTGTTAGCAAAGTTCATGATGAATGGTTTGCGGATGAGGAGAGAGTTCGGAGAACTGTTGGCATATTGGAGGGACCTGTTATTCCAACACCTGATGGCCGAGAAGTAATTGCTTTGATTTTTTTTGTCTCTGGATTGTTTTTCTATATATCTCACTTGTTAATTCACATTTTCACTGACGAATGATTTGATGTTTAGCTTACATGTGGAATATGCTTTGAATCTTTTCGTCCTGAAGAAATTGTATCAGTTGCTTGTGGTCATCCTTTCTGCCCTACATGCTGGACTGGTAGGTCACATTCTTTTCTCTCTTTTAGATGCTTACATCTGAAGCTTTTGCAGAAACAGGGACTGTAAGATTTTTGTTTTTTCTTGGATCTATCTGAGTGTATATTTAGTTAGCATTTCGGTTACACAGTTTCAAAGATATGACCTATATATTCGATTGTAAAGCTTAGTTTCTTCCATGCCTGAAATGCGCTGGAGTTTAGTTTTATATTCTGTTCTGTGCTAGAACATTTCTTTTCTGATATCTTTCCTTTTATACTGTACACTTATATAGGTTATATCAGCACAACCATCAATGATGGCCCAGGATGCTTGATGCTAAAATGTCCCGACCCGTCTTGTCCTGCTGCCGTTGGTCAAGATATGTTTGAGAAATTGGCTTCTAAGGAAGACAAGGAGAAGTATTATAGATATTTTCTTAGGTCTTATATTGAAGACAACAGAAAGGTAAGGCGTCAAAGATAACATATATCACACTGCATAACTTACCGCAAGAAGCAGAAACTTCGTGATGCTCTTACTAATAAATTTAACCTTTAAAAGTCATTTTATATTCTTGTGTCCTACTTACCAATTACCATGATTTAATTGAGACCAATTCCCAGGAAGCTCTTACTTCTCTATGTTGTGAAGTGTATTTTTTTTCTTCTTAATATTGCCGGATTGATAGAGGATCCTCTCTGTTCTCATTTTTACCTATTGTTTTCATACTCTTAATCTTGTATGGATTGGCTGCCAGCTCGTTTTCCTGAATGAAATCTCAATAATCACAACTTTCTTTAATGACCATGCTTTGTGAAGACTATAGTCCATATGTATGCCTATGACATGTCGCTTGTCTACTTTTGATGTCGTTCCCATTTGTTTTTTCTACTTCAGATGAAGTGGTGTCCTGCCCCAGGATGTGAGCATGCGATTGATTTTGCTGCCGGGACTGGCAGTTATGATGTTTCCTGCTTGTGTTCGCATAGCTTTTGCTGGAATGTAAGTTTTTGGAGTCAAAGCCAACTAATCTGCTTTCCCTTTATTATTTAATCGTTTTAGTTTATCTTTGTAATTGTGATAAATCTGAAATTCCAGTGCACGGAAGAGGCTCACCGTCCTGTGGACTGTGACACAGTTGCACAATGGATACTTAAGAACAGCGCTGAATCTGAAAACATGAATTGGTATTATTCGTGTTCATGCTCCCTCAATCTTCTGGTTTTTTCTACTATACATCTTGCATAAATATGTTTAGTTGCAACTGGAGTTGTCAGTTCTCTTGCATCTTGCATCTTCCATTTTTTTTTTTATTATATTTCTTGCTAATCAATTTTTGCCTCCTCATCCCCAGGATACTTGCCAATTCAAAGCCCTGTCCGAAGTGTAAGCGGCCAATTGAAAAGAATCATGGCTGCATGCACATGACATGCACACCACCTTGTAAATATGAGTTTTGTTGGTAATGCTTTATACCCATTTCTGAAGTTGTTCAAGTTTGGTTGTTACTCTTTCTCTGCAATGTTGGATTGCAAGCTTGTTTCTCTCTGGTGTCTTAAGATTTAATCTTGTGAGGAAGCGCAATCAGTGCTAATAAATGTATCTTTATATGATCTTTAGGCTTTGCCTTAATGCATGGACAGATCACGGGGAAAGAACTGGTGGTTTTTATGCTTGCAACCGGTATGAGGCGGCTAAGCAAGAAGGACTGGTAAGACCTCTTGTACTTATTTGATAAATTGTAGTGGCTTCTTCTCCTATCACTGATATTTTTTTAGTATTGAAATGTTGATGTGTCAAATAAATTTTTGTGTTAGTATGATGAGGCTGAAAAGAGGCGAGAGATGGCAAAAAATTCGCTAGAGAGATACACTCATTACTATGAACGCTGGGCAAGCAATCAAACGGTATGCAGAAGTTTTTTAGGCTTCTTATACCTTAAGAAATTTCAAAGCTTGAAGTGTACTATACGCTCTAATGTAGTTTCTGGTATAAGATAGAGAATTATGAGATCTTTGACTCTCCAGTTGTGTGTGAGCAAATCAGTATTGCTGTTTAAAAGAACCAGAGAAGTAACATATAGAATTAGCTTGACATGATTAAAAAAACTGTAGCATGGTGGTGCGAACTTTGACTGTCCATTTGCTTTTTCCTGTTTGTGAGCCTTAGCTTTTGTGAACATTGAAAATGTAAATAATGTGAATAATATGAAGGGTATGGTTCAGTAATCCCTTAGCTGACATGTATCTTCTAATGTAAATAATGTGAATAATTGCATCCAATTAAAAAACTTGATTCCATGACCAAGATAAATATAGAATCACGTTTTTGTACTTGGATGCAATGCTTACAAGACATTATTTTTTACATCTATGTTAAGAGGTTTTCCATCTTCCCATCATATAAGTATAAATATTTTTTTTGTGTGTGATTTGGCAGTCGAGGCAAAAAGCTATGGTGGATCTGCAGATAATGCGATCGGAAAAGGTAATTTTTTTTTTTTTTTAAATTGTATTTATCTACCGAATGATAGGTAATTATTCTTTGGAATGGCGAATGATGTGAGCTAACAGATATTCCCTCTGCTATTATTTGCAACACCTAATTTTATTCAGACTCTAAATAGGGACTGCAATGTTGAATTTGATTTGAATTTGTGGTGCTTATACATGCGGGCAATTATATAGAACGTAAGAAGGTTTATGGCAGCTTCTCATATGCTCTGTTGTCTAATGGTTGTGCTAGCTTGAGAAGCTTAGTGACATACACCGCACACCAGAATCTCAGCTCAAGTTCATCACAGATGCGTTGCTTCAGGTTAGTAGCTAAATAACTGTGAGTGAGATTCATGTAGAACATGTCTCTGAATGTTGGTAAAATTACACAGATCATTGAGTGCAGACGGGTTCTGAAATGGACATATGCGTATGGGTACTATCTACCGGATCATGATAAGCGACAATTTTTTGAGTATTTGCAAGGTGAAAAAGAATGTCAACTGTAAATTGGGTGAGTGGAGGCAATGAAGCCGTGGAAAGTTTGAAGTTTATTTTGTTTTGTTGATTTGATCTCAGGGGAGGCTGAGTCAGGTTTGGAGAGGCTCCACAAATGCGTAGAGAAGGAACTGTCCGTGTTTGAAATTGCTGAAGGCCCTTCAGATGACTTCAATCATTTCCGGACAAAACTAACTGGTTTGACCAGGTAATAAAGAAAAGGCCTCACCTTTTAAGTTGACTTTTGGCTGAACTATAGTTGAACATCCAACCATTTGAATGCTTCTTAACCCAGTCAGTGACTTGTATCAGTCATTTGTGTCTAAACAGCATAACAAAAACCTACTTTGAAAATCTGGTGAAAGCTCTGGAGAATGGTCTTGCTGATGTGGATTCTCAAGCGGCTAGCAGCAAATCAACTAACTCTAAACCCAGCAAGTCAAAAGGCGGTGGTGGTAAAGGTAAAGGAAGCTCCAAAAATGGCGGGTCCAGCTCTTAGTTTTATAAAGCGCGACCTCAGGCGATCTCAGGCCAAGGGAAGAATCTCCTGAACCTGTCAAGCGCGCGACTTTATGCGCTTTACGTGGTGCGTCAGGCGGTCGAGGCTGTCGGCTTTTGGGTTCAGGCGTGAATTCTCCGCCGGCTCGGTTGTTAAGGTTTCAGATTATGTAAGTCGAGAGATTGCCTATACGAAGAAAGGAAGACATGTTTTGGGCTCAACTTTGTTTATTGCTCTATTTAACCAAAGCATTTAGACGCAATATATTGGATGGATATGTTCATATCATCAAACCGAAATCGAACCAAACCAATCAAACCCAAATAGATCAATATTGTTGGATTTCTGTTCTGATATAAACTGCATTATGGATATACTTTATGGAAATCTTAGGATTCATATGTAGTTTGATTATTAACCGATTAGAAAAAAAATGATTGTCTTCTTGACTAATTGCTCGTAATTCTCAAGAAAGTTTGAAATCGGTTATATTCTGAACGTTTCCGAGTGGTGAGACGTTATTCTGAAGAAGGTGAAGATCAACGACTAATAAAATCTACTAGTTGTGTATAATAAACTCATCTAATGCAAGGGTCAACTATTTGTTCTGTTTTCTCTAAAGCTAATTCATTGACAACTCCTTCAGATTCTCCCACAAGTTAGTGGCTAATGTGTCATTATCTTCTTTAATTAGTATTAGTATCATTCTTTTATTATTATTTTTGGCAGTGTTACTACATGAACTCCTCAATCTATAGCAAATGCTTGTTACTCATGAAACTTCTCTTCTCCGAGGCTAAATTAGAGAAAGTGATTTGTATCTTCTTCGATGGCTTTCACGGATGGGAAAGATGTATCTAAAGGATTTGTCAAGAGAGTGGCTTCATCTTTCTCCATGAGGAAGAAGAAGAATGCAACAACAAGTCCAGGAGGTGGTGAACCTAAGTTGCTTCCACGATCGAAATCAACAGGTTCTACTAGTTATGAATCCATGAAGCTACCTGCAGCAAAGAAGATTTCAGATGTCACAATCAAAACAAGGATCAAATCATCATCTGGCCTAGTAACGCCGCTACCAAGACGTGAAAAGATCGATAATCGTGGTGGTGGAGGCACGAAGAACAACTTTGGAAAATGGAGAAGCTTTGACGATAGTGATTCAATATGGTTATCTTCCGATTGTGCATCTCCCACTTCTCTTCTTGAGGAACACCGATTATCTGTTTCCTTTCGTTTCTCGGTTGATGATAGTGTAGTCTCTTGGTTATCAAAACTTGCCAATTCTTCCCTCTCTCTGAATCATCAAGATGAAAGTTCCATCAAAGAACGCTGTAGAATCCCAAAGAACACTAAGGAGAACATTCAGAAGAAAGCTTCCAAGGAAGATTCATCTAGTTCCGCTCCAAATTCCACACTTCTTCCTGATTCTTCCACTCAGAGTTCACAAGGAAAGAAAGTTAGCTTTTCACCACCTTCAAGTACAGAACTTGAGTCAGAGATTTCTTCTCCTTGTTTGACAATCTCCCCTGATGTTCCATCAGCTCCGAAAGCAACTTCTTTGGTTCATGAGAAAAGTCTGGATGAGAAAACTGCAGAGTCTTTGGATTCTACTAAGATTATTGCTAAAGTTGATGAGCCGCTTTTCTGGCCATATGAACAAAGATTTGATTGGACACCTGAGGATATCTTGAAGCATTTCTCCATGTCACCTCGGAGAAAGAAGTTATTGAATGCCAAGGTCTCTGCATGTACCTCCCCAAGATCCATGAGAGCACAACTTCTCCAGACAAGAAAATTAGATCTCAAAGACGGTTGTAAAAGAAAGCTTGTGTTCAATGGTCAGGCAACAAACGCATCCAAGGTTCCAGAACTCAAACGAAATATCAGCAGTAGCAGCAGCATCAACAATAACAAGAAAAATGACAGCGTCGAGAAGGAGCACATCGTGAACTGCGTGAAGAGGAACAAAAGTTTGCCATCAAGGCTGAGAAAATCGAGCAAAACATGTTCCAAGGTTGTACCTATTGAAGTGGCTGAAGAAGCGACTGCATCGGAAAGAGCCAAAGCAGAGATAACAGCTAGAAAGCTCATGAACCGCAGAAGCAAGACAATGCTGGAAGACGATTTCGCATTGATGAATGATTTCTCAATTGAAAACGCAGTGGGGCTTGCTGAGTTCAAGGGTCGAGAGGGTATTGATTCAGAGTTTAACTCTGACACTTTCTTGTTCAATGATTCACTCTGAAACTACAGAGGATATCTATACTTGTCAAAACAAAACAAAAAAAACCCTTTCTATGCAACAAATTTTGTTCCTCCTGACTTTATCATTTTTCACTATATACCGAGTTTCAAATCAAGATCTTCAATGAGTAGAAGAAAATCAACGATTTCTCTGATATCTTTACAAGTGGAGGCGAAGACAAACTGATGTTGAGATTCATATTTTCCCTGCATAAGTTTCAGAGAAAGAGTTTCAGATTTAGACAGAGACTTATGTTGCAGCATAAGGGCTTTAGACATGAACAAATCATCTTAGGTACGCAATCATCACCAATTGGAAAGATTTAAAGATTGTTAGAATGATTGACCTGAGCCACTGAGGCCTAATCTAATGTATCACCGAAACTCAGAGAAACTAAACCACCAAGAAATAGCATCCAATCTGCAAAGAAACGTTCATTAACATGACCAGTCTTCTTGAAATTTCCCAAAGATATAAACAAGGTTTCACAACAGGAGACGCTAATTTTCCACCTTGAAGCATATCGGAATCCAATGGAACAGAACAAAATAGAGTTTATGTTTCAATTCTACACTAGATATATTCGAGCTAGCATTCTCAATAGGAGACGCAGTGATCCTCTGTTTAATCCAATCTTAAGAGCCCGACTATTTCATCTTTATATAAATTGAATATATAAATGGCGGAAATAGAAACCAAAACGGCAACTGATAATAAGTAAAACGCAAGCGTTAAAAACAAATGTTAATAAGTAGAGCTAGGAGACACGCTCCTATTTAGAGAAAATAAGCACTAAAACGGCAATTCGATATAACGCAAAACGCAGACGACTCGCGCACTTTTTCATTTTGGCCAAAATAGAGCAAAATTCGTGGACCATAACCCAGGAATTAGGCCTAACGCGCGCAACGCGCACCTGCTGCGAGTGGGTATTAATTTCTTTTTTTTTTGGTCAAACTGATATTTTTTTGTTTTGTCGTGGTCAAAATGATGTTAATTTCTTATTTCATTTCTGTCCCAAACGATATGTTACACAAAAAAAAACAAAAATTTAGAAAGAAGATTGAAGATCAATATACCTGGATTGTAAATAAGCGAAATGCGATTCCTTGATAGCATCAGCCTGTTTTGATCAATTACTCGTGAAGATTTTGACAGACTCTTGGATTTCGAGGCTGTCTAGGAGCTGCAGCAAAGCACAAGAAGAAGAAGAAGAAGCCAGAATACGAAAGCTGGGTCTATGATTCTCATCACCGCCGCTGGAGTTCTGAATGCTATGAATCGACGAATGTATCTTACTAGAAGCTCGTCTGCCAAATTCATTTCCGCAGGAACCCTAAATCTTCGTTCCGGTTCCAATTCAGGTCGAATTTTATGGGAAATTTATTCTCTAGTGATGAAAACTTGGCTGCGTAACTGGTCGGTTGCTTATATTGATGCTTGCTTTTGTAGCAGAAGCAGCCAATGCAACTTCTGATTCTGAGTCACGAGTATCATCTCTAAGGAAGAAAAGGCTAAAGCAGGAGGATCTGCAGCCTGTGGAGAACAGAGGAATCAATGCCCGTAAAGTATCATTCCCTCACTTTTCTTGCATTGTAGTATAGGGTTTTGGAAAATTTCAAATTTTGGAATTTGTAGCCAATTTGTTGAGGCATTTGGCCTAGAAAGTTTCTGGGAGTGATTTGATTACTGCTTTCTATTGTTCTTAACCAATCAGATATTTTACAGGGAATAACTTTTCTCTGACAACCTTCTCTTGAATTTTTGGTTGAAGACATGTCTTTTTTTGTTTATGTAATGATGCAGGAGATGTGTGTGGATTACCAGACATAGAAGAGCTTTCTTACAAGAAGACAAATGGATCTCCTTCATCTGGTAAGTCTCACTGTCTATAGTTTCATTTTCCCTTTTCTATATAAAAAAAAAATACAACTTGTTCTCGCTACTCTCCAACTCATATCAGAATTTCGTGTTTTTCAGGGACGTCAAAACTAAACTCACATGTAAATTCTGCAGAAACTAGCACTGCCGCATCATTGATCAAAACAGCAGGTTTTCTTTCACGAAACACTACTACTCCTTGTGGCATTTTATTCTTTATGGATGTTCCTAAGATGTTAATCGTATTTAGGCAGACCACCTGAAAATTGGGAACAGGTGCTCGAGGGTATTCAAAAAATGAGATCTTCAGAAGAAGCAACAGTTGACCCTGTAAATTGTGATAGAACCGGAAGCTTTTTACCTCCCAAGGTAGAAGAATATCTTACTCCATCTGGGAATTTAGCTTTTGCTGAATTCTTGACTATTGGATTTACGTGGAAGCATCCGTGCAGTGAGATATGCTCATTGCTTTCTCAAATACTACTTCCCATTTGTTTTCCATTATTACATGGTATTCTATGCATAGATTTGCAACCAAAGCTCCGAGTTGCCTTTGTTGTTTTAAATTCAAACTATGCTTAAAAGTAGAGAGATAGATTTCCCTTCTTGTTTTTGCTTCTGACCTTATCTCTCCCTATTTCTAGGAAAGGCGATTTTATGTCCTCATAGGAACACTTCTATCAAGTCAGACTAAAGATCACGTAACTGGTGGTGCGTTTTGAACTGCTTGCCCCATGTTGAGAGAACGCTTAATTTCACAATTCTAGTATCTCTGATATCACCTGATTTTATATCCAGACACTCATTCTTATATGCAGCGGCAGTAGAACGTCTTCGTCACAATGGCCTTCTCACTCCCGAAGCCATTGAGAAAGCTGATGAATCAACCATAAAGGAATTGATCTACCCGGTATATTATCCCTTAGTCATCTTACTTCTTGTTATTGAAGGCCTCGACTTTGATATGAGCCCATGGTTCCATTTTGTTTGCGAAAATGTTTTCGAAAAATGGAAAAAAGAAAGGAATGAAAAAATACTAGAAGAGGAAAATGTTGTGGTTGATTTAGTTTCGATATGAAGCTCACTTGCCCTTTACTTTTAGGTCGGGTTCTATACTAGAAAGGCTAAGAATGTGAAGAGAGTTGCAAATATTTGTCTCACGAAATATGACGGTGACATTCCAAGCTCTTTGGAAGAACTACTCTCACTTCCAGGAGTTGGTCCTAAGATTGCTCATCTGGTAAGACTGGCCAGATTAGTCAGTTTTCTAAAAGAGTCACAAGTTTCAAAATTTCCTAAAGGTTTCTCGTGATGTCCTGCGATAGGTTTTGCATATAGCATGGAATGATGTTCAAGGGATATGTGTAGACACACATGTGCATCGTATTTGCAATCGACTTGGTTGGGTCTCTAAACCAGGAACAACAAACAAGGTGCTTCTCATTCTCTATGAGATCAGCACTTAATGCTTATTAAAATTTTGCTTCGTATTCTGTCTGCTCTCTGTCACTTATTTGTAATTTGGTCTTGACCAGAAAACGTCGTCCCCTGAGGAAACTAGAGTAGCTTTGCAACAATGGCTTCCAAAAGAAGAATGGGTCGCTATTAACTTTCTTTTGGTGCGTAATCCTCAGAGATTCTAACTTAAGAGATGCTTGAACATACAGTAAATAACGTACTTGCGAGTATTAGAACATTTCGAATGTTAGGGAGATAATTGGTTCAAACCTATATAACTCCATTTATTCTTCATCCATCTACACAGGTTGGTTTTGGACAAACGATATGCACACCGCTAAGACCACGCTGTGGAAGTTGTAGTGTCAGTGAGCTTTGCCCTTCCGCTTTCAAGGAAACCCCAAGCTCATCATCCAAATCGAAGAAATCTATCAAAAGCAAGAAGCTTTAATTGCTTTGGGTCTTGAATATCCCTCTACATCATCTTCTAACCCTTTTTTTTTATTAGTTCTATGTAAAAGATCAATTGTATCCAAGAAATTGTATTGGTTTATGGGCAGAAAATTGTAAATCTGTATACCATTAGGTTTTATTAATTATGAAAATACGCTTACGCTATAATTCAAGAACTCAAGAACCGTTCAAGGTTTTTTTCCATCAAAAGCAAGGATTTGTGGGTCACCTTGTAATTTATCTACTTTTGTTAGCAGCTAGTAAAGTGTTTAAGTTTACTTTAAAAGGATTATCAACAAATGTGAAGACAAGAAGAAACCTTAGTGATAGCTGGCTGATGTTTAAGAAATGTTAATGGTTATTAGTACGGTATTACTTTCGTAATTCAATTGGAACATCCACTTAAATTTTATATATTTTTGAGACTGAAATGAAATTATGGGATTCATATATGATATATGATCAATCCTGGGGAGTAATTTCTAAATAATTATAACTTGTAAGAATATACGTGGACTAGGAATAATAGTAGGGATAGAGATATCCTGACGTCCAAACAGAGAGTGGGGGTAGAAAAATTTATTAAAGCAGCAGCCGGAAAAATAAAAAGCAAAAAGGAAAAAAACGCTCGAAGAGAAAGAAAAAGAGGGAGAAGAGCAACGAAGACGGACCTGCAAATTCTGCAGTCTCCACTGACACTTTCGATCTTTCTCTCTTTTCACCTTCTGAAACCTTCAGGTTTCGCTTCTTTTCTTTATCTTCTTTGTATCAGGCTTGCTCGATTTTGCATTATCTCCGTTCATCTCTCAGTTGATTGTTTCGTCTGAGTTCTATGGCTAATGCAATCGGATAAACAGTAGTTATAGCTGTTGATAAGAAATAATCTCTTCTCCATTCTAGATAGGAATCTTAGATTTAATTGAACTGATCATTTTCCAGCTCCAGTTTCTAGGGTTTGGTGCGAAAATTTCATTGTTTTGCTCGGAGGTTTAGTGGCTTCCCCTTTGGGCTTTTGTCTCTATGAATGCATGTCTATTAGGGGTTAGAATACCAAGAAAGGGCGTGTCTGTGCGAGATTGTTATTTGTGTTCATTCTCGGATACTTTTGAAATGTGAAAGTTTACTTTCCTACTTATTTTCTAGTATGAGTGTTTGAGTTCCCTGTAGATTACAGACATGACAGAAATGTAATCTGTATTGTAGTTTATGGAAGGAGATAATCGTCAGAGGTAGCATTTCCCTATGCATCCTAAGCGATCAAGTCAAGGAGATGGGTCAGTTACTAAGCCAGTTAGAAGCAGCGATAGGCTTAGGAGGAGGCCCAAATTGTATAATCGCCCATACGGCTATTACTTCACACCAAACACGTTACGTAATAGGAAACGAAACACAAAGACAAGAACGGCAGCCTCGCAAATCGCAAAGATGCTGCATAAAGGGAACCGTCCAGCACGGGCATCAAATGCCACGGTAAGCATCAGACACCAACGTGAAGGTTCTTATCTATAAACTATTCACTTGGGAGAAGATGATCATTATTGTCCAACGATAATGTGTTTTGTCTTGTTAGTTGCCTTGAAATGCAAACTGCTTATCTTTAGTCTGATTAAACCAGAATGTTGATAGCATTACTAATGACCTACAGCCAATTGCATCCGACCTCCGGCGTTCCACGAGAAAGAGAAGAATTTCTGTGAATCTTGAGGACTATACTGACAGTTCTGGGGCGGAAGATGAAGATATGATGGTGAGAATATTTTCCTCTTGAAAAATCGCTCTGTGATTATGATACTTTAAGCTGTGTTATATGTACTGTGTTATGCCTTTTGAGAATAAGTTTCTGATCTTTTTCAGAGTCCAGCATATCGAACTGTGAGGAGGAGAGGCAATAATGGAGTTCATCAAAATTTCTCAACTTCAAAAAGTAGAAAGGCCATGGAAACTGAATCGACACCACGACGTGAAGGTCTCCGTCCTCGTCGTTCAAAGATCATTGCTAATAAACGACTGAAAACAGAATCTGGCGCCAATCAAGATACATCAGAAGAGAAAGATGGCCAAGATGAAACCGAAAATGGAAATGAATTAGATGACCATGATGCTGATGATGGTGAAAATGAGGTTGAGGGTGAAGACGAGGGTAATGGTGAAGATGAGGGTGATGGCGAAGATGAGGGAGAAGAAGAAGATGGTGATGATGATGAAGAGGGTGATGAAGAACAGGAGGGAAGGAAGAGATATGATCTGCGAAACCGTGCTGAAGTGCGTAGGATGCCTACAGAAGAAATGAACAAGCAACAACAATCTAGATCTCCTCGGAGAGTGTTGCATCAAGGCATGGGCACCAGGGTTGGAAGGGACGTTAGGAGAGGTGGGTCTCGGCTTCACAAGCGCAATCGCTTTACAAGAACAGATGATTCAGATGACTCTCTTCTTGTGGATGAGTTGGACCAGGGCCCTGCGATTCCCTGGGCTCGAGGTGGAAATAGATCTGGACCACCTTGGTTATTTGGGGGTTTGGACACGTACGGGTCAAGTTCATTGGGATTGAATGTTGGAGCTTCTGGTTGGGGTCACCAGAGTGATGGTTTAGCTGCATTAACTTCTGGTGCTCAGACTGCTGGGCCAAGCTCTAAAGGAGGTGCAGATATTCAGCCACTGCAGATTAATGAGAATATAAATTTTGACGACATTGGTGGGCTGTCCGGATACATTAATGATTTGAAAGAAATGGTTTTCTTTCCGTTGCTGTACCCTGAGTTTTTTGCAAGTTACAACATTACTCCTCCTAGAGGTGTACTGCTGTGTGGTCCTCCAGGCACTGGTAAAACGCTGATTGCTCGAGCATTGGCATGTGCTGCTTCAAAAGCTGGACAGAAAGTTAGCTTTTATATGCGAAAGGGTGCTGATGTCCTTAGCAAGTGGGTTGGTGAGGCTGAGAGACAACTTAAGCTACTCTTTGAGGAGGCTCAGCGTAATCAGCCTTCGATAATCTTTTTTGATGAAATTGATGGCCTTGCTCCTGTTAGATCTAGCAAACAAGAACAGATACATAATTCTATTGTTTCAACTTTGCTGGCGCTGATGGATGGCCTTGATTCTCGTGGTCAAGTTGTTCTCATCGGAGCAACAAACAGGGTAGATGCAATAGATGGAGCACTACGCCGCCCTGGCAGATTTGATCGGGAGTTCAATTTTTCTTTACCAGGCTGCGAAGCACGAGCTGAAATATTGGATATTCACACTCGTAAATGGAAGAATCCTCCTACTAGGGAGCTGAAAGAGGAACTGGCAGCTAGTTGTGTAGGGTATTGTGGTGCTGATCTAAAAGCTTTGTGTACTGAAGCTGCCATTCGTGCTTTTCGTGAGAAATATCCACAAGTTTATACCAGTGATGATAAATTTGCTATAGATGTTGGGTTGGTTAAGGTTGATAAGAAGCACTTTGTAGAGGCAATGTCAGCTATTACTCCTGCTGCCCATAGAGGGTCTGTTGTGCAGTCCAGACCACTCTCTCCGGTTGTATTGCCATGTTTACATCGACACCTCCTTGAATCCATGAGTTTAATAGCAGATATTTTTCCCTCGTCAGCCATGTCGTCAGAGTTGACCAAGCTGTCAATGCTTTCATTTGGATCCGCAATTCCTCTCGTTTATCGTCCTCGACTTCTGCTGCTTGGTGGTGAAGGAGTTGGACTGGTAATTGCTTGTCGTTTCTTGTGATTATCTCAGTAGGATTTTATTATTATGAACTGAATTCACTTACCTGTTAGCCTAACAGGATCATCTTGGGCCTGCTATTTTACATGAGCTAGAAAAGTTTCCTATCCATTCTCTGGGACTTCCATCTCTTCTTTCGGATCCTGGTGCAAAGACCCCGGAGGAGGCGTTAGTACATATATTTAGTGAAGCTAGGAGAACAACACCTTCAATACTTTACATACCGATGTTTAATAATTGGTGGGAAAATGTAAGTGTGTGTTTCTTACTATTTAAATTCATTTTCCTGGTTACTTTGGGAGATCATGTTTGTGTGTTTGCTTAATATGATGTATTAGGTTGTCCTATTGGTTGTAGCAGGAACTGCCTTGAGTTTTAAGTTGCGAGTCTGATCATCTTGATACTAATGACTGCAGGCGCATGAACAGCTTAGGGCTGTATTTCTGACTTTGTTAGAAGAGTTGCCATCAAATTTACCCATATTATTACTTGCTACATCTTATGGTGAATTATCTGACATGGAAGAGCAGTCAGTATTTGACAATCGATCTGTGTAAGTTTATACTCTACTTGTAATCACTTTATCCAGTTCCATACTTTGTGGAGCTTTTCTTTTGTTTTTTCCAGAAATTATATGTCAGACAAAAGTTATGAAGATTGGCATTGCCCTTTTATTGGTTTCATACGCCAAGTTAGCATACTCTTCCCTAAACTCACGTTATTACTCAATTTCTTAGATCGTGTACCTTTGCTTTCAGCTACACTGTGGACAAACCATCAAGAGAAGATAGGTCTTTGTTCTTTGAACGTTTGATTGAAGCTGCTCTCTCAGTCATTTCGGGCTTAAATGGCAAACCTGATGGACCACAATCTCTTCCAGAACTTCCCAAGGTTCCAAAAGCACCTACTGGTCCAAAACCCGCAGAAATAAAAGCCAAGGTGGAAGCCGAGCAACATGCCCTTCGTCGATTGCGTATGTGTCTCAGAGATGTTTGCAATAGGTAAAAATGTGTATGGGGCTTTCACTCTAAATAAACACTCGTTCAAAGTGTGATAGCTTGCAGTGACGTGAAGCGTTATTACTGTCGTATTTATACTTAGATCAAGAAAGCGTTTTACTGTTTGTCAACTGGAGGCCAAGAGATTAACAAAAATTGGATAAAACAGTACTAAATATACCTCTTAAATTTTAAATTTGGTAGCTTTGCCAATTTTTTATCATGTAGGGAATTTTCTTGTGTATGAGCCCGATTTTACTGTCTCTTGTTATTGTTTAAATATATATATATATATATGTATATGTATATATTATAACATTGGGATACTTTTGCTTTGCAGGATACTATATGATAAAAGATTTAGCGCATTCCACTTCCCAGTTACTGACGAGGATGCTCCAAACTATCGCTCAATAATTCAAAATCCAATGGATACGGCTACTCTGCTGCAGCGTGTCGATGCTGGGCAATACCTCACATGTTCACCATTCTTGCAAGATGTTGATCTCATTGTGAGAAATGCCAAGGTCCGCTCCTATTTTACAACACATCCCTTTTACGTGGCTATAAAAACTTGATAATGTGGTCTCATTTACAAGATGTTGATCTCATTTATCCAGGCTTACAATGGAGATGATTACGCAGGAGCGAGAATTGTCAGTAGAGCCTATGAGCTTCGAGATGTGGTATGTTTGCAAGTCTCTATTGAATTTGACTGCATATATTGATTTCCATGAAATTGTTATAAGCCTATCATCCCACAAAGCTTTTCCCTGGAAACAATAATTATCTTTTTTATGTTTCAGGTGCATGGGATGCTGTCGCAGATGGACCCAGCACTGCTAACATATTGTGATAAGATCGCAGCACAAGGTGGCCCGTCACAGATACCAGATGATCTGAGTGGGTCTATCCTTGGTTTAGCTCCCGTGGTGCAGATGGGGACTGTTACTAGAGCCAGTGCCCGACTTCGAAATGTGCAGCCAGAGGTTAATTTAGATAGAGATTATGAAGGTCTTAAAAAGCCCAAGAAAACCGCTGATGCTAGCTGTACAGGTAATAATGCAACTGCAACCGCAGATTTGGTTCTTGTTTGACGTGTGAAAAACCAAACTTGTTGCTGGATATAGAACAACTCTTTGATTAATGAGGAGACTTATGAATACTTGTGGTGTGGTGTTTATTTTGTGACGAACAGATTCAGCTGCAGACAAATTACCTCACCAAGATTCAGGGCAAGAGATGACATCTCCGGAAGCAGGCAACTCAAACACATCAGCTCCTTGTTCAGCAGAAGAAGGTGATAAAGAAGATGAAAGCGAGCTGCTGAGAAAAGAGGAGGCTTGTGGGGAAGAAGTGGGTTTAGGTGATTGTTCCCGAGATTCTGTTAAGCCAGACGAAGAAACTTCAAGCAGAATAGAATCAGTAAAGGGACTGCTCATGGAGCGTACTGAGAACTACAGCATTCCGCAGATGGAGAGGGTTTATACTCGAATCATGAAGGGTGTTTTGGAGACTTTGGACAAAGATCTTCGTGATGCTGATAAAAGCCCTAAGCATTCAATTTTGAGATTTTTGTCGGGATTCGCTCAGCATCAGGCGAATTTCTGAGGCTAAAATTTTCTTATATCGGTCACTAGGTTTAGATTTGCCAAGGAAAGAATGAAAGGAACACAAATTTTATTTTTTTTTCAATCCGCATATCTCTTTGACTGAAAAAGTTGCAAGATCAAAAATTAGAAGTTAGGATCTTGTAAAGTGTCGAACTTGCACCTTTAAATCGGAAACAAGCTTAAAAGCCAGCTAAAAAATATTTCTCAATTAATCTTTAGTCTATTCTTGTATCAATCGTGAGCAAAACCTAGCATTGTATATAACATCATAACTCATCAATTTTTCAAAATGTTATTTTTACCAGTCTTTTCTTTAATAACGTCTTCGAGGAGAAGCAGACAAACAGTCCAACAAAAAAAAAACAGAGTACTAAGAGTGAAAAACAGAGCAAGACAAAACTGCTTTAGTAAAAAGGAAACAGAGAAGAACGAATCTTTGGATACATTCTTGGTGGAGGAGGAGCCTGATTGTTGTCGCAGGGTATCTATTTTAATCTCTCTCTCTCTCGCTCTCGCTTTCTCACTCCTCAACTCGAGTTTCCGTTATGACCGTCGTTGTAGCGGGAAAATCATCCTGACGCACTCAGATTTATCAACGCTTCTTGGAAGAATTTAAAGGTTCAAGTGAGAAAAAAAAGGAGCATTGTGAATTTGTACTTGCGTCTATATAAGTCGGCAAGATCTACTCACCATTTTCCCAACCGCTCTCCATCTCTCTCTCTCTCCTTCTTGCTCTCTCTCTCTCTCTCTCTAGTTCTTGTGCTCTTCTTCTCCTCTCTTTAGGAACCCTAGAGCTTAATTCACCCGCAAGGAAGAGAAGAGATGAGAAAGAATCAGTATTTACAAGCGAATGCGTCATCGAACAATCAACGAATCCCCAGGAGGAGGACAGCCGAAGAAGAAGAAGAAGAAGAGATGATGAGGAGAATCTTCGATCTCGTCCCCAGGAGGATAAGGTCCATTCAAAAAAGAAGCAAAGAGGAGCCTCCTCCTGATTTCTCAAAAGTCACCAGAAGAAAAAGAAGTGTTTACACATACACGATCAGGCCCAAGTGGATTCTCCGGTTGAAGATTGGGATGAAGCTAGACGAGAAACCGGTGCTACTCATAGAGAAGACTCTGGACGAGAACGATGTCGATCCAAGCCAAAACCGTCTCTTAATCCCTTTCAAGATCCTAAAACGACACGATTTCTTGACGGCTGACGAGTTCAAAATCCTTGGAGACGATAACATCTACAACGAAGGGAGGATGGGTGTGGCTGCGATTCTCGTGGATCAACGGACAAAACAGTGGCGTGTGGTTTTGAAGAAATGTGTTCTCAAGACTGTAACAGGGAGACGCCGCAGGTGTTTACTGTTGAGTGGTGAATGGAGCAATGTCGTTGAGGCTAACAGTTTGAGAGACGACGACAACATCAGTCTCTGGTCTTTTAGCCGCGATGGAATCCTCTTCTTTGCCCTTGATTTTGCAGGTGATGCCGTAGATTTCTCAGACTGAAAAAAGGGAAGTGCTTTTGGGGACTATATTAGGGTTTTAGGTACAAATCGGGATCTTGTTGAGTTTCTCTTCCATTACTGCTCACAGATGAACGTTCGTTGAAACACAAGACTTTTAGTCCTTTGCTTTCTCCTTTAATGGAGATTGTCACCATACTCTGTTCATGTCAATTGTATATTGTTGACATTACTCTCGTTTGTTGCTTGATTCACACGAACATAAATGGAGTTTTCAGGTAATAACTCTCTGTTTGATTTTTTTTTTCGGTTTAGGTCTACTTTGGTTACTGCATTGGTAATATCTTAGATTTCTTCTGATACATCATCAAAAAAGTCTTCAAAACCGTGAGATGATATTAGTTCAATTATCAAACGGGTTTGGCACATTCCTCCAAAATGGTCATAGTAGGGCTCAAACAGAATCCAGGATGATCTTGAGTTTCTTTCGGATCTAAAATCATTCAAAATCACACTTGTCCATCGTCAGATTCGAAGGCAGTAGTAACCCTTCAGTTTCACTAAATCTTCTTAAGAACTGAGCTATCTTGTCATCTGTGAGTGGCAAACTCAAGAATACATAGTCCTCCGCATCCTAACCGAGTGATAGGATTGGTCCAAATCGTGCCATTGTTTTGATACATTTTCCTCCAAAAAACTCATACAAATCAAAAACAATGTTATTTTTCTACAGACTTTTCTACACATGTGGAAGTTAGTTTGGTTTCTGAGTCGCTCTTGGTTTAGTTTGGTTTCTGAGTCGCTCTTGGTTCATGAGAAGTTGGCTGTTGTGTGGTGGTGTAACTTGGTTAGCAAGCCAGCCGCCGCGGATTCCCTCGCTTCCTCAGCATCAGATTTTTCCTCTCCACGGATTGTGTGCGCGAAATGACTCTCCTTTATTCTTACTTCAGCTTTAAACCCACCTATTTTTTTAACAAAATCACAAACATCCACATGAAATTCTGAATTATTAAAGAGCATGAACTGAACTAAGGATTTCACATATGATCTCAACTCTTTACCATCTGATAAAGAAACGCGATAGTTTGGTAGTACCCAATTATTCTCGACACAGATATCATCAAGTTTCTGAAATAAAAATAGGGGCAATGAAGCTTTTTCTTTGAGCATGAAATGATCAAGATACAAGAGTTACCAAAAACTTACCTGACACATACTTTTGGTATAAGGAAAAGATTCACAGAGCTTCACCCTCTTGTTACTTTGACATGCTGACTTGTCGAGAGATTCTTGAAGGATACGCCCCGGGTGTGTCTCGTTACAGCACTCAAGTATTGTTTCTAGTTGCAGCTCCCAGTCACCTGTAGCAGCCACGAGAAGCACTCAAGTTCTTGTAAAAACAAAGCTGCGGCATAAATGGAAGAGTATATACACATACCTTTGATGTCCTTGATGCATTTATCACATTTAGCAATCTCGTCTTCTATGTGCCGCTGCTGAAGAGTCTGCATCCAAAGCAACTCTTAGGCATAAGATTAGAATCTATTCCATAGCCAATCAATCATTGTGCATCTTTGATCAAATTCTACAGTTATTAATTACCAGCTTATCTCGTTTGCAAAGAAGAACTTTCAATGCAGTTTCAGATAGTGATGTTGCTCTAGAAAGAAGAGTCGTCTGTAGCTCCTCAAGGTTTAGGTTAGAGTTATTAGCAGAAACAGGAGCTGCATTAAGCTTAAGAATGCTATTAAGTTTGCCGGCAAGAACTTTCTTCCTCTGGTTACCTCTTTCTCTGTGATCCTTTGAGTCAGACTCGACCTGCATTAACAAAAAGGTGATATAGATTACTTGAAAACAGAATTGAGAAATAACTGTTAGTGCTAGGTCTCAAACTTTACCTCCGAACCACCTTTATCTCTATTCGAATAGCTCTCCTTACAAGGGCTCATTCCAATAACTGCATTCTTAGCCTGAAACGCAACTACCGTCTCCAATTGGGCATTGGGATCCTTTGCAGCAAATGTCCTTCCTTTCCAGTTACGATTTTGCATCTTCAAAGTATCTTTTTTTCTAGCTTTAGAAATGCTAAAGGAAAAGGCATCTTTTTTAGCCTGCAATTTAGATGCCTAAGTTACTTCGTGTACAACCATTTTCCTGAACACAACAAAAACAAGAGTATCAATACCAATACATACATTACTATCATTACTCCTTTTCGAAGTAGCATTTTCTCCTCTTTCAAAGATGTCGAAAAATTCCGACTCCTTGGTTGAATCTGCCTTTCCATTGCTTTCAATATCATCACATACAGCTTCTGCTTCTTTCTCTATCACAAATTCACCGTCTTCTCGTCTGGAAAAACATAATCAATTTACACTTCTGCTCCATTTAAACGGAGAAAAGGTACAGAATAAACACAGAACTGACGCAAGGAGTAATAACTTATAAAGACAAAAGTGTGAAAATTATACCTGGAAAACCAGTCTCCTATAAGACTGGCATATGGAAGAACATGAAAGTATTCCACTATAGTATTTGTAGCCCATTCCGAGAAGCTCTTCTCAAATAAAGGACCTTGCATGCTAATTATGTAGAGAAGAGCAAAAGAGGCTGATCAGGAATATCAACACCTCTTTGTACTTTCGAAAAGAATAAAATATTATCTAATCATGCAACTAATGAAGTCATGCGAGTTCAAGAGACCATCTTGCCAAATTTATTGCAGCTAGCACCTTTCCTTACAATGCCAAAATATTCTTACCAGTTAAGTGCTTCTTCAACAGGTAATTCTCCAGAAAATTTGTCTTCTGAAGTGCACTTCATAATGTAAAAACGGGCCGTTGTCTTCTCTTCACTCAAGGAGTGTACCAAATGCCTCTCCAAGATCACAATGTCTTTGTGATTAATACCTGAAAAAGATTCAAAATTGTTAAGTGATTCCAGCAAGAATGTTTACTTATACAAACACCGTACGATTAATCTATACTTACTAACCTGAGGCCTCCTTAATAGACGCAAAAGCAACTTTTTGAAAGATGACCTCTTCGTTCTGATCTTCAGCAGAAGCAGTTTTCTCCTTTTCAATGGTTTTTTCAAGTAGCGACCACACACCTTGTGTGATGGAACTGTGCTGAAGATAGCAGCAAGTCTTCTTTGAGTCAACTAATAGAACTGCAACTTTCTTTACGGGCCACTTCTTCAAGACTGAAAAATCTGAAGACGCATCCAAGCTCATGGATAAAGTACATGCATCCTCAATAACCTTCTCCAGCATTACAGTTTGTTCTGAATCGCCATCTCGTTCAGCTTCGCCAGATTTCTTCAAATGCTGCAGCAGAGCAGGTCTCATATCCGTAGTCAAGCTACGGAACGATTCAGAGGACAAAAATTCCAGGTGAGGATGCTCTTTTCTGTGGTAATAATTGTACAGCAACACAACAGCATGAACCTGAATCAACACCATTTGCAAAATAGAAATGAAGGTTTAGAAAAAGAAAAAGAAAGGGAACTCTAAGAGACACAAAATCGCTGTCTCAAATGACTCTAACTAGAGCTAATCAGAAAACTGATCAGAGACTGAGAAACTTTAGAAATCACCTGTTTAGCCACAGATTCCTGGACAGCCTTGGAAGGAGCATCACTTGGAGAAGGTTTCAATGGAAGCAAAGGGTCGACCAAATTCTCTAACAAAGCTCGAATGGCGTCCTCTGTCGGACAAGCATCTGCGGATTCCGTGGTGGTCTTTTCCACCGGTAAACAGCAATCTACCTTCTCCTCCATAAGCTCAATCCCCACAAACCATAAATAGATAGCAGAATCAAAGACCAAAAAAACAGATTTATAGAAAGGTAAGCGTCGCTCGCAGTCTTCGAACCCACCAGAGGGAAGAATGAAAGAAGAAGAAATCGCAGAGGGAGAAGACGCCGGCAGATTTCAATGTATATGATAAAAGCAAGGAGCGGTAAGGAGAAGAAAAGAGAAACTAAAACTGAGATTTTTATTTCGAAAAAGTAAAACTTTACCGGGAAAGGAAAACCCTAGACTTTGTACCGAAATTTCCACAGTTGCCGTTTTAGGAAGTGAGAGGAGAGAGTAGAGAAATCAGAAATGTGTCACAGCTAAGACTAAGAGACAAGAAGAAGAAGAGCGAAGATCATATTAACTTCGTGTGTTGTATTTATTTATTTTTTTCGGTTAAATAATGGAAATACGAATTTGAGCGCAAAAAAATATATATATTATGGAAATACGAAAAGGCGCCAATTCCTTTCCCATTTGCTTGCCCCTGGGTGTTACTGTAAAATAAATATTGAGGGTAAATTATATATGGGGGTACCGTAAATTTCTCTTTCTTTATTGTGATTGATAAGACTTCCATAAAATACCAAAACGGTCAAAAAACCTAGAACAAGGCTATGATCTCTACTACTAAACGAGATGTTTGGATTTTGTCTTTAAAAATTATAGATTTTTATTTTTTCTAGAGACGTTCATCAAATTCCAAATTACTAATTCTATTAAATTTGCAATCCAGTGGAATATATATTTATTCGAATGCTAAATGTGTATTGATAATATAAGTAGTCTGGAGTATTTAAAAGATTAATGTTCTCAAAACAATAGACATGTATTGATTAGGTTGTTGTATATCATGAATACATGATTTGACACATGTATAAGACTTAACTATTTTATTGAAGCATGCTAATATTTTATGAAAAAAATATACATAATATATAAGCATACTTGTTGAGGAAAAAAATAATATATATATATATAAGCATACTTGTTTCTTTTATTGGAACTTTTTTTACCAAAGCATATATGGTGCTAGTTAAAGGAAATAATTCTGTGTAATTGAGTTTACAAATGGAATAAAGAAAGCTAACTTTTACAAAAGTCTTTGAAGCACTAACTCTATTTTCTTCTGTGTAGCCCTTTGAAATGCAACCCAGCTCAAAGACCCAATAAGTTACACAAACTCAATTGATACCCTCCATCAAAAACTACTTGCAACTCATATATTTCATAGTTCTTTATTTCATTATATCACATAACATAAGAAATCGACACATTCCATCCAAACTTGTCATTTTCAGAGCAAATCAGACACAAACATTGACTGACCGGAACCAAAATCGGAACCAGCCCAATTCTGAACCCTAAACATGGTTTTAAGCCCACTCGTACAACAGAGAACAAAACACACGCAGCTCATGACAAACGGAACAATGAATATTAACACTTCATATCAATCATATTCCACTCAAATTAAAAGATACAAAGAGGAACCATTCAAGCTTCTGCACGGCTTTTCGTTGCTTCTGTTCATCGATGAGAGAGGTCGATCAGATTAAACAAGTCCTTGATGATTTAACATTTTCTTTTTCACAATGGAGAAATCGAATGAATCAATCACATACACTTCCTTCCAGAAGATATTATGCCGTGTGTATCTATATATATATATATATATATGCAAGACGTTAAGAATGTACCGGTTTAACATCCGGCTGCTTTCAAGAATTTATCGTAGGGACTTGAAGGCGGTAACCGAAACGAATTATGTTCCACTTCATGTGAGCAGAATCCGAACTGGCCTTGAGGTTGAACTTCAGCCACAATCATTGCCTTCTCATCATCTTCACTAGCTTCTTCTGTCTGCAGCACACAAAAGACGAATAGAAAATGTGAATACCAAATAGAGAGTTAACATCTTAATGTCAATAGAACAGAGAACAAAACTCTCTCACCTCCTTGAGAAGAAAGAGTTCCTCTTTTTCATCTTCTTCTGAGAAAGTTATAGCTTTGGTTGCTTGGGGTTTGAAACTTTGAAGCACGGACATCTTTTTCTGCTTACCCGTCACAAGAGCTTCGCACTGATTCATCATTTGGTCATAAGGTACAGGAATGGAGGAAACAGGGAGACTTGCAACTTGCCGAGCAGTTTCTGATACCTACACATCACCATCGAAAAAAGTTACATGGAAAAAAGGAGGACATAGAGGAGACCAATCAAAAAAATTACACTGAGTGTATGTATTACCGATTCTAACAACTCATTGACACTCAGAACATCTAAAGGATTAGTGTTTGTGGACAATGATGTTCTGTGCCCAGACTGACTCCCACTAGCCCCCGGGGAAATCCCTTCAAATGCCGCTATTTCTGAAAGCTCAACCTGAATGATCCACACAATTACAGTAAGGAACTCACTAGTTTCTAATGGAATGCAAGTTTCTCATGAAGTCATTATCATACCTCTTCAAAAGCTGGAAGTTCTATTTGATTAAGAGGAGAACCAGGTCCTGGTGTATCCATGAACAATGGTGCACCAAGCGGGTGTGCATCATCTCGGGAAAAATCTGACTGAATTTCCTTTCTCAAATTTGATTGCTCCTCCTGAGAGCATTACACAAAACGTTTTCATAAAAATTGAAGATTATTGCAACAAGAAGTTTGGAATGCTCCAGCGAGTTTATCCTAATTTACTTTTGTTTCGCTATGAATGCATACACAGAGAAAACACTAAATTAGGAGAATATCTTGACTGCTAAAAGACCAGGAACCAGACTCATGGTTTCTTTCTATCCGATACAGCTTTATCTGCTGTGTTTGGGTATAAGATCAAACACAACTTCCACCCAAAATCACAGAAACTATCGTGAACGCATGCAACATTTTATCGTTTTTAAACAAGTTAAATACCTCAGATAATGTCTGAAATTTCGATGTGAAATGAGTGATAACGATTTCCTTCATGCGACTATCATTTGCGACGATCACTGCCGAGTTGAGAGCAGCAATATCATCTTTCTCAGATCCATATGATACCGCTTCTTCCTGTGGAAATCCAGAACATACAGCACGCAGTCTGATATCCCCTTCCAGTACAAGATAAGGATCAACCTATTTAGGACATAACGAATTGCACATACAGATTATAAGACAGCTGAGCACCCAAAAGCAAGAGAATTAGAAAACGAGAAACAAACAGATACAATATTTCGCAAAAGCTTACCATTTGGGAAGTTAAAGATTCCTTAACAATTGGAATTAGCTCCGGGATATTGGAAATCTTGGCACCAAAAATAAGCAAATATGATGCAAAAGTGAAGGTCGATCTTCTACGAGAGAGCTGCAGACCTCCTTCAACATCATACCAGATATATATGTCAGAAACAAACTCAATAGAATGGGGAGTTCGGGATTTACAAGGAAAAGATGTCCTCTCACTGGCATTTCACTATCAAAGGCACTTTTAATGAACATGAAAGTTCTAGCTCAAGCCAACCTGTGACTAGTTCTATGATAGAGTCAAAAAAAGAACTTAAAACTATGAAAAAGTTAAAAAAAGGAACTCAAAAGCTACACTATTGTTCCCTTTGGTTAAATCATTGCATCCTGACTAGATGTACGTTTATCACCCTATTATTCTATATTAACAATTAATAAGATCAAAGAAAGACATCGATTTAACAGCTGCAAAAAACAAGGAGAGAAACTATGTATAATATCCACCACTAAAAGTCACATCCCTAAATAGACAAATAAGGTATGGCATAATCTATTCTATTGAAACTATATTCACCATAGTAAATGCAAATTAATGAGATCCATCCATTATATCTATGAGATTCTTTAACTTACCATCTTGAATCAGTGAGAGATTTCGAAGAGAGAATGCCAGCTGAAAACACCGCACCAGAGCCATGTGATTTGATCTCTGCCATTTGCAATCACCAAATCAGAGAAAAAATTTACAGATTCAAAAGAGCCCTAACATTAAATCAGGAGGATCCATCAGGAAAACAAAGTTCAGAAAAATTAAATTCAGTTTTAAAAAGACGGCTGTTGTAAGTTCATCTTGAATCTGAAAGAATCAAGACGGCCCCGAGCCAAAGTGAAATTATCCACTGTGACGGTGTGACCAGAATAAAAGAGTAACACACTCCATCAGCCTTTGGTATGGTCGTATATCTAGAGCTTCAAAATACATCAAAGCTAGAGCAAGCTATATAGGCGCTGCGTGGTCCTTTTTAACTTAGCATAGAATGTGTCGACTAACCTTTGCTAGTGAAAACAAAATAGTGATATTATATGTGCTGGCCATGGCCTCGAAATTTGCAGGGGTATTCTCAGTAGAAGTTGCTTGGATCCAAAGGGATGAGAGGAGCATATTCACTTGGTGACTACTCAGTCGGAGTGAACATAACGACTGTAAAAGCATGAAATCACACTATATTGAGTTCAATATAAAAAAAAACACTCAAATCGATAAAGTGCCAAATAATATCAAAGGTGGGGGAGCCCAAAGAAAAATAGGTTTTGAAAATCCATACCTTTATACCATCATCTACATCCTTTAGGCTATCTAAGGACTGACAACTAACACTGGTATGTCGTGATGCACTTGGATGAGATATGTGGTTTACATCTTTATGCGATTCACTGATTAAGGATTCCTCAACTTCATCTCTCTCTTCCTCTTGTAAACTGATACTTTGGCTCCTTACTGTACAAGTTCCATCAACTGAAAATATCCCAGAAACAGCTCCTGAGGTTTCCTTATGTTGGTCTGACCAAGGTAAACGAAGAGTCCGGGAGAAGCAGGACGGAGAAAATGTTGTGTGCCTCAACTCTTGTCTCACAATCTGTGTGGGACATTGCAAGGAGCAGTTGGTGAAACAAGGCATCCGGAAATACCTGGGACAGACCACAGTAAATCCGTTAGAACAGAAGAATTAAGGCGATAAATACAAAACAAAAGTTGCAGTACATAATCTCACTTACTTTCTTGTGGTAAGAAACATTTGGGACCACTGATACTATATGTGCAGCACGAAGAGTGGCTGATGCTGTGGTCCTAGCAACGAGTACATTGGTGGATATCGTCTCAAGAACCACTGCCAACATATCAAGAATGGGCCCTGCATCCCCAACCTAAATGCAAAACAAAAAAAAAGTGAACATAGTAAAGGGGTTGTGTATGAAATACGCAGACAGGAGAGAAAACAGAACTATACACGGATTGAAGAGATAAAAGTACTTGTGGAGAGGATCGGACCGAAACCACCGTAAAAAACTCAAAAGAACAGAAAACAGTCCAACTAACCTTATTTGAGAGCTCTGCGATGCAATTTTCTAACGCATGCTGGAGCTCAGAGTTCTCCTTCGTTTCATCAGCAGACAGATCTGATTCAGCTGCATTTTGCAAGCATTTCCGCAAGTGCTTAATCAAGTCGGCTATTACAGCAGTCATCGCGCATGAAGCCTGCTGCTTAGCATGTAGCACAAGGCATGTGGCTACATTAACCATGCTAACTTGAAGACCTTGTTGCTTCGTTACATTCTTATGATCCAAGTGCTTGATCAAAGAAGATACCAACACATGACAATTTTCTCCTGCTTATATACTTCTCTAGTCAGTCACCTCACAGACAAGTAAAAATCAGGAAAGACAGCAACTTAAATATCATTTCTGACCTGATTCTTCCAGACGTGACTGCAGAAACAATAAAACAGAAGAGGCAACGCCCTTCTGTGGAGACCAGTAATTTCCATTGTCAAAAGCATTCAAAAGCGGTTCCAGAACCCGACGAACAGTTGTAGTTTCCTTTGCTAATTTGGCTATATTGCAAAGGCAAACCATAGACCAGTATGAGGGGCTCTTCGAAATATCCCTGCATTGATTTTAATAAATAAATCAAATAACAAATCGAGTATGCATTTCCAGTGGTCTTAAGAACAAGTGACAGTGAATTTCTGAGAAGCCTTACATGTTGTCCAACTTATAGTCAGTCACAGGATTAGGTTTGAAAGAAACCTTTTTACTCATGATGTTGGGAATCTTCGTTTCTGAATTTTGACCAACTTCGTTGATATCTTCTTGGCCCTTCTCCAAATCCATATAATTCTCCAGAATCACAGAAATAATCTAATTCAAGATGACAAAAACGATTCACAATCTAACTACAACGCGCCAGCACTTGTATATATAAACCTTGGATGTAAGAGACCAACAAAAGTTGATGTATCCGATGTCTCACCATATCCAAATCCATCGATAGTTGGGAATGCTCACCAATGAAAGATACCTAGCAATAACAGAAACACTCGTTGTCAAAGTTAATAAGATTTTAAGTAAAAGGAAACTAACAAAAGAATTGTCCAAAGGGAAACCAATATCTAAAATAAACTAAACAGGTCGGCCATAAATTCTAGACAAGCTGACAAGGACTAGCACCATTTTCAGTGTTTCATTAGTAACGTGAATTTAATCCATCCTTAAAATGTTTCCTTGAACAACAAAAAAAAAAATCCATAATTAAGGGTGTGTGTTAACAGTTTGCAAACTAAACTTACAAGTTACAAGTTCAAGTAAAATATAACCCATTCCACTAACAAAGGTAATTTAAAGCAGAAGTTCTGGCTATCTGCAATAGGAAGAGAACATAATCCCGTAAAAATGGACGATGCTTATAAACATGTTTTATATATGTTTTGAGTGAGAAATGTATTTATAAACCTAAAGGGCATGTTTTCGGTCAGTCAACCAAAAGAACAAGTAAAAACAAAACAATTACCATGAATGCCAGAGCCTGCATTCCTGCAGAGCGTAATCGGAGTGATCTTTCATCATCCCCCATTTCTTGAGCAAGTTGACAAAGTTTGGCGATTAGACCTTCTAAGTTGAACATGTGCGAATTCTCAGTCTGTACATTAACAAATGTGTTACCATATGACTGAAGAGAGACCAAAAGCGATCAGGATACTGTCCAAGCAATAAATTTTATGCAATGCAAGCTGGACAAGTAGTTTGTGAAAGAACATGTAAACTCAATGTACCTGTAAGCTTATAAAGTCAACAAGGGTACTGCAACCCAAGATCTGCACTTCTTCCTCTCTTGTTTGCTCCAAAAGGGTTCGAACGATGCTTAGCAAACTACATGAAAATAGAGGCCTACAAGAAAAAAGTTGTACCTTCAGCAAAACATTATGAATTTAAAACGCAATTCCTTGGTTTAAAAGGGATCTGCAAAGAAATCTAGAAAAGATACGGGAATCCGGCAAAAAAATTTGATCGAGCAACAAGGGAAGAATTCTAGCTCAGCGAAAAAACGAGATATGATATACTAGTTCTACGTAACCAGATTATGCCAGACCACGTTTATCCTGAAGAAAGTACTACTTACATCTGCTCCTTACATGAAGAAAGCAATTTCTTGTAAATGCATAAGACGACTTTCACTGATCCAATATTTCCATTCCGCAATTCTTTGTAACATTTTTGCTCAAGGTATTCGGTAATCTGTCAAAAGCGAAGACTGCAACACATGAGAATTAAACTGAGAGAAGTATGCCAAGCAAATAGGGAATAACAGAAAAAATGCATCTACCTTTGGAATTCGTAAAGGATTCCTTGACGCATACTCACAAAGCTTGCCAATTTTTCTATCATTTGGCTCAGCGTCCTGCCAAATCCAAACATGGAAACGTTGTTAAAACCCAAAAAAAAAACTTTCCGACTGAAAATATAATCGGGATCCCTCTAAATATCAACAAAAAATGAGAATTTAGAAGAAGATTGAAAGAAAAGAGCTGTGATAAAAGTTAGAAAGTTGTGACCTGGTTGCGAGGGAAAATTTCAGCGAGCATTTGCTTGTAGCGTTTAACGGGATGCCTTGACCTTGCCCTCAAGGAAGGACAGAAGAAACAGAGGTTACCACAGGCGGGCAAAACCCGTCTGGACATAACCCCCATTTTCTTCTTCTTCTAATCCTCTTCTTCCCTGCAATCCCCATCGTCTCTCTTCAGAGTAAAACAAAAGAATGCAACATAGAAACGTCTGAGAAACCAAGAAATGTGTACCCAGCAGCAGCACGATTCGAAGGAGCCTTAATTCAGTATCTAGCTACCGAGATCGCAATCCGGAGCACCCTGAGACCCAGCAAAAAGGGGAAAAATTGAATTTTTTCCACCCAAGAAAGAAAAAGGAATCAAATTTACAGAAATTACATAACCAAATTACACAGGTTGTGCAAGAATTAATCAGAAAATAAATAAATAAAAAAAGGAATTGGATGAGGAAAATTTTACCAGGGAGATAGGAAAAGGCGAGAGAGGCAGCTGGGAAAATCTAATCCCGCTCGCCCGCTCAGAGTTGGCATCGCTCTTCTCTCGTCTTTTTATCATTATTATTCTCCTCATAATTAAAATCTTTTAAAAGTTCTCTCTCTTCTCTCTCTTTCCGCCATTAATGTCGGAAAGTGTCAGTAGTCAGAAAAACTCCTTATATTTACCAGATTACCCTTGAAACATCTAGCCTGGATCAGCCATAGCTTATATCATCCGGGCGATATGCGGTCCGAAATTTGAAGTTTGTTTCTAGGATACTCTCGAATCTTGGCAACTTCTTTTGTCCTCTTAATCATTTTGTTTTTGATATACTAGATGTATAAGTAAAATATTCTTGTTTTTAAGATTCGATTCGCAATGTGAATTTTTTGTATGTTTGGTTCCAGAAAACGTTACATGATTTAAACCCGGACTTATTCTCGTGGAAGTACTCTCTGCTGATGATACTCGCGAATTGATAAACAGGCGTGAACCAAAGTTTGAAACAGCTAATAAGCTTGGCACGAGTAGAGACAATAATGAGCAATGTAGAACAATCTTCATTACAAGTTAGAAAGCCTAAAACAGCAGCAGCTAAAGCAAGTTAAGTCAACAAAACACAGACACTGCACAAACTAGTCTGAATTAACAAGTTCTAAGCATAATATCCTTCCTTTGCGTTTGAAGCAAATCCCCAACTACTTTACTTACCCTCAGACTCAACCTCCTAGCGATAAGGAAAAGATCTCATGTTGTAACGGCTAGCCAACTTCTGAGCAGCACCATTTTGGATGATTTCATCCATCATCTCAAACTTCTTGTGGTGTGTTGTCTTTGTCTCAGATTGTTTTTCAGCCAGCTTCTTTGCATCCTCAAGCTGACTCTGAAACAGCCAATAAAATGCATGAGAACGCATTCACCATCAGATTCCCGCACCACAGAAATTAGAGAACAAAATAACGAAACAAAGTCACCACCTTAGTCACAAAGAGAGCTTCAGCAGTGTGTTTCCAGGCAAGACGCTTCCCTTTCTTGGCCTTCTCGAAATCAGGGTCATTGGGGTCTATCCAGCGACAATGGATCCTCCTACCAGGCTTCTTAGGTCGATCATGGAACAACTCAGGCTTAGCAGCAATGGCTCTCACAGGCCTAGGCATTCCAGCAACCATGAAAGGAAGCTGAGACACGGTATCAATAACAGCCTTTGCCATGTCTTCAGTCTCCATCTCAACAAGAACCCCCATTGGAAGCTCCTTAGGACCCAAGTAGTTTGGCAAGAATCTCACATCCTTGACCGTTCCAAACTGATTGAAAGCAGACTCTAAAACCGCCTTTGAGGCGTGAGGAGTGAGCTCGTCTATGTACACTGTGCGACGGACTTTCTCTAGAAACACCTCGTAGATTTCTTCTTCCGTGTTAGCCATACTAACCAAACTACAAAGAGGGAAAGAGAATGAATCAGTTCCAAAAGAAATCTCGAAAGCAAAAGATCAGAGACCAGGTAACATTCACTACACAGAGACTACAGAAATGAAAGATCTACCACAACCTTCAATAAAGTCAAGTGCTTCGAGAAATTCAATCACCGAAACTCGCTATCGAGAGAAGGGATTACGAAAAAGATGCTGCTTGTTTTCAGAAAACGAAACGCAGAAACAAAAAATCATGGCGAAAAATTCTAGGGTCCCTATATCTTCCCAATCGACAATCCGTTTCTTAAACTGATGAAGAAACCCCAAATAAGAGCAAAATTGAAGAATTTCATCAAAGGGATCAAAGAATTACCTCAATTATCGTCTCTAAACGAAGCAATCGGTGTTTGGTCGATGGGTTTGGCGAAACAAAGAAGAAGAACTTGAAAACAGAAACGACTCAGTCAAAAGAAATCGGAGTGGTAAACAAGAGGGAAAAAGGACCACAAATTTAGAACTATATATCTTATTAATCTCGATATCAACAAAGCCCGTATAGCTCAGTGGTAGAGCGTCAGTCTTGTAAACTGAAGGTCCGTAGTTCGATCCTGCGTGTGGGCACTTTTTTATTTTTGGTAGATCAATTTTTTGGATTCTTTAATCAAAACAAAATCTATTTCGGATACTTTTCCTTGATCATTAGTCGTACAGTTGCGTGAGTACACCCCATAGTCGTTCACCACTCCATAGGATTTTTTTAGTTTTTTGGTAGCTGTCTTCCCTTATAGAGAAAAAAATAAATCGAATTAATTGCTGTATAGTTATACAGTAAAAACTCTATAAATTAATAATGTTGAAACTTTCATATTTTATTAATTTATAGAGTTATTAATTTATAAATTTTAAATAAAAATATTTTTTATTAATTTTAAATTTTGAAAGAGATTTTCTTTGAAATTTATAATATTTAAAAAATTCTTTCAAAAATTAAAAAAGAATTCTAAGAAGACTTCAATTTAAAATAACTAAAAAACATCACTTAACTCATATTTTGGTAGATTATCTCATATATACTTATATGTTTATATTAAATTTTATTTATAGTAATTATTAATTTATGATAATAATAGGACCATATATTTACATAAGAGTTTTGTTAAAAGTTATTATCTTATTATCTTATCGAATTATGTCATATTTTGAATTGACTCAATTTTGAATTATGAAAAAATTTATAGTGTTTATTAATTTATCGAGTATTAATTTATACCTAAATCTTTTTAGCAGATTTAATTGTTTACATATTGATAAAGTAAAAGTGTCTGGACACAAACGTGCAACCTAACTCCTTTAGGTGGAGAGGGTACTCCATACTTGCCAACCATTTACAATCTATGTGTGTGCGCGCTTTATACAATTGTTTTATTTGAGATTAACCAAATTGTTCTTGATTGATTGTGATTGGTCTCTAACTATTATATCTGAAAAATCAAACATCTATTTTTACATCTTTTGCTTATAATCATTGTTAATTCATTCAGATTCAAGTTTGTGAATCCCACGGTTAATGTCGTATTGAGTCATCTATCCTAAAAATATATATATAATAAATTACATAATTCACCTAATATGTTGTAAGTTGTAACCATGATACAATGTGTGTTTCGTCACGAAAGTAGCAATGCTTTGTAGACACATAGCGAGTAGAGAGACATGGAGCCAATAACTCGAATGTCTTTAGAAACCACATTACATTGCCCACAAAAAGGTTACAATATTTTAAAAAATATCTTCTAAAGATACACAACTCTATTAGACTATATATTATATTTGGTAAAAACGAAATAAATGATTACATTCCCACACTAAAACAAAACTAATAATATTTGAGTCCATAGAGTTGTATCCATTAAAGAGAAGCTCCAACATTCTCTCTCTACCAATAATAATATAAACCAAAAGCCAAATCGTTTCTCTTCCTCTCCCTCCCTATTTTTGGCCAGTTATTAATGTATCTCTCTGCATCTCTTTGACTCTTTTTAACTTCCTCCTAGATTTCTGAATTTTCTGCCCTTATCGGACGATTCATCGATCTCCAAGAAGCCAGGAAAGGGTAGGCGATCTTCCCGTAAACCCTTTGTAAACCCTTTCTCGGCATCTCGGACCCCTTTCCAATATATATATATATCATTTTTTCCTCCACACGCAACCCTACTAATTATAGAACTAATGGATCCAACAGAGCTAAAACGCGTGTTCCAAATGTTCGACAAGAACGGGGACGGTACGATCACGAAAAAAGAGCTGAGCGAGACGCTGCGAAGCCTCGGGATTTACATCCCCGACAAAGAGTTGGTTCAGATGATCGAGAAGATCGACGTGAATGGTGATGGGTGTGTGGACATAGACGAGTTTGGGGAGCTTTACAAGACGATAATAGAAGAGGAAGACGAAGAGGAAGAGGACATGAAGGAAGCTTTCAATGTGTTTGACCAGAACGGAGATGGGTTTATAACGGTGGATGAACTGAAGGCGGTTTTGTCTTCCTTGGGGCTTAAGCAAGGTAAGACACTGGACGATTGTAAGAAGATGATTAAGCAAGTGGATGTTGATGGTGATGGTAGGGTTAATTACAAGGAGTTTAGACAAATGATGAAAGGCGGTGGGTTTAGCACTTTGAGCTAATTAATATTTTTTTTTCATTTTTGTGTTTTTTTCCTTTGTCTTCTTCTTGATTTAATTCGTTTGTTTTAGGAATGGAAAACACGAAAGAAAGATGAAAAAAATGTTCTTCGTTAACTGTTTTTTGTTGTTGCTCCTTAACGTAGTTTCTCTATGGCATTATGGCACTGTCTTCGAAAATAGATTATCGTAAGAAAATGTTTAACAATGTGGATCAAAGTGAAAATTTGTGCTCATTTGAGTTTCATTGATGGGCTTGGTTATGTGGCGCTAATCTGCAGCGTGGCAATTAAAACTTTATAGTATGAATGAAGTAATATCTTGCTTTGAAGAATGAAAAAAAATGGCCCTAATAATAATAAACACTTGTTATGCCATGGAAATTAATCAATTATACCCAAACCGAACCTTATTGCTCTGTTCTGACTGACTAGATTCGGTTTGGAGTGTGGGTTTACCATTTTTAACCTCCCTAATAAACAAATATTTAACCGAAATAGTGACATGGGGAGGAAAACAAAAAGACTCATAAACTATTGTATTGTATTACTCGATAAACGAACCCTAAGTTCATGAATCTAGCTCTGCATCCGACCAAAATGGGGAATAACAAAACAACCCCACGACCTTTTTAATGGCTAGCAGTAGCTTATCCACTACGACAAGGCCATCTAACAACGGGATGATGTCTTAATAAAAATTCTGAGGATTAATTATAGAAAATATAAATAACCATTCTTCTTTTTTTGACAAACAAATAACCATTCATAGACCTTTTATCTTTTATCCTATGTCATAATTTGTATATTTTTGTACACTTTTTACAGTGAAAAATACAACCGTCACACATATACAAACGGGAAAATAAAACATGCGATTTAAGGAGCTCATTAGAGTAGAAATGAAGAAACGATGAAGTCCTCTTTTTCAACATTATTCGGTGTAACAACCATTGAAACATGAATTACCAAATTGTTTTTACTTTTGTCTGAATAATGAAAAAAAAATGACAAAACCAATTCAGCTGATCAAATCATTCATCTTTTTGTCTTTTATCGGTCCAAAACCAAACCAATGTCAAGAAAATTTATTTCTTATTTCTTCTGATAAGATAGAAAAAGCACATGTAACAACAAAAATTAAACCAATTCAATTAATCAAATCAATCATCTTTGTGAAAACCTTCTCTATACAAGAAAAAAACAGTCATCTTTCTTATCTTATCTATTTTATTTCTCTGAGTGGTAATAGTGAAAAAGGGCAAAATCAAATATTTGCCAAAAATTACAGAAACATATAACAGCCAAAACAGTTTATAATTATATAGTCAGGTGTGCGAAATATCGCATTTATAATAATACGTTAAAAAGGAGAAACGAAAAAAGAATGACTTGGTTAAGATATCAATGTCTGAAACTTTTGAGCTGCTCCCATTCTCTCTCTCTCCTCCTTATCTCCAAAAATCCCCAAAAGTTTTGTATTTTTAATCGAAGAATCCTAACAACCATCATCTTCACCATGCTCTCTCTTCCTCCGCCTTCCACCTCCGCCTCCTCCCGGAAATCCTCTCAGACCCTTATGTAGCGCTTTGATTTCGAAAAATCTGTAGGTTTATACAGCTTCTCTTGCTTCCAATGGCGTCAACGCCGCCACACTGCTCGATCACAGCCACCAAACCTTATCAGAACAATCCTTACCCTCAAAATCAGCTTAAGAACCATCGTCCCAGCCTCCATCCACCTAGATACCACCGTCCATGGGCTCCGCAGCGTTTCTCCCCTTCTCCACTCGGCGGCGGAACCAAAGGCAGAGGCAGTGCTCCTTCGCCGTCTTCCTCTTCCTCCGCCGCCGTCGCCGCCGCTGCTGCGACTACTGCCTCCGGTCAGTTATCGCAGGCTTCTCCTCGTTTCCCTGCTTTATCTCCTCTGCAGACCCCGAAATCAGATCTCTCCCCTGATTTCGCCGGCCGTCGTTCGACCCGGTTCGTCTCTAAGATGCACTTTGGCCGGCCCAAAACCGCCATGGCGTCACGGCACAGCTTGGTCGCAGAGGACGCGCTTCATCACGCTATCCAGTTTTCCGGGAACGACGAAGGGCTTCAGAATCTACTGTTGAGCTTCGAGTCTAAGCTCTGTGGCTCCGATGATTACACTTACATACTCCGTGAGCTTGGAAATCGAGGTGAGTTCGAGAAAGCTGTTCGCTTTTATGAATTCGCTGTTAAACGAGAGAGGAGGAAGAACGAGCAAGGGAAGCTAGCTAGCGCCATGATAAGCACTCTCGGTAGATTAGGTAAAGTGGGTATTGCAAAGAGGGTTTTTGAAACTGCTTTAGCTGATGGGTATGGAAACACAGTGTATGCCTTCTCGGCTATAATCAGCGCCTATGGACGAAGTGGGTATCACGAAGATGCCATTAAGGTCTTTAGCTCCATGAAAGGTCACGGCTTGAGGCCAAATTTGGTTACCTACAATGCTGTGATTGATGCGTGTGGTAAAGGAGGGATGGAGTTCAAGCAAGTAGCAGAGTTTTTCGATGAAATGCAGAGAAACAGAGTGCAACCGGATAGGATAACTTTCAACTCTTTGCTAGCTGTTTGTAGTCGAGGAGGCTCTTGGGAGGCAGCTAGGAATCTCTTTGATGAGATGTTGAATAGAGGAATCGAGCAAGATATATTTACGTATAATACCCTTTTGGATGCCATCTGCAAAGGAGGCCAGATGGATTTGGCTTTTGAGATCCTGGCGCAGATGCCCGCAAAGAATATCATGCCAAATGTTGTAACTTATAGCACTGTGATTGATGGCTATGCTAAGGCCGGTAGGTTTAATGACGCTCTTACTCTGTTTGGGGAGATGAAATATCTTGGTATCCCATTGGATAGAGTTTCGTACAACACATTGGTTTCGATCTATGCTAAGCTCGGGAGATTTGAAGAAGCTTTGGATATTGTTAAAGAAATGGCAGCTGCTGGGATTAGGAAGGATGCTGTGACTTATAATGCTCTTCTGGGTGGGTATGGGAAGCATGAGAAATATGATGAAGTGAAGAGTGTTTTCGCTGAGATGAAACAAGAGCGGGTGTTGCCTAATTTACTGACTTATTCAACCTTAATAGATGTGTATTCGAAAGGGGGCTTGTACAAAGAGGCAATGGAGATATTTAGGGAGTTTAAGAGTGTTGGTCTAAGAGCTGATGTTGTGTTGTATAGTGCATTAATTGATGCTTTGTGCAAAAATGGGTTGGTGGAGTCGGCTGTTTCTTTGCTAGATGAGATGACAAAAGAAGGAATCAGCCCAAATGTTGTAACTTACAACTCCATGATTGATGCCTTTGGTCGATCTGCAACTACGGAATGTTTAGCTGACATTAACGAAGGTGGAGCCAATGGCTTAGAAGAAGATGAATCTTTCTCTTCCTCTTCCGCTTCTCTTTCTCATACTGACTCATTGTCTCTGGCTGTCGGAGAAGCTGACTCTCTAAGTAAGTTGACTAAAACAGAGGATCATCGGATTGTAGAGATCTTTGGGCAATTAGTCACTGAGGGAAATAACCAAATAAAGAGAGACTGTAAGCAGGGTGTGCAGGAGCTCTCCTGTATATTGGAAGTCTGTCATAAAATGCATGAGCTGGAAATAAAACCGAATGTAGTAACCTTCTCTGCTATTCTAAACGCCTGCAGGTTTGTCCCTTTCTTGAATCCTCTTCTGAAAGTTAGTGAATGAAATGTCAGGATCATCATAGACTAGCTTCCTTGCTCAATTTTTACTGATATAGCCGAGAGAGATCGTAGACTTGGGGTTTACCCATTGTCTTCTGTCTAGTGTAAAGATGGGTGCAGAACAAACTATCGTTCTTATCATAGTAGAGAGCGTATCAATAGTAAACGATAGTAATATCGATTCACATTCTCCTTACCAAGGTCCAGTCTTGTGATTTATAGAATTTGATTCTTTGGATTACGTTACTTTCAGTGGTGTACTCTAAAATGTTGGCATTCACATGGGTAGTTGGACATTCTAGAAAGTCTGTGAATTTTTTTTTTCAAAATTCATATGCAAGTCTTGCTGAAATTTGCTGTTGGTTTTCTTATCTTGTTAAACCTGTTTGTATGTATGGAGAGCAGTCGCTGCAACTCATTTGAAGAGGCTTCAATGCTACTAGAAGAGCTCAGGCTGTTTGATAACAAGGTATATGGTGTAGCTCATGGACTTCTCATGGGTTATAACGAGAATGTTTGGATCCAAGCTCAGAGCTTATTTGATGAGGTTAAGGCAATGGATGGATCAACCGCTTCTGCCTTCTACAATGCTCTAACCGACATGCTTTGGCACTTTGGTCAGGTACATGCGTTTCTATTCTCTTTGTCTTCTCCATGAGAAACATGTGTATGCATTATCATGGGTCAAGTTTAGAATGTATTCCTAAAATCCTAAACCGATTGCTTGTCCCCAACTAGAATTGACTCAGTCGTGTCCTGTGACAGAAACGAGGAGCGCAATCGGTGGTGCTTGAGGGAAGACGTAGGAAAGTTTGGGAGAATGTTTGGTCTGATTCTTGCTTGGATTTGCATCTCATGTCTTCTGGTGCTGCACGTGCAATGGTCCACGCGTGGCTTCTAAACATACGCTCCATTGTCTACGAAGGTCACGAGTTGCCAAAACTCCTAAGGTACAACAACAACAAGAACATGAATTTCCCCTGGTTGACTGAATTGTGTCTGAATCCTTTGTTTTGTGTCTCTTTTGTTTTTGGCAGCATATTGACAGGTTGGGGAAAGCACAGCAAAGTGATGGGAGATGGGACGCTAAGGCGAGCAGTGGAGGCGCTATTGAGAGGCATGGGAGCTCCGTTCCATGTAGCTAAATGCAATGTGGGACGGTTCGTATCGAGCGGTTCGGTGGTTGCAGCCTGGTTAAGAGAATCAGGCACACTCAAGGTCTTGGTCCTCGAGGATCACAAACACGAAGAAGCATCTCTTCCTCTTTCCTTGTAGGCTTGTAGCTGTTTTCTGTATTGTTGTGATGAAAATCATGTCTTTTGTAACATAAGTTGGGGTCTGTAATATTTTTTGAATAGCTATTAACCAACATAAATGATGCATAAATATTTTTATCTTCCCTTGAAACTATTTCAAGATTTAATCGGTAAGGTTAAGTCTTAATTGAATAACCAACAAAATTAAGCCAAGTGATTTAACCGAACCGATATTACCTGAATGCTCAGGGTAGATTGCATACCCACGTCAAGACAGGAGCTTTAGCAACCAAAACTATATGATTAATGGTTCAAACAGAATCAGGGGCCGGATTTGGGCAAAGCCCAGTGAAACATTTGCCTTAGGCCCCCATATTTTTTGACTAAAATCTAGTCCATTAATTTTGTATTCAGTCTATAAAAACTAAAAAAAAAAAAATTCAGCTCAAACATTTAGGCCCATTTCGACCAGACCCAGAAAAAAAAAGTTAAAGAAAACAGCTTTTTCAAAATCCCACATCGACAATTGAGTGAAAAGAACTTCTAATTTTTCTGTATAAATAGAATATATGCTCCAGCATTGGCTACTTTATTCAAAAGTATCAGATCGAGCATATTGTTTTTGCTGCAAGTTGTTTGGTCGAGATCAAGATGCTAATCAGTTGTCAAGCAAGGGGTTCAATGATTGGAAGAATATCAAGATACGACTGAGTCAACATGAAACTAGTCACTACCATATTTGGTGTATGAGTCGGTAGATGGAATTAGAATTTAGGCTAAAGAAGAATCAGACGATTGATAAGGGTCTCCAAGAAGAAAGTAATAAAGAGAAAACCCATTGGAGAGAGGTTTTGTTGAGAATATTTTCATTGGTGACAACTCTTGCTAAACAAAATTTAGCTTTTCGTGGGACTAATGAAAAGCTTGGTCAAAGAAACAATGGAAACTTTCTGAGTTTTATTGAATCATTTGGAGATTTTGATCCAGTCATGCGAGAGCATATCAGACGGGTTAAAGGAGGTGAGATTCATTATCACTATTTAAGCCACACTATTCAGGATGAGTTGATTGTTATGCTAGGGTCTGAAGTCAAATCTATGATCATCAAAAAAATTCAAGAAGCTAAATATTTCTTGGTTATTCTCGATTGCACTCCAGATAAGAGTCATAAAGAACAAATGAGTCTTATTATCAGATGTGTGGATGTCTCCATGGCTAAAACACAAGTTGAAGAGTTTTTTGTGACATTCTTAGAAGTTGCAGATAAATCTGGAGAAGGGCATTTTGAGTTGCTTTGTTCGACATTGGTTGGTCTTAATTTGAGTATTGATGATGTGAGAGGGCAAGGCTACGACAATGGATCTAATATGAAGGGAAAACACAAAGGAGTACAAAAAAGATTGCTTGACATCAATTCAAGAGCATTTTATACACCTTGTGGTTGTCATAGTCTTAACTTGGCACTTTCTGATATGGCTAAATCATCTTCAAAAGCGATTGCTTTCTTTGGAATCATTCAACGGATATATTGTTTGTTTTCATCATCTTCAAATAGGTGGGAGCTATTTAAGCAGATGGTAGGAGGTCTCACACTTAAGTCACTATCAGAAACTCGTTGGGAAAGTCGCGTTGAAAGTGTTCGAGCAATTCGATTTCAAGCTCCAAAAATAAGAGATGCTTTGGATTACTTGGCAGAAAACTGTGATGATCCTGGAGCTCGTAGCGATGCTGAAGCTCTTACCACAAGCGAAACTCATGGAATTGGAGGGTTTGAGTTCTTATTTGGTATGGTTATTTGGTATGATCTTCTGTTCGCCGTCAATGCCGTAAGTAAGATGATGCAATCAGAGCATATTGATATTGATAATGTTATTGTTCAATTGAAAGGGTTAGTATCGTTTCTGAAAAACTATAGAGAAACTGGATTTGAAAAAGCAAAAGCAGAAGCTAAGATTATTGCAGAGTCTGTGGATATCGAACCAGACTTTTCAGTGAAATGAAAGCGCATTATTAAAAGGAAGAAGCATTTTGATGAAGCAGTAGAAAGAGATGATGAATCTGAGATGCTAAGTGAGGAAGAGAAGTTTAAGATTGATTATTTCTTGAGAATCGTGGATCAAGCTATAGTATCTCTTCAAATAAGGTTTGAACAATTTGAAGAGTATGAAAAAACTTTTGGATTTTTGTTTGATCTACATAAGCTCAAATCGGCAACGGATGATAGTTTGAAGGCAAAATGTATCAACCTTGAATCTTCTCTTAAACATGGTGCCAATTCAGACATTGATGGATATCATTTATATCTAGAGATCAAAATTCTAAGAAATATTTTGCCAAGTGAGATCAAGAAAGTTGTTTAAGTGTTAGATTTTTTAAGAAGATTTGAAGGTCATGGTTATCCAAATACGTGGATTGCATATAGAGTGATGCTAACTATTCCAGTTTCTGCTGCTTCGGCTGAAAGAAGTTTTCCAAGCTGAAGTTAATAAAGTCTTACTTGCGGTCAACTATGTCAGAGGAGAGACTGAATGGTTTGGCAATGTTGTCAATTGAGAGAGATATGGTTGGAAAGCTTGACTACCAAAGTTTGATAAATGATTTTGCGGAGAAAGATATAAGAAGACTTATTTTTCGAAATCCATAGATTGCTATTAGTTTTTTTTTTTGGATTATTTGTGTATCATTAATATTAGTACGTTCGCACTTTTAAAAGTTTTTTTTATCTAAATTTTTTTTTATAAAAAAAATAGCGGCCCCCATTTTTTATTTTGTTTCAAGCCCCCAAAATCTCAGATCCGGCCCTGAACAGAATAAGGCACAATGCCCTTAACCATTAAGCAAGTTGATCAGAGCGGTAAGAGGTGACGAGAAGTAAATGGGGGAGTAGCTAGGACTTGCCATGAACTGTTGGTGGAAGCGGCCCCAGGTTCAATTTTTCGAACTCTATGGATTCTATACAGAAGGTCCCAATATAATCTGCAGAACTCTGGATAACCCGGCAAACAGCCTATACAAGAGAAGAAGACAAAAAGCTTTTAAATTCAGAGCATAAATTTGATATAAACCTTATCTCAGAACAAGAAAATTCTGTTAAACCAGTCCATCATTATAATGTAAACAATAGAAAGAAAGGAGTATCAGTGTCAAGTAGATGCTAAATTCCGACAACATAAATGTTGACTTACTCTTTCTTAGTCAGGATTCTTCAATCATAATGGGATGTCTGGTAGAAGATCCAGAAGTACACTGATGCTAGTCTCGAATAGTCGGCGTTCTCTTCGCCGGTGAACCAGAGAAGCATCTCGGCCGATGACAAATTTCTCTGCAAAACGAAACGACAACCGATAATAAGCAAAACACATATAATATCAAATGATGTTAATAATGTTTATGTATTACTGGAGTTAATTTGACTGGCGGTGATATAATATCTAATGATGTTTAATAATGTTTTCGTATCACAGGTGTTAATTTGACGGGCGGTGAAATATAGGAGACATGCTCCTAAGTTCTTAAAATTGCTCAAAAAAAGCCCCAAAACGACAATCCAATATAAAGCAAAACGCAGCTCACTCGCTTCTTTTTTGCTCAATTACGTGTGTAGGCCGAAAATGAACAAAATCGATGGACAAAACCTTTCGATTTTGGCCTAACGCTCGCAACGCGCCATGGGGTGCGAGTGGGAATGGGATATGTTTTTTCAGGCGCGTGGCATCACACGCTCTCTGACTTTTCATGCGAATTTACGAATTCACTATACCGGTTTTGATGATCCGGTTATAATTGATTGGATTTTAGACCAGATAGCTGCGCTTACATTTATGCTTATCACGATTCTTCTTCTTCAGTTGTGATCTGATCTGAGTCTTTGAATCACATTTCACTCTCTCGCCGGACTCTTCCTCCTGAACTTCATCGCTTTCAAGTTCTCTAGGTCTTTGAATCGGGAAAGGTATCGCTTTATCTCTCTACCACTCTGGATTTGTTAATTAGCTCGATATTGCGAAAGTCGATATGCTCAAATTAACCTTTCCCATTTTTGGAGTTCAAAACAGTAGCTATCAGTTTTTGATTTTGTAAAGTATCATCGCCAATCACTTAGATTCTGTGAAAGTCGTTTAGCTGTATTGAGGTTCAGGGCTTGGCTTCAAATCTGGTTTTCATTTCAAGGGTTTAAACAGCGAGGGTTCTGGTTTTGTCTTAGAAGAGATAAAGCAGCTTCATGCTTATCTAAAACCCGAGTTCTTGAGGCTCTATGTGGTGGAATTACAATTTCACCAGATTGTCGTATTTGGCTTGAGTATGTATGTCCCAATATAGATTTTGGTGGAATTTCTTGACGCAATCTTTAAGCTTGTTATAATCACGTTTACATTACTGCAGATTGATCTTGTTTCTAGGGTCTACTCTGTCTCCGTTCCCATTACCGAGTTGCAATGATGTCTTATAAACCTTGTTCTGATCATTTTAGAATCGAAACCGAACAGGGAACCACCAAACACTCCCCAGCTAGATTGAATGCTTGTTCTTGTTTAGTTCCGAGTCGGCTCAAGTATTTGTTTATTGGTCTAGGTTCTGATCACTTACACTTGTGTTTGGCCAAGGCGTAGACCGTAGTCGGGTTTTGAGTTTATCTTTGCTAACAATGTTGGAATAAATTTGTGATGCAGTGCTGCTAGGGAAATGGGAAGAGAGAAGAAGAGTCCTGGCTTGAAGATCCTCTGGATCTGGACTCTCGGCACTGCTGCTAGTATGATTCTCTTTCTATCACTCTGAATATATACTCTTTATGGATAGATAGATCATGTGAGATCATATGTTATGTATCATTGACCAATCTTTCACTTGTTTGCAGTATTGGTGACGAGTGTTGTCCGCACAAGAATGCAGGATATGGAATCTATGATGAACCAGGAACAAGTACCGAAACAAAACCAGAACACAAGTGCAGGTAAAGTCGTCTTAACGGATGAAACAGTTTTGCCCGAGTCGGATCGAGAGATTGCGAAAGAACTCAAATGAAGAACAGCCTACTTCTGCTGTCTTTTCTTCTTTTCTGATCTTCCTTTTCAGTGTTCCATCAAGATGATGAAACAGGTTTTTATGGTTTTGGTATGTGTAATTTGCGACTATAATTAGAAGATCCTAGATGTTAGAAGGTGAATCGACCAAGAAGCTTGATGAGGAGTGCTTTCGCAGTTTTTTTCTTTCTATGTGAATATTATAAAAAGCTAGCTAAAATTTTGTTTGAATAAATTTATTATCAAGTTTGCATTTTTCAACCAATTTTGAACTTATATATTTGAATTAAAATTTTGGTTGAAATTTTAATCAAATCTTTTTTTGTATTTTTAGTTATAAAACCTTTACAAGAAAGACCAAAATAGAATGTACACAGACAAGAAAATCTGATTTAGTACTTTGAGTAGCAATGATATTTTTGATAATCGGATATCCGACCGAAATCCAAATGCAGACTAATTTTTAGATTACGAGTAAGAGAGTGATAGTAGATTCAGCAGGAGTGTTTATTTTTTGTTGTTGGAATTGTGATTCAAGATTGTTTTGTTCTTATCCTTTATCCAGGGTTTTAGTTTCCATGAACAACCATTTAGAAATATCTATCATAACCATATAGAAATGTTGAATTCATTGAACCTTGAAAGATATGTACATATATAGAATTTGATTGTTTAACAATGCAAATCCTTTCGTCTAACACACAATTTTTTTTACATGATCCGTATGATCCATTGAACCGTAATAGCTGTATCAAGTACAGACTACAGTTGTGTAAACAATGCAAATAGAAATTTTTTTTGCAGAAATGTTAAGAAATCTACAGTTAAGGAAATATAATATATCAGGAATCTTTCTTATAGACTTATATAATCCAGATTCCCAACAGGATATGATTGTTTATGATTATCTTTATATCTTTACCTTTTCGAAACATTATATTGATGCTATTCTCTTGACTGGAGAGTGAAATGACTTCGAAAGCTGCTTTAAACCCTCTCTTCTTCACTCTCTTAGAACCTTATATAAACTACTCCAAACTCCGATCACTCTTCATTCTCTCCACCGTCTTCATCCTCCGATCTCTCGAACGCAAAATCGATCTCGTTCAAATGTCTTCCACCGGAGAGAAAGGTCTCATCGTGAGCTTCGGCGAGATGCTCATTGACTTCGTCCCCACGGAATCCGGCGTTTCCCTCTCCGAATCCTCAGGATTCCTCAAAGCTCCGGGAGGTGCTCCGGCCAACGTCGCAATCGCCGTCTCTCGTCTCGGAGGCCGCGCCGCATTCGTCGGGAAGCTCGGCGATGATGAGTTCGGTCATATGCTTGCCGGAATCTTGAGGCAGAACGGCGTCAATGATAAAGGTATCAATTTCGACAAGGGAGCAAGAACAGCGCTCGCTTTCGTGACTCTGCGTTCCGACGGAGACCGAGAGTTTATGTTTTACCGGAATCCAAGCGCCGATATGCTTCTCAGGCCCGACGAACTCAACCTCGAACTAATCAGATCCGTATGTGAATACCATTTTTTTCATTCTCTCTCTGTTTTTTCTTATTTTCAGAGATTTTACTCGTTTGATGCTTTTTTTTTTGTTGCAGGCGAAAGTGTTTCACTATGGATCGATTAGTTTGATAACGGAGCCATGTAGGTCGGCTCACATGAAGGCAATGGAAGTGGCGAAAGAAGCCGGAGCTCTTCTTTCTTACGACCCTAACCTCAGGGAACCTCTTTGGCCATCTTCTGAAGAAGCTCGGTTACAGATCTTGAGCATCTGGGACAAGGCTCAGATCATTAAGGTCAGTGACGTCGAGCTTGAGTTCCTTACCGGAAACAACACCATCGATGATGATGCAGCTATGTCTCTCTGGCATCCCAATTTGAAGCTCTTGCTTGTTACCCTCGGCGAGAGAGGTTGTCGTTACTACACTAAGGTAAATTTTGTGTGTCTTCTTCATTACCATGGTTTGCTTTTTATTGATGAATTTCAGGATTGGTCTTTTTTATTTGGTTTTCGATGTTAATTTGCTCTGACTTCTTTACGCAATTAGTTTTATTTATTTCTTGTAAGTTACGCTAACTTTGGAGTTTCTTGTATACTTTGGAAAAACATAAACTGTGTAGAAATTCCATGGAACTGTTGAAGCTTTCAATGTGAACACGGTGGATACTACCGGAGCTGGAGATTCCTTCATCGGCGCGTTTCTAAGTCAGATTGTTGATGATCAATCTGTACTTGAGGTACCTTATAGAACCCTAAACCTCTCGATGATCTTGATTTGTCTGTACTCAATTGAATTGAATGTCGAACAATTGTTTTTGTTTTTGGTTTAATAGGAAGAAGAGAGGTTGAGAAAAGTGCTGAAATTCGCAAACGCTTGTGGAGCAATTACGACAACCAAAAAGGGAGCCATTCCAGCTCTTCCTTCAGATTGTGAAGCTCACTGCTTTCTTAAAGACAAATAGAGACAAAATTACGACGGCTTCTCTTTTATCTGTTGTTGTAATTTTGTTTTTTAATTTGGATCCTTGCTGATTATAAAAAGGATCCCAATGTGAAAAATTTCTGTTTCTCTCTTTCTGTCTCTTCTTCTACTTCTTCTTCAATGTATTGATTCAAAAAAACTTGTGCTTCCGAGCATCTCTTGATGATAAAAATAAAGAGTTTTTTATTTATTTATTTTGTTTCCTTTCTTGAGCCATGGGCTTATTTGGAGTCGCAAGTTGACAATTGTTTCTCAAACCTTTTAACAAGTGGAAAATAAAACTTGATTTGATGCAGATCTTACGGTCACTTGTGCTTCGTGAGACGCTCAAGCCCTCTCCATGATACTATTTGTTCCCACAAATTTCTGAGAACAGAGCTTCGACACATAAAGATGCCTGGAGTTGACCTAAGAAAACACTTTTCGTGTTGGACACGTAAGCTGCCTTCTTTGCCGACTCAAACAATCTCAAAAACGTTGATTCTTGCTTCCATTCCATCTCTCTCTCTCTCTCTCTTTCTCTTGTCTTGATCTCCAAAAGAGGAAACTAGCTAATAGCTCTAGACAAGCCAAGATAAGAAAGAGACAAGCCCTTCAAGTGATGAAGGATATCGATGCACCTTTTGGGAGATCGTGTTCAACTGAATCAGCCGTTTTAGTAACAGAAGCCACCAAAGAGAAGTTTAATCTCCACCTTCATCTCTTTCTCCGTTGGTTTATGGTCGCAATCGCAGAGAGCTTTCAGCAAAATAAGGGATTTTCCCTTGTTTTTGGTTGATAGAAAGAAACACACACTGAACTTTTGTTTTCAAGGATTAGGAAGGTGACGGATTCAAATCTCTTGATCCTTGTCTACATCAAAACCTAGGAGCTGGTCTGAAGTAGCTATTCCAGCGAAAATGAAAAAAAAAAAAAAAAAAAAAAAAAAAAAGAAGAGAAAGAAGCAGAATTTGCATAAAAGAAAACCAACTGATGGAGCTGGTAGGTATCAGACTAACTCATCTCAAGGAAGCGTTGAGCTTTGCTCCCGTACTAATCACGAGTAAACTGCAGAAGAAGTGAAGAAGATTCCTGGTTCAAATTTTACAGGAATGAGTTTTAGCTGTTAGTGTTTGTGGATCTTAAAATCCACACTCAAGGATTTAGTGTGTTGATTTTGTGGTAGAAGAATTTGGGCAAGAATTCTGGTGAGAGCGATGTAAAAATAAAGACAAAGATCGCGAATTTGGATTGTATTGATGAAAGATGAATGTTTACAAAGTGTTTTTGTGCTAAAGATTGGATGCCCTTTACAAGAGATTCAACTCCTATTTATACTAAATAGAACGAAACATACTAAATAGAACGAGACGAACTGTTCCGAGATCCGCGGGTTGATACGTTCTCTCCTTCTCCGAGATCTCCGCGATCTCCTCTTATCTACGACCTCTTCTTCTCCGAGATCTCCACGATCTCTTTTTATCCAGCTTTCCGCGTCCTCTTAGATTGACTTATACTTGAGTATATTCCTTGGAGATGCTTTCCTTGCCTTAGTTACGGGCCTATAGGGCCCAAAACTTCCCTTATAATGGCTTGTTCACTCAAAGTGCTTTATGGGCTGGATTTGGGCTAAATCCAACACCAACAATTGCCCCCCAGCCCGTTTAGTGAGAAACGAACTAAAGGGGCGGACTATTTTATGGAGAATTTTTCACCCCATGGGACCTGAACGACCTATATCGCGTGATTTTTGATCATGGGATCAGGATTTCGAACAAGGCGTTATAAATGCTCTTTGTTTAATATGTGCCGAAGTTTTATAAGTTGTGACCATACGATCGTTTTAGAGAGATCGCGTTATGGTGTCAAGTAGCGAGTAGCGAACTGTGATAGTAACTTTTATTTTGTAGGCGCCAAGTTACTCAGCGAGCTACGAGCTTGATGATCGTTCTGTTTAGATCGATTTATGATAGTTTACTGCAGATAACGACTTTTTAATCTACTTTGGTAGAGTTCGTTATCGTTTAGCGAGCTATAAACTATGACTATTAATTACCCAATATGATAGCGAACTAAGCTGAGATTGTTCGGCTCAATCGTTACTTAGCGGGCTCGGGGCCTCGAGCTATAAGATCGTTTTAAGAGATCTTGAAGTGAGCGAGTTTTGGAATAAGGGTTTCTATTCACAAACGCGATGTTACATACATTTTATAATTTTGACTAAGTATGTAAGAAAAGATAGTGGCTGGACTCGGTGTTGAGCTACCTACGTACCCCGTCAAGGGATCAACCGTGAACGTAGTTCGATAATTGTCGGTGCTCGGAGGTGGTAATGTTTGAGATTTATAACATTCCACGTTCTTATCTCTGGCACTCCGGTTCTGATGTTCGCGAGTTTGTAGACACCGCTGTGGACTACTTCGACGATCCCGTAAGGACCTTCCCAGTTAGAGCACATCTTGTTGGTGCCACACTCTTTAGTGTTATCGAATACCTTGTGTAGCAGGAGATTGCCAATACTAAAGCTCAGGTGTTTTGCACCAGAATTATAGTAGCGGACCTCGCCCTGCTGGTAACTTTGGATTCGGATTAAGGGTTCGATCTCTTTGTTCTTTGATCATACCTTGCCGATCTTTTGGCATTTCTTTGTTAAGTTCTTCGTTTTCCGGACAAAAGGGTCCGGCGGATACTTAGTACTAATGTCTGTCACGATCTCATAAGGGAGTCCGTGTCTGCAAAGGTGGAGAGGTTGGGTGTTAGTAACCCAGCTTCGAACTGTTCTCGGAGGACATTTTGTTCTTCCTCGTAGCGAGCGAAGCTCGAAGCTCGAAGCTCGATGGAAAGCGTCGTCTAGAGACACCGGACAGCGAACCGATAGTTCCTGTCTGAAAGGTGAGTCGAACCATAGCTCTTGTTTGAGTGCGGAGAATGCTACTCCCTCGTTTAGTTCGGATATCCTGGATTTTATTTCCTTGAACCTAGCCAAGTAAGACCGCAGGGGCTCCTAGTGATTCTGTCTGCAGGTCCATAGGTCGGCTTCTGTGGCCTTGGACGTTATAAACATCGAATAGTGCTTAAGAAAGGCCGAACCGAGCTGCTGGAAATTGTCAATGGATTCTTCTTCTAGCCCGGCGAACCATTCTAGGGCGGATCCGACTAGATTTTCGGTGAAAAGCCGGCAATAGCCTGCTTCTTTTTCCTCATTGTTGAGATGAGCTCGGGCTACGGTGAGCCTAAAAGCTCTGAGGTGAGCTAAGGGATCTGATGTTCCATTATATTCTGGGAACCGCATTTTCCCAGTGTCCTTGATCTTAGCGTTAGCTATGCGATCGGTGAAGGGGGTTCTTCTAGTTTCGTCCAGCACGCGATCTATATCAGGAGCCGCACTCGTTGCTTTATGTATTGCGGCGTACATACGATTTAGTTCGGCGTTGTTTGCTTCAATGTATCGCTGGAGCGCATCGAAGTTGTTTATAGATCGCGGAGCTATGATATTTGGAGGGTCATCCGCGCGCTTCTTATTGCGTGCGTTTCCTTGTTGCTGACTTCCGGTTTGGAAAGTATCGTCGGCAATTTGTTCTTCGTTAGATCGCCTGTCGGTTGGCGGGTTAGCACGGTTCGTACTACGACCTTGGGATCTGCGAAAGAATAGAGGTGTTGATAGGTGATTTTGACAATCGTCTGCCGCAGGTGTTTCGTGCTCCGATGTTCCGGATCCGAGTATCGGCAGATGATTGACTATCTCACTAAGTATTGGGGTGTTGTTAGTTCGCGACGGAGTGACGAACTGTGCTAACAGATTGTCATTTGTGAGGTGTTCGAACTCCAATCGAGTATTCGGGGGCGGACTTCGATCTTCCTCTTCGGATAGATCGTCGTGATCTTCACCCTGAGACTGAGTTGGTTGTGTCCACTCTCGTCGCAAGCTAGCTATCTCTTTCTTATTTCGTGTGAGAATAGCTCGGTTCTCGCGGGCTTGTTCTGCCAAGAAGGCTAGCATCTTTCGAAATTCCGCTAGGTCGTCGCTGGCTATCGTCTGAGACGATCCGGCCCGAACGGATTCAGTTTGATTCGAACTGCTGGATCCGATCGATGGAATTCCAAATTTTGTCCAGGTCCGCGAATATGTGAATATTGGGGCCGTTCCGGACTCCGAGCGTGACACGGCGGGCATGCCGGTAGTTCGCATCGCGCTCGAAGAAACGGTTTGAGTCGAGCTGGTTATCGGATTTGCGACGCTCGACTCGTTTATCTGTTTATGGGCAGACGAGCTTTGTGGATCGGTGATCTCGGCACCTCCAGATCGTCCTGCGATGCTGAAGTTTAGTGCGAGGCCGGAGCTTGTCTTTGAGGCAGATGTTTCAACGTTTCTGGGATCCATTTCGTTCTTACTTGTCTTTGAGATCGGTCTCAGGTGTAAGAATTTCTCTGTTTCTTCCCCACAGACGGCACCAAAATGTGGATCTTAAAATCCACACTCAAGGATTTAGTGTGTTGATTTTGTGGTAGAAGAATTTGGGCAAGAATTCTGGTGAGAGCGATGTAAAAATAAAGACAAAGATCGACGAATTTGGATTGTATTGATGAAAGATGAATGTTTACAAAGTGTTTTTGTGCTAAAGATTGGATGCCCTTTACAAGAGATTCAACTCCTATTTATACTAAATAGAACGAAACATACTAAATAGAACGAGACGAACTGTTCCGAGATCCGCGGGTTGATACGTTCTCTCCTTCTCCGAGATCTCCGCGATCTCCTCTTATCTACGACCTCTTCTTCTCCGAGATCTCCACGATCTCTTTTTATCCAGCTTTCCGCGTCCTCTTAGATTGACTTGTACTTGAGTATATTCCTTGGAGATGCTTTCCTTGCCTTAGTTACGGGTCTATAGGGCCCAAAACTTCCCTTATAATGGCTTGTTCACTCAAAGTGCTTTATGGGTTAGATTTGGGCTAAATCCAACACCAACAGTGTTTGAGCTTGGTTTCTCAACGAACAATGAGCTTAGCTATGGTGAACCTCCGCATATTCAAGGAACAAAATATGGAGCTGAATTCGATCTTTGGGGGCCAGTTTCATTCGATCTTTCACGACACCAAACACCAACAATTGAAAGCTTTCAACATTACCTTATCCTTATTTGTAGGGATGGAGGAATAAGGTGACGAAGCGTGCCGGAGCAATTCAGTGACGAAACGAGCCGGAGCACTTCAGAATAGCCAGTGTTCTCTTCTCCGGCGAACTAGAGAAGCATCTCGGCCGATGACCCAATTTCTCTGCAAAACGAAACGGCAACCTATAACAAGCAAAACGCATAGATTATCAAATGATATAAATAATGTTTATGTATTACTGGAGTTAATTTGACGGGCGGTGACATAATATCATTTGATATTAATAATGTTTATGTATCACAGACGTTAATTTTGACGGGCTGTGACATATAGGAGACATGCTCCTAATAATTGCCCAAATTTGCTCAAAATAATGACCAAAACGACAACCGAATAACAAGTAAAACGCAGACTACTCGCTCACTTTTAAATTTTGGTCAAAAATGAGCAAAATCGATGGACTATATAACCCACGAATTAGGCCTAACGCGCGCAACGCGCACCAAGTGCGAGTGGGTATGAAATATGTCTTCATATGCGCGTGACACCACGCTCTCTGACTTTTGACTAGAATTTTTTATTTTTCTTCTGTTAAAGCCAATAAAACCAATAAAACAACGTTATATAGTAAACGGCATCAATATTGTATGTTATGCCGTTTTTAGCCAAACTAAAACGACGAGTATTTTTAAGTTTCGTCAAAAAAAAAAATTAGAGTATTTCAAGATGAGATTTTTCAGATCACAGTATCAAATATCAAAAAATCTGAGCTTCATAGAGAAGAGCGGAGAGACGAAATCAGGTCCGTGTGTTTGCGTTTAAATGGAGCAGAAGTGTAAACTGATTATGTTTTTCCAGGCGAGAAGACTGTGAATATGTGATAGAGAAATAAGCAGAAGCTGTATGTGATGATATTGAAAGCAATGGAAAAGGCAGATTCAACCAAGGAGTCGGAATTTTTCAACATCTTTGAAAGAGGAGAAAATGCTACTTCGAAAAGGAGTAATGATAGTAATGTATGTATTGGTATTGATACTCTTGTTTTTGTTGTGTTCAGGATGATGGTTGTACACGAAGTAACTTAGGCATCTAAATTGCAGGCTAAAAAAGAATGCAGTTTTTGATGATGTATCATAAGAATTCTAAGATATTACCAATGCAGTAACCAAAGTAGACCTAAACCAAACAAAAAAAAAAATCAATGAGAGAGTTACCTGAAAACTTCATTTATGTTCTCGTAAATCAAGCAACAAACGAGACTAATGTCAACAGTGTACAATTCACATGAACAGAGTACGGTGACAATCTCCATTAAAGGAGAAAGTAAAGGACTAAAAGTTGTGTTTTTCGTTAGTGTTATCGGTAAGAGTACGGAAAAATGATACAGAGAGAGGCAGAAATAGTAGCTAAGGAAGGTTCTTTTTATTCGAGTTTAGATTCAAGTTTGTAGCACCAACCATAAAGCAAATACCATGTTTAAGAGGTATATGAACAAACTCAAACACAAACATCTCATAAGAGATTAGGACAAAAAAAAAAGAAGGGAAATGTGTAATAAGCTCTCAACTTAGATGAAACTAAAGATATGACATTGACTCCACGCATCATCCTTACACAGATGAGTTTCTGTGTCTTTTTTCTTCCTCTTACTTTTCTATGGATGAATGTCTACACATAGCTTACATATAGCCTTTTAGCCTAGATCAGGGACAATGAAGTGCTCCTCCTCATCATCATCATCTCTGATCTCTAACCTCGGCTTCTTGTATGAAACATTCGTCTTCATTGGTCTGTATGAATGAACATGACCTAAATGCGACACAGAAAGCTCGGGAACTTGAGCTGCAGGAAGAGCCTCCTGATTAATCTGATCACTGAAGAAACCCATGTCTGAAAACCACTCTAACTCACCAAGATCAAGCTGTCCTTTCTGCTCAAATTTAAACAAGAAGAAAGTCAATACAACTACAGAACAAAGTGATAACTAATGAGGGATCAACATTAAATCTCAGTTTCATATCTAACCTTATCAGTGAATTCAGGATCAGAGAAGTGGAAGAAATCGTCAACAGCCCAGGGAAGAGGAGAAGCAGAAGAAGACTGTATCTGGGTCGGGGATTTAGCCGGGATCTGATTAGCTTTCTGTTGGTTGTTTGAAGGCTCAGAATGATTCTTCTCTGCTTCCTTACTGCAACTACTTGAGCTCAGAGCCACTTTGATCCCAGTGGCTAAGAACCTCTGGTGATTTGCAGATCGAGAATTAGCTACGTGGATGGATTCATCGCAGTCCCTACAAAGCAGAGCTCTATCCTCTACACAGAATATGAAAGCTGCCTTCTCCTACAAGTTACAGCAACGTAATCAGCATACAAATCTACTAATCTGAGTTGCTGTTAAGATCTAAAAGGTCGTAACTTTGCGATAGCTAAGATCGACAATAAAACGAATCTCTTGGTTGTATAACAAGATCTAATCAATTAACCAGAGAAAGAGTAACAGAGAGAGACAGATCTATGTATATACTTACTTGGCAGATATCGCAACGAGGGAATTTAGTGGAGAGAGAGGTGAGATGAAGGCGTTGGTGCTTGCTAGCGAGTTTATTAGCAGCGTGGATCTCGACGTCGCATTTAGGGCACAGAGCTGCTTCGTCGGCGCAACATATCACCGTCGCCGGAGCTTTCTCACACACGTCACACTGTATCTTCATCGTTTCTTTTTTTTTTTTTCCAGTTACTGTTGCCCTCTTTCTTGATTCTGTGTTTAAAATCAAGAAAATCCGAACTTTTTTGGGTTTGGTAATTTGACTTGCTGGATCTTTCTGAGAGAAGCTTAGCAGGAATGTAGGTGAAGAGAAAGGGATTTAGAGGATAAGTAACAGAAATGAAGATTATGGAAAGAATAAGAGAGAAACTTGTATTTCTGGGGACAAGTTGTTGGGGAGCAACTAGTGGTGGTGAAGGAAAGCAGAGAAGAAGAAGATAAGAGAGATTTTTTTTCTTTGATGAATCTGCGTATCAAAAGGAAACACTATGATTCTTACAGCAAGGTCCTTTGGGTCCCACCCTTCTTCTGTGGCTCTCCTTTCTCCTTTCGACATCTTTCCACATTTAGATATTATTATTATATTCACACTTTTTTGGCGGCATTTATTATATTCCCACTTCTTTTATTTATTTGGTTTTTATTTATTTACCAGCAGAGATCTGGCTTTTCTTTTTCTTTTTTATGAATAAATATGTAAACCTTTTCAAGCATAGTGACATAGTGTAAACTGTAAATCCTTTCTTAAGTTTTTTTGCTCTCCTTTTTGTGATAAGCTCGGCTTTCAAGTTTCGTGAATTGAGTAACAATCATGAAAGATTTTTTATACAAATTCCGAGTAGAAAAAAAGTGAGAGAGTAGTCTCCCAGAAGTGGAATATTACACGACTTCACGTAATCTGGAAAATGACATTTGAATTTATTCTCCTTTAACAAAAAAATATATATATATATATTCTTTGGAATGACGACACATTTCTGTAATATGTACCAGTCGATGAGATATTTCTTTTGGTTCTGTCAAATTTTCCTTTGTTTTGTATTTTTTCGAAAATTAATAAACGATGAATGCAATATCATTAAAAATATCCTTTAACAAAAAAAACCTTTAAAAATATACTGGTTTGCCGTATGCGTGTCGTTACGAATAAATTTATGCATTTTCACCTGGAGAAATGACGAACATATTACACTACTATTTCTTAACAAAAAAGAAGAAAACTGAATCTAAAATCTATAAAGAATGCATGTCAGAAAGAACATCCAATCATGTTATTCATGTTAACTTCTGAAGTTTATTTGTTATTACGTATTCAAATTATAAAAATCAAGATTAAGCGGGTATAACATTCTTCATATGTTTCTTTTTGCAGCTATGAGTAGGATAAATAATACTAATAATCCTAAGTGGTTTAGTCCATTTTTGACATGGTTGGTCACATGAGTTATCGTTGGAATCCTTTTTTTTTATAGTAAAAAACAATCTATACAGATAAGAAATGATAAGATTTTGTTGTTTGTTATGAAATCAAAGAAATTCAAAGAATTGTCAAGTCAATCCCGACCCACTTACTGCCTCTGTACATGTTCACCTTTCTGGTTATTCCCAGGAGAAGCATTGTTCATGTTGGCTGTATCTTGATTAAGCAGACTAGAGAACCCATTTCCAATCGATTTCCACCAGCTCGACCGCTCTGAGGCAGTTTGATCTGACCCGTCATTACAAGTGCCTGAAGACAGTTCGATAGACATAGCTGACTCGGTCTGTAGCTCAGAGAATCTCACAGCTCCAAGTAGCTTTTCTGGAAGCTCAGCTTCGGTTTGGCTTTCAATGAGGAATGCAAGATCAACAGTAAGCGTTGTAATGTAGCCAAAGGCGAGATGAACAATGGCACTAGCGACCATTGAAGATCCTATATCCACGTCAATCTCCACAAAGTTCTCTCCTGAAACATATTTGCAAGACAGTGCACGTCCAATCACACAGATAGCTTGCTCTCCAACAGCCTTTCTTACAATCCAAGGGCCTTTGACAATGTTTGCAATCAGTTTTAGCCTCGATTTCTTAAACCCATCGTTTCCTTTCAGAAACTGATCCATCAGGGAGCCTTCGAGGATAGGCTCTGTGGCAACAAAGTAAGCAACAGCACTGTAATTGTCTTTGTGAGGAAGCTGGAGATTGAATGCCCAAACAAAAGGCTTAGTTTCATCTTTTTGAAACTCTTCATCGATAACTTTCCTGATTCGGCTGCTTGGATAACTTAGGACCTCAGAGAGCTTTGTAGGACCTTTAATCCAATCAAAACCCAGAGGCTTTAGAAGGAAATCACCAGCAGGTACTTTCACCTTGTCGGAGAAATACTTTGGTCCTCTAACCATAAATGTGTCAGGAGACGGTGTAGTCCAACCGTTTTTGCAGTTGTCTGGAGTAAGACATGGAACATGTCCCTCTGATTTCACTCTTTTGATCCATTCTGGCTCAGTTTCTTCACCAGAGCCAGCCATATCTTGTGGAAACCTGCAACACAGCAGCACACACAGCTATAATCTTTTGAGTAAATGAAGAGAGGAAACCACCCTCCATGTATTCAAGAACACGCCATCAAGAAGATCAAAAGCATATGATCTGAGAACAAAATCAGAGAACACATAGCAAACAAAGGCATATGAACAGATATCTTTTACAAGCAAGAATGCATCTGCGACTGTATTGCGTATCTAATTCCCCTGAGGATCCATATTATGCCACAAGAAATGTTTTAAGGAAACCCCTGAGGATGCATATTATGCCACAAGAAATGTTTTAAGAAAAAGTGTGAAACACAAATTGCCAACAAAGAAAATGGATGTTAAAACTTCAGACTAAAAGCGCCAACAAGATGAAAATCATTTTCAGTAATCACATAAAAATCAGTTCGATCACACGTGATTCTGTGACAATAACACGGTCTTAAAATCAAAGATGCAGTATTTGATTTTACATTCATCTACAACACACGAAATAACCAGAATTGGACAAAGGGGAAAAAGTTATCCACTTTTTTATGACCCGAGAGAAACAGAGCAATCGAAACCCAGAAACGAAAAACAACTTCAGAGGTTTACGAAGAGCCGGCCAAAATGATAAGACGAAAAACTACGAGGGGAAAAATTCCAACTCCGTAGACAATTAACAAAGGATTAAATTAATCATATGATAAGGAGCCAACAGTAAACCTTTTCAGCCGAAGAAGAGACGGATTCTCCAAAAACCCTAATTCTGATTCGCAAATTTCTGATGGGAAACAGGAAAAAATGAGGAAATTCCAATTTTGCTAACTTTTTGATTCTTGTTTGATTTTCTTTTATTGTTGGGATTAGCTTTGAAACGGAAGCTGCGAACAGATCGTTAAATCCTTCGTAGCGATAACGCTTTGGTTTAGATAACATAATCCAGCTAGTAATTATTAGTTATAAGAATTAAAAAATATAAACAAGTCAAATACAAGTAATGTATACAGTTTTTGTTGCTTAATTAAGTTTTAGTGTCATTTTAAAATAGAAAAGGGTTTTTTACTCTCTACTAAAATTTATCCAAAATAAGAAAGGAAAAAACGTGGAAAAAGGAAAGAAATAAAAATGAAAATTCCAACTTACATATTCTTCTCTTGTCTGTACACATCATCGTCATCATATTCGGCGTCTCTCCGGTCTCACACCTCACCGTATTTGCAATCTCCTCTTGCTTCTTCCCTTCCGGCATCGGAGAATCATAATTTGCTTCTTGCGTCGTCGTCGAGTGGATTTGCTGGAGCATTACACGGATCTTCTGTATAAATATGGATCCTCGTCAATTCGAACACATCGTAAGTTATTCCAACTTTCTCTCTGCGTGAAATGTTCATGAGTTCTCTCGGGATTTCAGAAATGAAATGACGATCTTCCTCCCGGGTGATCGTATCGCTTCCATTCGATTGGGTTATGGATTATTCTAGGCTTTGTATTAGGTCTCTGCAGTATATCAATGGCTTTCATCTATGTGTATGCATTCTTTATCGTCCTGTGATTTCGCCTAGTCTTTAGCGGCTTTGGAATTCGAGCTTAGCAATTCGTAGTTTCACTATAGGTTTACAAGAAACCAAGTCTTGTTTTCGTAGATGGCCATGGAGGTTATGTTGAGTGTTTTTGAGTGTTATTAACAATGCTTTTGGAGATTGGATATTGATACACGTCGTTATCTGGTAAATTTCGGGGTATGAAACTTGTGCAAAAGATATTATTATTTTTTTTTCAGAGTTGGAACTTGTTCTGCTCTCCTTAGTACCATAATCGGAATTTGGAAACTGTGTTTTCATATCTCTCAAGAATTGTCTCTGTTAATCAGGTTGTCGATGATAATGATATTCACAGCATTGTAATGTCATACCTTCTGCACAACTGCTTCAACGAAACTGCGGACTCACTTGCTTCTTGTACTGCAACAAAGCAACCCGCAATTGATCGTGATAATATGGAGAGAAGAAAACGTGTGTACAACTGCTCTTTCATCTTTTCATCTGTTGTTAAATGATGCTAATGCACTCTGTGGTTATATGTTTTGATTGATTATTAAACATTCAGAAATAATACATTCTATACTGGAGAAGAAGGCGTTGAAGGCTGTTGAACTAACTGAACAACTAGCACAAGACTTGCTTGAGAAAAACAAGGATTTGCACTTCGATCTTCTATGCCTTCATTTTGTGGAGCTAGTCTGTGCTGGGAAGTGGTGAGAAACTATGATTTGTTTGCCATTAGGATCTCAGTTTTCTCAATGTCTTGAATCTGAAAACGGTTTCCTGCTTGTGCAGCACCGAAGCTCTTGAATTTGCCCAGACAAGATTGGCTCCTTTTGGGAAGGTTCAGAAATACATACATAAGCTTGAAGTAAGTCTGAATGTTGTTTGATCTTCTATTATATCCGTTTCTTGATGTATTGGCAGATTACGTTTTCTGTTCTTCCAAATGATGGGAGAGTTAGTTTAACCCACTTTGTTTCCCTGTGGCAGGACGCGATGGCTTTGCTGGCTTATGAAGACCATGAGAAATCCCCAATGTTCCATCTTTTGAGCTATGAACACCGTCAACAAGTTGCCGATAATCTGAACCGCACCATTCTTGGTTAGTTCTTTTTTTTTTTGTTTCTTCCACCATGAAAATCTCGGGCCTCCTGTGACCTTTACAAATTACAAGTTTTAACTCATTTTTCACATCGTCCAGAACACGCAAACAATCCAAGCTACACACCAATGGAAAGGCTCTTACAACAGGTGACAGTTGCGAGACAATACTTGACCGAGGAGAATGGCAAAGTAATCATAATATTTCTGTATTTACTCTCATATATGTATTTTGCTGTACAAACCCTAGGAGTAGTGCCTGTGTTAAAACGCTATTTCACATGTCTTGCGATAGGATGCGTTTCCTCCATTCTCTTTGAAGGATTCTCTCAGAGGCTAAGATCGCAGGACCGACTCCAAAGTTTGGTAGGAGGAGGATATGCTAAGCACTGTCATGTATATACGAAAAGGCTTGCCTCTCAATTTCATCTCCATTGTTTTTATTGCTGTCTTCAACTCCGGCAAACATGGAGAAATGGTTAGTCTTCCATGGCCACAGAAGGGGTTTTGGTTTTGCTGTTGCAGGAGATAAATGTTGTTAAAGACCGGGTTCTGTTTGCTTTGGTTCAGTTCGGTTCTCTACTAGAAGATTATTTCCTTTACGTTATGAGTTTAGTCGATAAATCTGTAATCCATGTCCTTTGGAAAACTCCTTTTCTCTTTGTAATTATCGTTTATGTTTTGATATAAAACCCATAAATCCAAGATTCTTTGCAGAATTCACAAACGTCAAGCAAAAACCAAATGAAACTTTTCAAATAACCAAAAGGAACAAAAGCCAAAGAATTTGAATATGGTTGCAAGGCTACAGACTTGGATTCAAAAGCCCAGTTCTCACCAAATTCAACAACTTTTTAAGAACTCAGGATCATACAAAGAGAAGACTGAACTACCAACAGACAAGAACAAATGCGTCACTAACCACCTCTAAACACGCAACTTCTAAGATGTCTCGTTTTTTAAACTCTAGAAATGAATCCCATATCCATGAGGCTCCGATGAATGTGCACCTGATGAGGGAGAAAACGCCACCGGCTCTGTAATTGGAATGAGAGGAGATTTTCCAAGAGTACCTCACTAAGTTGGACTCTAACACGGGCCTACAATCTTCAGTCTTTCGTCGAGGGGACCTCAAGATCAGGCGATGTAACATTCTCTTTCTGAACCGAAGAGACATGGGCCTTCTCAGCTCCGTGACACCGCTTTGTGTCCTGTTGTGGATTCGCTGCTGCTGCTGCTGAGATGAAGCTGATAAAGTTGTTGCTGCTGAACTGAAATTGCTGCTGCTGCTGTTGTTGTTGTTGTTGTTGTTGTTGTTGCTGTTGTTGTTGTTGTTGTTGCTGTTGTTGTTGCTTCTGTGAATGGATTTGGAGCTGCTGTAACTGCTGTGCGGCTAACATAGTGTGCATCGACTGATTATTGGGATAGAATTGCTGGTTTGATCCATAAGAACCATAGTTCATCATCGATGCACCATTCGAAACACCTTGCCCCGTTAATACCTTAAGATGTTGGACTTCCTCCTTCAGTGCGTCATTTAATGCTGTCAAATAAAGGAAAGACAGTTAATCAAGTAGCAGCATTCACAACTAAGCGTAGCGAAAATCCCCAGGTAGGACAAATCCAGTCTTTCTTAGCTAGAGAAATGTCAACGAGTTTTGAAGGTGCTATTTTCCGGTGTTGTAAGAAATGATAGTGAATATACAAATTCACAACTTCCTAGGGGTACAGAAAGCTCACTTTGAGAACTCAAAACACATTATATAACACACGCTTTGATGAGATGCAGCAACAAAAAAAAAAAAAAAAAACTTAATTTAACGGACCAGATGCATTCCATTCATTAATGTGCTATGAATTTTAAGCTTTGTATGACACCCAAAACCAAGCATGGCACAATTCTACACTCACAGATCCAGAATGTGGCAGCGCATATACATACAACTTTGACACTCGTGGGCATTATTTATTTGCATCTAGATAGTAAAGAGATGAAAAATGATATGAAAAAGTTTGTGGGAAACAGTTTTTGAGAAAAGGTACTCACCATCCTGCAGGTGCACTTGTTGCTCCATTGTTTGTACTCGGAGTTTCAGATCATTGTTTTCAACACTCAGGCCATTTGTATCTCTCTGAAGAGCAGAAAGAAAAAGCTAACAAGATCAAAACCATAAACTTGCAATATAATATAACACACATCCTAACACTAGTATTAAGTTTGGTCTGCAGGGCCCTACATACTGATTTAACCAACCTGTAACAGAGTCAACTGCGCGGAGAGAGATGTCGCCTCTGTTTGTAAAGTCTGTACTTTTCTCTCGAGTTCTGCTATGTATCTCATCTTCCTTTCTTTTGACCTAGCAGCAGACTGCCTGTTTGCCCATATCCTATCAAATGATACAAATGAACAGGTCATGCATTTTCTCCAGCAAAGAAGGAACATCAACAAATATAAGATACAGAATACAAATAAAAAGGGAAGAGAACAAGGAAATATATGAACAGTATCAAGAAACAAAGAGTTGTCACTAGTAGTGCAGCTGAAATAAGCGAGTTCGTCAAATTTTAAGAAATTAACTCGTTTAACAGCAATGGCGTAGTTCACGAGTGACCTACTTCTAGATGAAGGATTATGTAATCTCCAACAGATCAGTTCAGCCAGGCTTAATTTTTCAAAGCACAAAGATAGCAGCAAAACATTCATTACAATTTAGTCAGTTAAGTCATCCTCCAGAAAACATAAGGGAAATGCAGCGCTATCAGCAAGGTCCAGCAAAAAAAAGAAATAATCTGATACGGAACCTTGAAACCGACGAAGAAGCTTAATGAAAACATAAACCACAAACTTGTTTCTTTGTCGACAAACCTAGAACTGATAGGCCAGCAACAATGTGATCATGTTTCATCAAAACGATATACTGTTTCATAAAGTCAGTGAACATAGAAGGAACAAAAATACCTCTTAGCACGTTTTGGGTCAATGAGAGCAAGCTCAGAAAGTTTAGCAGCAGAGATGGCTTTCTTAGAATCAACTCCAGGCACATCTTCATTCCCAGACATAAGCATCTCAGGCTTGATCGTTGTTGAACCGTCCATCGACTGGCTGTGTTGGTGCCTGATTCTCGGTCTTTCACTAGAGCTACCAGGCGTACTCTGAAGGTTAGAAGTCGAGCCTAATTCATTCCTCCAAGCCGGTTCTGATGGCTCACCCATTTGAGAAGAAGACGTGGCCGAAGAATTGAATTTATCCATATCAAGATACATATACAGTAAGTCCTCATCTGTCTCATCAGAGAAAGAAGGTCCATCAGCAGCACCAACCACACCAAGATCACTATCAAAGCTCAAGTCATCAGGAAGAGTAAGGATCTCTGAATGAGCTCGGCGATGGCCAAGGTTCTTGGGTGGATTATCCAGCATTCGGCTTATATCATGGCTGAATCGGTTAGCATCCGAGCTGCTCCCACTTGGGGTCAAATGAGGAAACGAGGATTCAGATTTTATTGGAAATCCACTTCCATTTGGCGAAAACGCGGAGTAACGACCCGACGGGGGAGGAAGACCTCCACTAGGTGGTGCAGGAGATTTCTCCTTATCCATTTCCAGTATTCGACCTAAACCCACTAATCTGCAAACGATCATGACCACAAACCAGACTCAATTAGGGTTTCGTTTAGAAATCTTAGGCTATCAATTTCCTCAGCTAATGAGATACAACGGGAAACACACAAAACAAACCTAGGAAAGTCGCACGATTTAACTCAGCCCTAAATCAAAAACTAAAACCCAGAAGTAGATTAAAAGATAGGGTGTTCTCAAGCACTTACAGAGATCTGATCAGCTGGAAAAGCCTCCAGAAACCAAAGCAGAATGACCCAAAGAGAGATCGGCGAGACACAAAAGAAAAGGTGTGTAGAGAAACTATCTAGGAAAGTTAATAAAAATTTCCAGAAAAAAATTTGAGAAATGATGGCGAAAGAGAGAAATGGGAGCAGAAGACGGTAAGATAAAATCAGAGAGATCCAAGGAGAGAGAGGGAGGAAGAAGACGAACATTCATTCTCTCTCCATTAAAGGATTCTTCCAAGTTCGAACGAACCAACTAGTGTGAGTCAGAAGGTTCTCTTCCAACACGATGTCGTTTTTGGTTTAGTGTATACATACAGTTTACAAGCCCTTTTTGCCTTTTCTCAGAAGTTTGGGTAATAATCAGCTGTGTTAGCATATTACTATAAACGATATACTGACCGTTAGATCAATAAGAATGTCTGTTTTTTTTTTTTATGACGCGAGGACAATTGTATGTTCGTCAAATAGGTTCACGTGGTTGCAACTTTTTGGTTGGACCGCCAAGTCCTGCGAATATACATACAGTACGTATTATTTAATTTTGATGACTTTCTGAATTTTTTTTTTTTAATAAGAAAACACTAACCAAGAAGTTGAAAACATGTGATCTGTTTCAAGCATGTTGAGGATACTGACGTACGATTTTTCCAATCATAAACAAGAAGTTAAAATACAAGTTAGAACTTAATTAGAAATGAACTGACTTTTTGAAGAAGCATTATACATATGATATGATCCAAGTCAGAGGATCTTACGAACCAAGCGTTTTTCATGTTAGACTTAACGATCGACCTAGAAAACATCCCGATTATTTGTTAATGTGCACACTCTTATCAACGTAAAACCTCACAGATTATTAATCCAAAACAAAAATATCAAGCACACCAATTATCATGATCGGAATGCGGCCTTGTCTCTTCTTACCAAAAGATTCTACGATGCATGACATCATGAGTTGTATACGGTTCAAATCAGTTATGGGCCGTATGGTAAGAAGATAAGGCCCATAGGACCCATAATCATATACACATGATCTCATACAATGATTTTTTTTGGTTAAATGTTAAAGATCTCATACAATGATAATTGAATGAACGCATTCACTCTTCCTCTCAACTACCTCCTCCGCTCCATACTTTCAATTCATATCCTAATTATGGGATGGATACAAATTTAAAGGCATTATATGGTTTTCCCTTACTATTTCCTTTCTATAACTTTATTTTTATGTCAAATTCCTTGATCATATACAGTACAGAACCATGTGAGGGCCTTGTGTTTGTGTTGATTCACACGTACGTGATCTTGTTGGCTCTTATAGTTTAAAGCCTAAGGGTAGACATCTTAGGCAATTTGTGTCCATACGAACCAAGGCAGCAAATTGATGACAACTGACGTGGCAAGGCAAGTATAATACAATAATCTTTCACATTACAAAAAAAAAAAAAAAACATTCTCCACGTTTAGGCCAAGAAGGGCAACCTGGCGAGTTAACCGAACCGCTATATCAATAGCTGATTTTAAATAGTAACATACATTATTTATTAAAGAAAAAATCGGAAACAATATAATATGTCTAAGCAAAAGATTTAAATTTCTTAATTATCTTTCCTCATCAGTCACCACACGACACAAACAAAAAACGTTACAAGAAGACTTGGTTGTTTCTGGCTAGATGAAACCAAAACTGGATTCATCTTTATTAACCCATTCAGTTTTTTTTATAGGATAGTAGTATAGGTTTCTACAAATAAAAATGGGTCTTAGTGCACATTTTTAGGGTTTGGCATCGTCTACCATTGTTAGGACCTTCAGAGTTGGATAGCCTTTTTTACTCGGAGAACCAATTAAACTAATAACTCGCCGTCATATTTAATAATGTTTTTTTACCCAAAAAAAAAAAATCAAAAATTCTAAATATTACTACTTTCTGGTTGACAGGGATATAAAACAGATTCTACTATCTAGAGTCTGCTAGTGCATATCGGGTTGCTTTGTTATATGTTTCTTTGTTATATGTTTGTTATAGTTTAGAAAATTATTGTTTCATGGTAGATAAAAACCTACATAAAACAGTAAAACGAGCTTCTCAGTTATTTACATAAAACACTGTCTCCATTTTTTCTATGGAGAACTATTATTAAATTTATTAATTAGAAAGAAAATACTTTAACCAAAAAAAAAAATCGTATTTTACTTCCGACCTTACTAAAATATTCATGGTCTTACAACCCAGACTTGTTCAGATATCAGGTTTTTTCCGAACAACTGATTGATCCTCCGGTTATTTATTGAGTCAGATTTGGTTTCCTCATAAAATAATTTTGAATTCTTTTTATTACTTTTATAGAAGAAAAATGAGAACAAAATACCGTATGTTTTTTTCATATTTTTATTAATATTTAGTGTCCAGTAAAAGTGTATCAGAGCAGGCTCGAATCAATGACGGGGCATGGCCTTGAATGATGGCAAAACAGACAGAACCGGATTGGAGACCGACCTGTATCAGATTGATAGTCATTAGAATCCCAGAAACAGAGGAAGCCTCACATATTTCTCTTTTCATTGTATTGAAATCTGTGATTCTTCATTTACTCTTTTGTGGAATAACCTATGAGACTTATAGGTAAATAAAATATTGTGTTACTTTTAATAAAATATTGTGGTGAAAGGTAGTCAAAAGAAACAATGGGTCTGCCCCTTGTGGTGTTTGCAGGTGCATCATTGACTTTTTTGGCCCCAAATCTTCTCTTTTTTTTGGATCCAATGGCCCCAAATCTTCTAATTAATGTCTTTTGTAGTTATGATGCTGAATCTATGGCACTGTGGCTTTTGGGTACTCTTCAATCCTTCATCTACTGCAATAATTATCTTTCCTTATGGTTTATACAGTCTATGTGCAATTGTGGTTTTAATGTAACTAATTCTACTCTTATTTTCTAATGTAACTAATTCTACTCTTATTTTCGTAAATTTCTTTTGAACTTTCCTATCTATCTTGGTATTTTCAGGATTCTGTTTGGCTTTTAATCTTATTTGAAGAAGAAATTTCGAACCGAATGATTTATCTAAAACTAAAGACCATAATGCGCAATAAAATTGAACTCAAACGTGATAGTGTTCAGTATTATGGCTTAGGATTTAAAGAACATCCATATGTAAATAATCATTTTTAAAAAAAAGTTGTGTAATTAATATTTTCGTTGTAACGATGTTGTCATGTTGAAACTACGAAGATATAGATGGGTGTCAAGAATATGTTATATTCAGAATTAATATATTGGGTAGTGGCTACATTCTAGGTAGTAGGTACAGTATAAACGTTTCCATTGCCGAATGCCGACCAACAAGTCGTTTTTAAACAACATTTTTTATTTTCCTATTCATAATTCTATTGAGATGCAGATTACTTCAAACTTTATACATGCAGCTGTATTTATATAATGCACATTGTACGAATAACTCAATTTTTTATAGATCAATAATAGATGTAGATATTTTAGCAAATAATAATAATATATGTGGATATATCCGTATGCGATATCTATTTTTTTTTCTTTGGTTATTTAGATGAATATAGAATGAATTCTGATGTCTGTTTTATTGAACAAAGGATGAATTATGATGTTGCTACGATTTTATGGGTATGTCATTTTTTGTTGTTGTTTAATGAAGGCATGGGTATTTCATGGGTATTCGTCCTATTTGATATATATATATATATATATATATATCAAGTATATATAAATAGGAAATGATGAGTCTGATGAAAACTGACCACTCATTGATGTTTTTTTTTCATCTAAGTTTTATTAGTAACATATGTCAAAATACGATTAAGATACACACAACCGGCAAAATCTCGTTTTCTGGTGGTAAAGTCTAAATGTGGATAGCCTAAAGAGTAAAGACAAAACACTAAAATTATTATTGAAAAAATTATAATGCAAATACATCCAAAGATGCTTGAGAATTTTCGTCTTTTTGTTCTCGTTTGGGATGAATAAACTTTAGAAATGAAAAACCGACTACAACAATACCCCACAAAACAAACATCTACTGTTAATCTCCTTTTTCATTCATACGAGGATACTTTTAGAGATAGACATACTCACATAGACATAGTTGACAAAATAGCAAAATCTCATATACGTATTCTTCGATTTTTAAGAAGTTCGAACCCGGGGGTGGGAACTCACCCACTTTCCATGTGGCACAATTTCGTAGGTATTCATATCAGGTTTAAAATAATTAACTCCAATTTTTTTCTCGTATATAAAATTTCTATAATTACTAAACTAATCTTGTATGATCTTCTACATGAAGTTGATATGCATTTGCAGTATTTATTTGATAGTTCTATGATTCTTATTACTACGAGATCAATGCATCTGCTTTCAGTTTTTTTTCTTCATATCTTTTGGAAAATCTGACGGGTTCTACGTACGTGATTACATCAATACAGTCCTTCCAAACTGAAGAAGGAACATTGACGACCTTATTGCACCAAAAATATAAGCTAAGTACTAAACTCTAGAGACATGGTTGCTATCTAATTTGTAATTGTCAGAAATCAAGTCCTTTAGAAATATGCAAGGTTAGTATGCGAAAAAGTGCTGACAAATAAATTATCGAATATGAAAAAGAAAAAAAAATTATCGACTATGAACTACGTAAAATTTAAGTTTTTTTTATAAATTATGTTTGGTATCACAAATGAATGAAACCTTTTAAATGTTTTGTCCGATATCAAGGTTTTTTTAAGGGAATAAGATATGAGGAAATAGGGTTTCTGACTTAAATTAATTCATATAGTCTCCGTTTCAATCGTTCGACCAAAAAAAAGTAAATAAAGATATATGCATTGAACCAGCATCCAAAAAGTTAGAAGAAATATTTAAAATAGTAATTTTTTAAGAAATGGTAAAAGTTAGGGTAAGTGCATGTAATATGTCTATATACATATTAAACAAAACGAAAGTCAATATCGAGCTCCGTGTCAGTTTTCTGCATATATACATGCATGATGATGCATCTATAGCCTGGTTCCCATAATAATAGAAATATTACCACAACTATAGTTAATGAAAGTGTTATGACGCCTAACGTCCCAACTGCAACAATTTACAGAGATACGATGAAAAAGTGGCACTAGAGAAGGAATGTATTACCTTTTAATATTACTAACTAGTCAGTTTCAAACAATAAGTTCTATTTCCAACATGA